ATTCGGGATATTCGGGATATTTCAAGCTTATTAAATTGTCCCGGTTAGTATAACGGCGATGAAAATTTTTTCGATTGAGTTTCGGAAAGGGTCCAACACGAGCTCGGAGTTGTCTGATCCGTGAATTAAACTTGTTTATTGTATAAATTTGCATGAACATGTCCTCTAGGTCTTGAATATTCAGATACACACTTGACTGAAGATCAGAGTATATCTTATAATAATCTCCGTAGATTATTTGCTTCTGTTACACGGACTAGAAGCTCATGTCGCCGATTTTGGTATTTGTTGCCTGTTCCGATCCTGGCGAGCTAAGACTACTACTAAGTAACTACTTAGGAGTACTAGTGGTCTTAGCTTGCTGCAAGACGGCTATATATAATCTTGGCAATCATAGATCTACTTTCTCCGTCAATCCTTTAGTCATGTTCAAACAAATTCATTACCCTATGTGATACTTCCTCTTCAACCCAGGGATTCTAGTCATTAAACAAGGTATAAGTACAGGATAGCCTAATTAGCTGGGGTACGGAGTACTTATATTCGCTATGATAGATCTCCAATATTACTAAGGACTCAGCCACGGTGAGTCATTTCATACTAAAAGCCTAGGCGATGCACAATTTTGACTCACTCCGTGATAATTCGGTCACGTATGAACTGGTCTATTCGTATTTTTTTATGAGTAACTAGAAGTAGTCCAAAACATAAAATGTTATAAAATGGCCTCAAACAAGGTGCTATATCGAGGTATATCATCTATTTTCTTTCTGTCGACAGCCCAAGGCTCCGTCTCTCTGCCTATGTAGGCAGGATCTCGGGATAGCTTCTCTTTCTCTTCTTCTGCGCTTTGGTCAGAAACATACTTGTTTCTCCCTCCTTCTTCCTTCTTTTTTACTATCTTTTGCTCGGAACGTCTTCTAGCACGCTTATGGATATTGAAACCAAGTTGAAATATCTCCAATGGCAAGCCAGTTACACTCATACTAGACCATATCGAATCGCTCAATTCGGTCGCAAGAGAAAGAACAATGAGCAAAACAAGTCGCACAACCTAGTTTTTCAGGAAGGGGACGATGCTGAAATCATCAGAGACATCAGAGGAACAACAGAAGCAGAAGGAAACCAGAGTTTCACCCTTGAGACCAATGGCTTTGTGTATTCAAAGTACCCGCCGCCTTTATTCACAAACCCAAAGGATTTTGGCGACCCAGATCATATTCAAAATATCTTTTTGCCGGAATGTGAGGCGATCTTGAGAAATGAGATTGAGGGAGTGGACCAGGTTTTTATTTTCGATTGGAAGGTGGGTATCCTAAGGACTTACGAAATCGAGGCTTGATATATTGAGACTTACTTTCGACCTTCTGCTTTGAATAGATAAGAAAAAAGAAAAGCGCCAAAGAACGGCGAAAGAGGAACGATAATCTATTGAGTTTTGCGCGACAAGTGCATGTAGGTAAGTCAAACCGGATGTCATGCTGAGACCAATTCACCGTATCCCATTACTAAAAGGATATCCAAGACACTTTACTCACCAAAGACGAACCTGGGACTTCAATGATAGAGCGTATTCGCAATCATATCCCCGAAGAATCCCGCCACCTTCTCTCCGGTCGAGTACAGATGATCAAGTAAGTGTGAAGAAAAAGAATTGGGGACTTCTCAACTCCCACTCCTCCCCTTCAAAAGCCGTTAAAAGTATATAGCTATATATATGCCTTTACAGCCCGCTTGAATTTCTCTAACATGTGAATTTCAGCATGTGGCGGCCAATTAATGGACCCGTCGAAGATCAACCTATTGCTGTGTGTGATGGAAGAACCTTCGACACATCTAAATTGGTCGAAACAGCCATGACCCGCGGCGACTATACAGGTACACTGCTTTATCCACTTTATAAACCAGGCAACACTCGCCAATGGTACTATTTAAGCAGACAAGGCGTTGAAGATGTGCTGCTGTTTAAGAGTTTTGACTCGAAATCGGGTAGTGTGAAACGTGAGTGATATTCCAACCTAGCATTCCATGTTCTATCCCACAATTTATTCGAAGACGGGAAGACGGGAAATGGAAATAAGATGGTTCTAACGAATGCATACCTTGTGTTTTAGATACCCCTCACACATCATTCGCATTGCCGGATACCCCGGATGATGTATGCCCAAGGATCAGTGTTGAGGTCAGGGCCTTAGTGTTTATGCGCTCTATGGAAAGTGCTTAGTTAATTTACCCTTCCCAGGTTATTGATCCCAAATAACCACAAGCTCCTGCTATAGCCATGGAATATAGGTATGGCGGAGACAAATATAAAGACAGCGTTGGTTCCCACTATACGCCCATTATTTCCCCTTCAGACCAGGGATCCCAGTCATTAGCGCTCTTGTTCTGATCGAAAAAATTGTGCATGTGTACATGTTTATTAGCTACTACCTTTATACCAGGTTATGTTGCCACACAGCTCGTGGCTCTCCTACCATCAGCCAGATGACCTACCGTGGCTAAAATGAGCAGCATCTCAGCTCTCATCTAAAAAACAAGAAGAGGACAATATTATCGCCTTTCGACAATTATCTAAGATTTTTCTGTCCTGTTGAGATTTAGCTTGCGCTAGCTGTTTATCAAAACATCACAATGTTCCCTCCCAACGAACCTTGCAAACCGATCACATTAAATTATCAGTTAAACGAACAACACAGCCGTATACCAACGCATGAGAACGATGGAATAAAGGTTCAAGGCTTACAGAATATGAGCGACGATACTATTTGCTTTAAGCCGTCAAGATATGTTCCAATACTCGTATTGCTCTACACTGCCTGTACGCTTACAGCATGGTCAATCATCTGCACCTCGAGCCGGAATCTTATTGTGCAACTCCCCGAATCTTCCTACTAAAACATGGAGCTTGATCCAGACAAACCAAAAATTGATGCCAAAGCTCGTATCAAGAATATCGATCGTTGGAATCGGACAGCTCGGGCCCTCTGGGGCATTGGCAGCGTGTTGACACTGCCCTTGACATCAGCTGTATGTTCTTTCGTGGCTTTTGGCTACATCCAGACCCAAATATCTCGCAACGGGTGCCTCACATTGAGCCAGACTATGACTCTTGCGGACTGAGGGTGGACTAGCCCTGCCATTATTCTATCTCTCCTGAGACGGCCCAAACAATGCATCAGTTCTCTTCTAACCAATATACTCTGCTGGCTTTAACAATGGGCGAGACTCAACAGGACTGTCCAAGTAGTAGACTCCATAGCGACAGACTCGCCACCTGGGTAACATACTTCTCACATCCGGATTATGCAATACCTGCCCTCAGTCAGGCAGCTTTGCTCGCGGATCATGCTGTCTTGCTTTCGGCTTGAGGTGGGGAAACTCTGAAGATATATGGGAAAAGAGGTATGGACTTTTCGCGGCCGAATATGTCCACCACATCAATGGTCGCTCTCTCGATTCTCTGTGCGGTCTATCTTTTTGTTCATATCTTTTTATGCTGTTTGGGTGCCATGAGTGTTCCTTGGACTGGATCCCCCGACAGCCACGCTATGGTGATGATTACTGCTGCATTGTGCGACACACCTGGCATTAATGTGGATAAGGAGCTGGCCGAGGAGGGGGATTTTATGGACATACTTCCAGGGTACGTGGGTGACGCAGAGCCTGATGCCCCTGTTGGGAGACTTACTGTTGGAGCTGAAGCTCCGTTTAGATGGAAAAGGAGGTATTGGAAGGGTAAGGGGTTGGCATTATAGATCTAAGGAGACAGGAACAACTAGAGACAATCACAAACAAGAGACAACAACACGAGAGAACAACACGAGAGAAAGAACAACGAGAGTGAAAGAGGAATAAGACAAGATGGAAGTGGAAAATAACAAGGAAGGAACCTTGAAGAAAAAGTGTCCTCAGAAATTCTTCGGACAACAGAGAGCTATCTCTGTCATGAAGGTTCCAAAAATTAAAAGCAAGGAGATGAGAACAGAGCTCCTTTTGTTTAATGCTCCTGACGGACGGACAATGGAGATCCCAGAAAAGTACAGTCAGTATCCACAGAGGCCTGGGTAAGTCCAACCGATTGGTTCCCGAAGGAGGTCCTTTCTGAAGGTCCGCCAGACATGCTTCGTGCCAGCTGAACTAGAACCGAGGCCCTAGCCCAGTTTCAGAGTTAACTGAGCCGCTGCAAAGTCCTAATCAGTGCCCTCAGGGTCCCCTTCACTGGACAACAGTAGACATATGTAGCACATGAATCCGGAGCTGAAGTTCAAAAAATTGAAGGGTACTCAACAGGAACCACGGTGTGCAATGTGGACCCGGAGTGGTATGAAGAAAGAAAGAAAGAAAGAAGAAGAAGAGAGAGAGAAATGGGAGGGGGAGGGGTATTTATACCTTTCCTGTAGCTTAAGGTAATGGGGAAACTGGGGTGGGTGACGATTTTTGACCCAAAAGGGAAGGCACCTGAAATGGGACGAAATAGCATGTGAAGAATCATGCCCCACTGTTTGCTGCTCTAAAATCTCTCGCTCATGTCAGCTTGACCTTACGTGCTCTACTCTGGAAGTCGTATATTGGATGCCTAGAATTTTCAATGTGATTCATGCGACGGGCTGCGGTGATAGCAGATGTTGCCTATGTATGATGATGATTATATTATCATTTGTCTGCTCTATATATGTTGCTTCATATACACGCTGCAATGCAGGAAAGCCATCAGACTAAATCCGTAGCTATGAAAGAGTCAAGCTCAGGTCATGGGGGTATCAAAGAAAAAGCAAGGCAAGATATGTATGACGATGGTTTCGTGAAGGAGTCGGCGTCGTAGAGAGAGGGTAAAGAATAAGCAGCGGAAGAGAGTAGAGTTTGAGTATACTTCAGTGGGTGTTTGAGAGCAATTATCCTCCATTAGCAGGGTCGTCAATGTACAAGACAGGCCACGCGCCGAGTGTCGATGAACGAGGTGAAAGAGGTTAGAGGTGTCGATTCACGCCAGCTTCACTTCAAGGAAGAAGGATATTCGTCTGAACTTCTTCCAAGGTCTGGATCCAACCTCTAGGAAAGGAGCGTCGTTTGAACCAGACCCCTTCTAGGATCTCGAGTGCTTTGTCGACATTCTAAATTGTGAGAGATTAGCATTCAAACTGTCGTCTTGATCAGATTCGTTTGCGACATACCCTGAAACCAAACCGCTTCAACTCTTCCATAGTTTGACGAATGTATTTTTGCTCAGACTCATTCCGGGTCTCCTGCCCAGCAATGAAAAGCGGCCACAGGAAAGCCAATTGGCCGATATCTTTTGGCAATTTGTATGCCAGTAGAAGAATCCGATTGATAAGCATGTCCATATACGTCCAATCATTGATCCAACCGACACGCCCAGCTCCAGCGACCTGGAGCAGATGAACGAATGTCGCCTTCTCGTATGCTTCAATGCAGCCCGCATACTCAAGAACATCAGGATACGGATACTGAGCAAGACTCTCGTCATCCAGATCGGCGAGAAGCTGTAGACACGGCGGGGTCATGGCACGCCATACAACCAGCTGATTGAAGATGTCTTTATACGTCTCGTCTGACTGCTCGATTGTCATCCATGTTTTCTTGTCCGATGCAAATGTGCTGATAGATGCTTGCACTTCCATCAGGCTTGACCATGCCTGCCGCAGCTCGCTCAGACGTGGGTTGTCGGGGATCGTTGACAATAAGCTTGGCGTCCCAAGATTGTATTCCCACCCTCCACCCATGGTCGTCCAGTAATTACCTTCGACCACGGTACCGCCGGGAATTGCGCATGCTCCCGCCACATCGAGATACGAGAGTAGGGAGACGAGGAACGGGCGGAGCGGGTGGTTCATCTCGGCGACGCGTTGTTCTTCACGCGCCGAGTCTCCGGGTTGCGGGTAGAAGAGAAGGTTGTAGATTTCGCGCGCTCCTTTGAGATGTACTGCCCAGTTGTGGTGTTGGGAATCCATCATCTGCAGAGATGTTAGTTAATTGATCATGAATTGTAGGTCTGTAAGACAAGTGGGAAGACAAACTTCGAATAAGGAAAGTAATAGGCACGTCGCGAAATCCGTTAACCCAAGCTGCTGGCTGGGATCTGAGTATCGCGCGCGGAAGCCCTTCACCACCACACCGTATTTGCCCATTGCCTGCTGGAAATGCCTATTCCGCTGCGACCCCACCGATGTATTCGCGAGATGTAATGCGCCCAATGCCTGCATTGCATTGACCATTGTTGGAGACGATCGGGCGAAATCCGGGAAATGTGTGCGGTAGGGATTGGCATTGTGGGGGGTGTTGTAGATCATCAGGAAGGTTGATACCTGATCCGCAAAGTGAGTGAGATAACGCTCCTCATTGCGCTGGATCGATTTCGCGATACTGATCGAGGTAATAGGATCCTGGAAGCGGAATTTGGTTGTTGCTTGTGCTAACGTTGTGGGGGCGACCATCGCGTTGCAGGTTTTCTTGATGTCAACATCTTCCCTCTCCCCATCAGGGGAGACCGCAGAAGCATCGCTTGACTCTGGGCTGGATGTTGAAATGTTGTTCCGTCTCTTCGGTGCCCTGGACGACTCTGGCGATGAATCCGTCGATGTCTGAGAGACTCCGTAAACCTTGAAGGTCATCCGCCCTTGCGCGCCATCGCACTCGCGCCCAAGACGGATGCAGTTATTACAGGCGGGAGATGCCTCGTCGCAGCGAACATGGCGGCGGCGACAGGTGGAACAGCCTGTAAATCCTCGGTGGTGCCAGCGGCGGACTCGTTTTAGGGGTTCGGTAGGTTGTGTATCCAACGCGTCGGACAACGGTGCGCCCTCCGTGCGTATCTCCATCGGGCGCAAGACTCGGTGGTCAAATATTGTTCAGACATGGACACTTAACATGAAGGCCCATCGTCATTAACCATGGTGGGTGTTACAAGGAGAGTTCAACTTCGGAGGTCTCTCTCTGGGTTTGGAGGGGCGCTAACGGCAAAACGCATCACGTATCGGCTCTTGGCCAACGGCTTCTCATCTTTATATTAAAATATCTCAATGTCCTAAATTAAACACTTTTATACCCCTCCATATCGGTTTTCTGACACTTAAAAGCTTTTAGCTCGACTTCAGCGCCAAGGACTCATGCACAGCTGTTTTTCGAGTTGGCTTTAACTAGTGCCACACACCAAAGAATTCATCTAACCAAACCCAACACATAGGAAGCTCACCCCGATCTTGTGGGAGCCGTTGGATTGTGTATATTGACTACTGAGTATAGGCATCAAACTGGAAGATCAGTTTCAAATCCAATTGAAAATACAAGCTCACTTACAATGCACTCTTCAAAAGGCACGCTAGAGTTCAGAATGGCCCCTATGGCCGCCCGGGCAATTGTTACTGGCACCCCAATATGCACCGCCTGTTGCTCTGCCTGCTTGAGGACGGCCTCATTGCGCGAGGGAACGTTCACAGATGCTCGAGTGGATTTGAAACGAGTTGCCTCGCGGACGTATGCGGCTCTATATGAGTTGAGGTGTCAATGCCAATATCATAACTCAAGATCATAGGATTCTTGATCTACGGAGGTCAGAGTACAAACCGTTGATTTAGGAGATCGAGTATTTGATCGTCGATATCATCGAGCGCGGTGCGGATCTCGTCCAGAGAGTCACAGCACGTAGTTAGCGTACCATTTAATGACGAAAAATGGACACTAGGGGTACCCCATGGCACAGGGCGATGATCCTCTGAAGGTGTTGAGATCACATTGGATCCATAACAGGCATTCGTATTGACATTGGCATTGGCTGCTGAACCGATGGCAGTGGAAAGGGTTAAACCCCCAAAGAGAACCTGGAAAATCATTACAGTAAGTACAACATAGATAATAAGCAAGAAACTAACATTCAGAGGAATAATAAAATCACAACCCCTAGATTTGCTTTTTTCTACTTTGATTGCCTGCCCTAACGGGTTAGGCTGATCATGGAATGCCCACTCTTCCAAAAGATATACTTCACCAATGCGGGGAAAGTAAACACGGATTTCCCTCCGACCTTCCTACCGAAGCCCGAAGCCCCTCTTCGGCTGTTTAGAATTTATTTAAAAGAACTTGCTCTTCTATTACTTCTAATCACTATCTATTCTCTTACTGAAGCATCAATATGTCACAAGGTTCAAGACTCCAAGGCAAGGTTGCCATCGTCACCGGTAAGACTTTTATTCCAGACTATTCCGTTGTGGATGCTCATAATCTTCCTTTTAGGAGGAGGTAATGGATTTGGCGCAGCTATCGCTCGACGATTCGGCGAAGAGGGCGCTAAAGTAATCCTTACCGATGTCAACGTTGAGGGCGGCGAGAAAGTCGCCGCGCAAAATCCTTTCAATCTCATCTTTCAGCGCCAAGATGTCACACAAGAAGCGGACTGGAATGCCGTTTTAGATTTGGCCTTCTCCAAGTTTGGGCGAGTCGATGTGCTGGTTAATAATGCAGGCACTAGTTATCGCAATAAGGTGGGTTTGCATGTAGTTGTATGATGAGACCTCGCTAATTACTTGCAGCCGACAGCAGAGGTTACAGAGGAAGAGTGGGAGCGAGTATTCAAGGTCAACGTGAAGAGCATTTATCTCGCTACAAAAGCCCTGATGCCGCGTCTCATCGAGCAAGGCCAGGGTGGGTCGGTGATCAACATCTCCTCCACGGGAGCGAGTCGACCACGGCCTGGGTTGGTTTGGTATAATGCCACCAAGGGGGCAGTGACTAATGTGAGTGGATTTTGGATAGTTAATGAGTGATAAATGGCTAATAATTTATCTATATAGGCCACCAAAGGTCTCGCCGCGGAATACGGTCCCCACAATATCCGATTCAACACTGTCGCTCCTCTTCTCTCTGGCACTGGACTATTTTCCATGTTCACCGGCATGGAAGATACACCCGAGAACCGAGAGAAGTTTATCGGAAATGTGCCACTGGGCCGCCTCACCGACGTGGATGATATCGCCAACATGTGCCTGTACCTGGCCAGTGATGAGGCTCGTTTTATCAATGGCACTGAGATGGTGGTGGATGGTGGAAAGTGTGTTTAGATATCAGGAACAAGTCGGAGATACAAGGTTGTATAGCACTGAAGGTCGCATGCCTTAATAAAACAAATCAAAGTCAACTTTGCAATCAATTTCTCCATCCCGATTTTACCCCGCAGAAACGTGGGGTAGAAGTAAAAGCGAATTGTTAAGATGTCACGCCATGGTTTTATCTGCCGACATAACTTGCATCCTTAAGCCACTACCGAGTGCCACTAACTGGACACAAAAATGACATCCAACTTCAAATCCATCCCGGTACTCGACCTATCCCTCGCCAACTCGCCCTTAACTCGGCCTAAGCTTCTCCAAGAGCTCCACCACGCCTTCACCTGCATTGGGTTCCTGTATATCACGAACCACGATGTTCCACAAGACGTAATATCAGACCTGAAACATGCCCTCCCTAAACTCTTTGCCCTTGATCCGGCCGAAAAAGACAAAGTGGCTTTGCACAACTCCCCCCATTTTCTGGGATACAGTCAAGTCGGCTCAGAAACAACAGCCGGAGTCGCAGATAAACGCGAATAGTTCGAGTTTGCAACCGAGCTCCCGGACTTATGGCGCGTGGGTCTTCCTCTTTATGAAAGGTTAAAAGGACCAAACCAGGTATATCGAGTCCAGGTCATCAGCCATTTGACTCTAAAGTTGTGCTAACAATAAGTAACAGTGGCCATCACAAGACCCGTCTCTTCGAAGTGTCATTGAACGATATATCCACGAATTAACAAAGCTCAGCGAAAGATTCTTACGCTTGGTCGCCGAAGCACTCTCCCTGGATTCAGAGACTTTATTCTCATTCCTCTCGGAGCAGCATCGTCTTAAGTTAGTCCATTATCCGGCCTCAGATCTTAGTTCAGATCCGAACAATCAAGGTGTAGGCCCTCACAAAGATTCCTCTGGGTGGTGGACATTTCTTCTTCAAGCTTCACCCCCAACCGTGAAGGGTTTACAAGCTCTCAACAAGACCGGTGAATGGATCGATGTTCCTGTCATTGAGAATACGTTCGTTGTGAACATCGGCCAGGCTTTCGAGGTGATTACTCATGGTGTGTGTAAGGCAACGACGCATCGTGTGTTGTCAGGTCTTTCAGAGAGATACAGTGTGCCCTTTTTTCAGGGTGTTCGGGGAAGTCTGACAAAGGAGGAGGCGGTTGGGACTTTAAGGAGTCATTTTGCTATGCAAAAGATGGCGCTGGAGGCGTCGGAGGGTGCGAGTGTTGACTCGGCCTTTTTGAGGGGAAGGTATGATACTTGGGGTGAGTCGCAATTGCGGACAAAGATTCGGAGTCATCGTGATGTGGGACGAGTATTTTATGCAGATGTATTTCATGATTATGTCAATGACGATAATTGATATCAATGATTGAGTGAGAAAGTTGAGTGTATCGTGCGGAGGTTCGTGATATATTGTCAGAGAGAAGAACGATCATGGGTATAAGCAAAATGACAAAAGGGAAGGTATGAGATTTGGCAGCTACCGGAAGGTTGAACTCTGCGGATATAAAGCCTCCTGCTTTTCTCATTCTTCGTTTCACTATTCTATGCAAGGCTCTCGTCGTATTTGATAGTAGCTTAGGTTTCTCCTACACAAAGTAGCGTAGAGAGAATCGAGGTTATGGAAAGGCCATATCCTTAGGATGGACCAAAAAAACTGGTCATCGAAGACTACATAAATTTCTTCGACTTGGAGGAAGATTTCAAGTCCAGGGTACATGTTACTACGGGGCATTGCAAGGTCCATCAGTCATCAAAACTTCTATTTAATCTAAATAGTTAATCTATATGAGACTGGATCGCGCTAGAGGTCACATAAAACTCCCGCTCGGCATTGGCATTCTAAGTGCGGGTATAACTGTAACAGGTGCCGTATTGCGGGGATCAAATGGCACGCTAAGGGAGAAAAACGGGTCGGAATAGACTCGCTTATATGTATAGCGCGAACTGAAACCAGTGATATTCAGGGACTTGCCATTTTTGGACTGTTCACATGGAGATGGATACGTCTTCTACTACCTGAATATATTGTAGACTTACGAATGTATACCATGTGGGGATTGGTGATGTAGATCTGGAAATTTGCCGCCTGCTCGTAGGCGTACCTGCATACTCTAGCTCGTACATGGACAGAGGCAGTAGTATTTTGTACATCGTGCACACATGGGATTTAGATCGGATCTCAAGGGAGTTCCAAGGTGTTTTCTCTGTGAACGATCAAGTCAGGCCCACTTATTAACTCCACACAGTGGATTCATCCAAACAATCTTCCAAGATTGGAAGGAACCCTGTAGCATATCAATGGTTGTGGATATTTTTATCATGGGCTCTATATGGGTTATTGGGAAAAGGGGAGAGAATATTAGACACCTCATATATTAAAATTCCCACTCAACCGTATTATAGACAAACATCAACGCACATACTTCGTATAGTACCCCAGGAATGGGCGGCATCGGAATGAGAAGCGAAGTCTGCAGATCATCATTTGAGATAAACGCTTCATTGTTTCGTCTATATCAATTCATAAAATGCAAGGTACCCCGTGAATACAATAGGTCTATATAAAGGGCCTTGAATAACCCGATTGGAGATTTGATTCCACACACTCAATCCTCTCAAACCCTAAACATGAGATTCCCTCGATCCCTCTTCTTCGCCCTCCCTTTCCTTCAGTCTGCCGCGGCCCAGGGCGGCGGTATGGTTGGCCTTGGATGGTCCGTCGAGAACGTCACCGATGCAGGCCTGAGCGAGATTTTCTTCCAAATGGACATCTCCGGCGCTCCCCATGAGGGCGGATTCTACTTCGCCCAGCAATTCGGCTTCGTTAACCAAGACAATGTGGGCTATACCGGTCTCCAGCCCCGTGAAAATGACCACGGTCTTCCCGTCATCCACGGAGTATTCTCCAGCTTCAATGAGGGCACCACCTCCGACGATCCCAACTGCTCCGACGGTGCCGACGGTGGCGCCGGCGTGAGCTGTGCTGTTGAGATCGTCAGCTCTTACGATCACCAATATCAGCTCCACATCAAGAACACCGAGGGAACTAAATGGGTTGGAACTCTGGTTGATGTTGTCAAGGGAAACAGCACCCAGATCGGCTCTTACACTCTTCCCGCTGGTTCGAAGGGTATTCAGAGCTCCCAGTTGGGATTCATTGAATTGTACGGATGGAACGATGGAAAGAAGGAGCACGTATGCTCTGATGTGCCTAAGCAGTCGGTTATTTTTGGCGCGCCTATCTCTAAGGGATACAAGGGATCCCTGAGTGGGCCTTATGAGTATGGTGATTGTGTTGGTGAATCTCAATTCGAGGCACACAGTCATTCTGATGGCAGCTATTCGGTCACTGTTGGATGGTAAATGGAGGAAGTAGTTGAGACAAAGACCTCGCAGGTTTTTGTCGGGTTTATTAGGCATGAATTAATCCTATCTCTTCAGTTCCAAATGCTTTCCCTTATTGGGTGTCCAACACGAAGAGGTTGAGCAAAAGTAGTAGAGAATAGTACTGAAACAAACGTAACAGGAATTATTATAAGCAAAATAGATATTGCCACAATATGTAGCTGTTTGGATTTAGAAGATAACTAGTAAGATTGTTATTCTCGGCTCTATAATCTAAACCTCTATCATCTATTCTCTAAAACCGCCTAGCCTCAACAGCAGGCTTATTCCCAACAGCAACCTCAATCTTCTCAATAACCTCATCGGTCAACTTCTCCACCACACCCAAAGCCCGAATATTATCAACAACCTGCTGCGGTCTCGACGCACCCGTAATCATAGACGAGATATTCGGGTTTTTCAAAATCCACGCAAGCGCCAATTGCGCCGTTGAAACCCCAAGTTCCTCAGCAATAGGCTTCAATGCCGCAACCTGATCCAGCTGTCTCTGCCAGATCTCATCACCAACAGTCTTGCGCAGACCCTTGACATATCCATCCTCTGACTCTGCCAACCGCGATCCAGCCGGAGGAGCAGAAACATCATTATACTTGCCCGTCAAGACGCCGCCCTTTAACGGCGAGAACACTGTCAGGCCGAGCCCGTGCGCCTCGTACAGCCAGCGGTACTCCTTCTCTACACGCTCGCGCGCGAGGAGGTTATACTGCGGCTGCTCGACGACAGGTCCGACGAGACCGAGTCTGTCGGCGATGCGCCAGGCATCGGCGATTTCGCTTGCAGTCCACTCTGACGTGCCCCAGTAAAAGGCCTTGCCGTTGTCGATGAGGTAGTTGAAGCCCCGGACGATTTCTTCCATGGGTGTGTCGCGGTCTGCACGGTGTGCGTACACGATATCTACGTATGGCAGGTCTAGTCGTTTCAGGGAAAGATTCATGCCCTCGATGATGTGCTTGCGGGAGAGACCGTTGTTGTTGAGGGGTTTGTCGGGGTTGGCGCTGTTGGCTCTGCCCCAGTATAGCTGAGAGATGGGTTAGCGCGGACAAGAAGATTAAACGGCGAATTGTGCTGCTTAGGTACCTTGGTCGAAATGACGAGGTCGTTTTGCTTCCAGCCGAATTTCTTGATTGCCTCTCCGAGCACAATCTCAGACTTTCCGGCTGAGTATACTTCGGCGGTATCGAAGAAGTTGACGCCGGCATCGTAGGCAACCTTCATGCATTCAAGGGCGGTTTCTGTTGTCTGTTAGCTTTGATCAATTCCGTCGATAGAGAGCGCCATACCATTGCCGACGTGTCCGCCATATGTGAGCCAGCTACCTAGTGAGATAACTGAGACTTTCAATCCGGTCCGACCGAGGAACCGGTACTGCATTTCAGGAAGAGCGTCCGACATTATGAATTTTGTTCAAATTTTGTTCAATTAAGATAAATTTAGGGAACTAAAGTCCCAAGGGGGGTACTTTTATATTCCACCTGCATTGCAGGTAAACGGGCCGATGCGGGGTTGAGGGAGGGTATTTCCCCGATTGGGACGTCGAAGGCGGCTTGGGCCTTTCGTGGCGTAGAAAACTGGGGCAGTGGGTGCTTTCTAATTAAAATCGAACCATCTGGAATTTGCGTTTGATTAAGAATTGTGGTGCAATATGGGGTGACAATGACCTCAGAACAATTGAATTGTGTTTACTACACATTACTTAATTATCTTAATTCTCTCAATCCTCAATTTTCACTGGTATATCAACTCGCACCCAGTTGGATTAGCACCAGGCCAGTCAGGATAAACTGGAGTCTGTCCCGCGTGGGCGCATTGACAAAAGTTAGTTTGCAGAGGTATATCCGAGCAAATGCCCACCGGCTGGGTGGCGCAGTACTCATTGACCGAGACGGAGGTCGTCATACCCCGTGGGCAGTAACTGTGTGGCATACAGAAGGTGTCATAGTTCGACGAGCCTGGCAGTAGGGTCATGCTGTACCATTGGCTTGTAGCACAGGAGCAAGCGACAGCTACAAGAAGCGAGGACATTCAAGTTAGCCTCAGTGCTCAAATTTTGTCTCATGAGAAAAGGGATAGGAACGAAGGTGTGGAGAAAGAATCAAGAAACTTACCCCTAATAACAGTTGATTCGCCTCCCACCAAGGTGCCCTCATATATGGTCGACGTCGAATATGGAATCGCCCCATTTGAGCACCGGGTGGTAATCCAGGGTTCGCTGAGCGGGAAACAGCTCGATTCCTCCATACAATGATCTGGATGCCAGACCGACGGGAAGAAGCCACGTGAGCACTCGATTGGAGGCTCCTGGCTGAAGCAGTATGAAACAGGGGTTCCCAGTGTACAGTCTGTGGTGTAGACGGCAGTTTGTCCATTCGGGCACCAGAGCTCGGGGCCTTGGGTGATCACCGCTGGAGCTGCAGTCGCGGTGATCGAGGCAGTTTGTTGAGGAACAGCCAATGTGGCTGAGATGAAGGACGCGAGCAAGAGATAGACTAGGCGGAGGGGTTCCATTATGATAGCCTCAAAGTTCTTAGATAGGCATAGGAGAACTTGATATGAGAAATGCGATGGCCAATGTGCAGTTGCTGTACCTGAGCTAGAGAGAGCTTTCTCTTCAGAGCCCAGAGCTGGATCTTGTTTTATATTGGCGCAGATCCAACACTGAGCACAACCCAATTGGGGCTTTTCTAGATTGTGGGCTCACTCAGCTTGGTTGATCGAAGCCACCACGATCAGAGACAGTGCAGTTCACCTCATACCACCTCGCAATTGTATGCAACCCTTTGATAGATCGCAATAACTAGGCCGAGAACACCGTTTCTAAAAGCCTCAGCAGCCTGGCTAGACAAAGCTTATAAAAATAGTAGCTTACCCCTCGTCAACAAGGCAAGGGATCCTTATTCGGGAAGTCCATGACACAGAAAACGCCTTTTCAGTAACGGGGTTAGTGGCTACCAATGTCACTTTAGTGGCCAAGCAAAACAGGATCTTGAAATGACGGTATGGGAGCAGAGAATTGGTTTCTATGTTGTGCAAATAAAAGTATGCTACAAGGACAGCTGGCTCAGAGAAGATACACCAAGGAAAGACATGGCAAGGTTGCGACGCTGACTTGACTTGTCTGTGGTTAAAGGGTTGGATATTTGTCTTATCACATTCTAGACCATTTTTTGTTGTTCTATCTTAGAATTGATGGTCTCGCCGCTGTTTTCGGGCCACGTTATGTCCCATTTGTCCCACGCGATTGTTGCACAGAATATGTACAGCATGGCCGTTGTCTGTTGAACCACAGTGGGCTGATCTTTGCTTTGTATGGAGATTCTGAGACACCTGCTGAGGGGTTGAGGTGAAATGAAACATTGGGAAATAGTTGAATATGAGAGTGGAGTTCGACTGAGACCTAGGTTGTATACATTGCTGAGACTGGAGATAACCGAAGTGGCGGACAGGGATGGAATGCAGGCAACTAGCAAAGCTTGGTTTTTATACATAAAACCGGTTATTTGTCGACCAATGCGGTTCAATTGTGTACCAGCCAGGAGTATTTAAATTTTTATCACGAGAACGACAATATGGTCAATGTACACCCTCCCAGACTGACTGGAGGATGTCCAACAATCAGAACAAAATTAATGTACATGAATCAAAGCTCCCAGGGTACAATCCAGCAAGTTCAAGGTGCAACTTGATATAGAAGCATGGGGTATATCTTATCGGTCAAGGTGGCAGAAAGGAGAATGACGCGCTGCGTACTCTGCGCATTGAGTTCCAGACGCCCACAACGGAGGTTCTTAAACCTAGTTGTGCGCGTGACCGTGACGGTGGTGAGGGTTTCTGCGGGCATGGCCAGCAGCCTGCTCCGGTTCCACAGGTTCCGGGACAGTGTCCTTCTTCACGTAGGAAACGGCTGTGGAGGTTTCCATAATGGTGGTGATGGTAGATGAGACAGTACGAAGGGCGCCAGTGCTAGTCGAGTAAGTCTCGCCATTTCCATCACAGAGGACGACAACTTCACGTTGAATATAGATAATCTCTTCGGTGTGAGGATCGATAATAGTAGATGTGACGGGGGTCGGGGTTGGCGAGGGAGTCGAGGTGGAGGTGAAAGAAGTAGTAGCAGCAGCTTCAGTAGCGCTGGGCAAGTGGAGGTTGCCAAGCAAGGTGTTGGGATCAATCGAAAATCCAGCAATGGAAATGGTGGGAAGTGTGATGAGGTTGGCGGTGGTTGTGCTTGCAGCCCCGGCGTTCATCGAGGCAGGCTCGGGGCCCCACTGAATAGCCATACCGCCAGGCAGTCCGTCGTCGTGCATTTCACAATTTTCGTGTTTGAGCGCGGAAGGGACGGGGAACTGGCATTGACGCTGTTCATCTTCCGACTGAATGTCGAAGATTTGGCAGTCGCCAACAATACCTGTCTCGCTGGTGCAAGTTTCAATAGCCTCCTGTAGCACGCCGGAATCCCAGGCCTGCATGAAATCACCGTGGTATCCGTATCCAGTAGGGTCACCATTGGAGAGAGCGAAATATCCATCGACGCCCTTGAATGCGTAAGTGTCCCAAATAGTCTCGTAGAAGAGTGATACCAGGCGAGTCTCGAAACCCTCGGGGCAAGTACCATCCATAACGAGGGACGGGTATGCGACATGGGATTTGTGATCAAGGGAGTCAGCATCCTTACCATTCCAGCAGGATGGGAACATCAACTCAAAGCGGACTCCGTCGGTGCAGTGCTCATCGAGGTAGGTCTTGTTGGGCAAGAAATGGCGGTAGAGAGACTCTTCAGCGGCTGCCTGGTAGTTCAGGCAGTTGAAGCCAAGGGCCTTCTGGCGCAAAGCAGCTTGTGAAGCCTGAGCACCACTCCACGAGGACTTGGGAGGGTCGGGAACTGGCCAGGTGAAATTGCGCTGGAAGGGGTCGCCAGCCAGCATGCGGAAGTTATCTGGGAAGGCAGTGATATTCTGTCCATACAGAAGGTAGTAGCTGATTGAGCGGTGTTAGTAGAGCTCCACCGCCGAGAGCCAAGTCAGACTTACGCAAGCATGCCTCCAACCTCATCAACTACCTGGGCACTGCCATTGGTGTGCATGAAGTACAAAGCGGGAGCCCAGTAAGCAGACTTGTCTTGAGTCACTGCGCACGAGGTGCAATCGCCACTGAGGAGCGATTCCTGATCCGAGCTCATGCCAAAGCCTAACCGTATGTCAGCATATCTGTAGGTGAATATCCAAACTATAGGATACTGCGCGCTTACTTCCACCTCCATGGACCGCGTGAACGTGACCTGAGACCTCACCCGGGTCCACAATGGGGTCCACGCGGGCGAGACCAGTTCTACCACGGCATGGAAGACGCCAAAAGGCATTTGTATAGCTTGGGAATAGCGCAAAGCATGCCATCACGATGGCTGTCAGTCGAAAGTCCTGCATGTTGATGTGGTTGAGCCGCGTCCACGGGCTCGGCGATCGGATAAAAATAAAGAATGAATGATCTCAGGGAAATAATTGTAAATGACAGACTCGCCGGCAACCGAATCAACCGGTTAGGCGTGGAGAAATGAGTGCGAGAGATGTAGATACTAAGCAATATGTTAGTAAAGTCAAGGTGTTAAGCACTCCATGTCGCAAATTCAAGATTCCAAGTCAACCGTCATACAAATACTCCACTCTTATATCGACCCCTTCCAGTACAAGGGTAGAGGAATGATCCCTTGCTTGGGCGGAGTACACCACTCTCCCCGATGGACGATCGAGAAAGAAAAAAGGGTAACAAGGTATGCGGACTTACCGATCTAGCGCGTTACTCCTGACGTCAGTAAACAAAGATGATTTCTGACGATTTCTGCGAATCCCTGAACGCCCATTTTATCAGCCTCAACTCTATTTTTCAATAGTACGTCCATAAAAACGCCTAAAAAGAAGAAGGTACTCACTTTGATTTTGGCAAACAAATATAGAAAAAGAATAAAACAGTAAATGAGCGACGAAAGGTATGAACGAGTGACAAACCCTGAGATAGGGCAAAAGAGTGGCAGGACAAAGTAAGAGGGGGGGCAAGGGAATAGATTAAGGAGCAGCACACGGGGATCAAGTACTTCAAGGAAGAAAAGTTAGAATTATGCACACACGATTTACCCTCAATAATGCGGCGCCAATCCCTCCCCTTAGTGCGTAGAGAGGGGCCTGAGTTTAATGAGTCGGCCAATCCCTTGATATTCTGGATATTAGGGTAGGCTGGGGGCATCATGACTATTAGAACATCAGCCACCCCTCTATACCCCTAGTCTTACGATTGGGTGTTCGTCTGAGAATTAAAATGAGCAACCCTGGGCTAATCCCGAATTTGGCGCCAGAACACGAGGGAGAATAGAGGGGTTAGATAACAGATTCTTATTCAAGGTGGACTTTCGTGTGTTCCAAGTCGATATCTGAGACGCTGAAACGAACGGCGCGTTCCTGGGCGAATTCACTAGCCCGGTCTTGGTGACCCACGTTGACCGTGGGGATTGGCCTGAAGAGAACATGAAACGACCCGTAGATTATACCCCTTTTCGGCATTAGACAGGGGAAATTTGCAATTACGGCTTTGTAGCAAACAATATAAAATGTACTATAAACGATAGCAACCATATAAAGTAGTAACAAGTTAGTTATACTTCGCATACAATGTTGTATGTTACATCCTGCCGGATATACATGTCAACTTTAATACAAAGTACAAAGTCTATGATTAGACTAGCTCAGACAGTAGCCGTTTGAGGTTTGAGGAGGGTTTAAGACATCATACATATCCCTGCAATATTCCGATCCAATAAGCCTGCACTCCGATGTCTCAGATCTTCTGTTGATAGTGAAACCATGAAGCGAAGCTTTTTAACATTCTGCTACGGAGTACGGAGTAGTTCACCGGCACTTACTCCGTAGTATTCTATATATTATGAGAATAAAATCATGTGTGGATTAGTTATATTTTATTATTAGATCTGTGGTGGAGTTAGTAAATCTGATTAAGCATCCGAAACATATATATATTGATGTCTCCAGGGCCTTGATTAGGTCTTAGTCTAACTATAGAAATGGAGAAAAACCATATTCCATATTCCATATTCCATTTTTGCTAATGCTTGCCTGAGCAAGTCTTGTAACGAAAGAACATACCTATTAAGCGCATTGAAGGTGAAGGTGAGTCTGACAGTGTTTCCTAAACGGGATCCAAGCTTTAGAACGCGGCGGGGAACCTCTAGCATTATAACGAACAAGAATAGTCGGCCGCTCATGCGGCCTTCGTACTTTGATAATTCCTGGGCCGATCTAATTGGCCCGAAATGATATTCAGGACGTTATGTATAAGATCAATCCGATGTCTTCCCAGACGACGTCTCTAGATATCTCCATAGATGTATACAAAAGCGGCAAACAGCACAAACTGCAAAGAGGAATTTTCTATATATAACAAGGCATATCATACAGATAGAGTAGATTGAAGCTCTAAAGGTCTATCATGAGAAGGCAATACATGTATAGTACATTGTTCGTATACAGAGCAGATTACACCTTCACCTCCTCCAAAGCCTTTCTCGCTCTCGCAACGCAATTTCGTGCATGGGGTTCAGATGTATCCTCAACAATCTTACCGCCATCCCGCACGATACCGCGAAGAGCAGCTTCAGTTTCCAGCAGCGATGTGCGTCCTTCCTCGCGGACCTCCTCCTCCCAGAAAGTTCGGGCGACATCCCACCTCTTCTGCTGGCGACGCATGGAGTAAATCAAACCCACGGCGGCAAGGGTACATGACTCGTACACGCCCGCCGATGGAATAGCCACATAAGTTAGAGCAGAGAGAGCAGAAGTTAGAGTCGTGGTGGATACGCTGAAAAGCACCAAACTCTGGGCGAGGGCTTGTAGGGATGGCACGGTGGTGGTGAGGAGCTTGGTGCGAAGGTCGGGGATCTGGGTTGGCCAAGGAGGCATGACCGAGTCCTTGGCGGAGTCAGGGATTGAGGAAGAAGGCTCTTCCAACAGGCCGGCCTGCTGGTACTTGCCCACAGTCCAGATGACCTCCTTCTCTGCCCGGCGAAGGAACTTTCTTTCCAAAATCTCAGATGTAATCATGCTCACATCGTCAACGCGCCAGAAGAGTTTCCACCATGCAAGACCGCGCCAGCGTGGACTAGCCAGCCCTGCCTCGAGGGAACTGCGGAGCTCGGAGTGAGCACGCTCTGCCCAGGTAGTTACGCCCTGGTCCAAGCTGGATCGAATCTCTTCGGGGGCTATGCCGGCGGTTTGATCATGGAGCGCCTTAGCATCTCTGACGATTACACTAGCGTCGGCTGCGTCAATAAGGGACTCCACCAGAGGGACCAATGCTGGATTCAACGCGTTTCCACTGGATGGCTCTGAGAAAGTTGCAAGCCAATCGATGAGAGGTTGCACGCCACTACCATTCCACCCACGTTCGTAGTCGGAAGAATTTTGGACGGATTCACGGAATTTATCCAGTGCTGTGCTGGCACGGTCGACATCTACCAGGGACAGTCGCTCGTTTGTGGATTTTTGATCTGCCACTGCAAGCTCAATGGCTCCGCGTACTGAAGAGGCCTCGTTCTTCAGGTCTGAGCGACCAATCATTGTGCTGTACGACAGCAGGCCATCCACTCCACGTCCGCATACAAGCGTGTGGTGCACGGGATACCGAACAACATTATGCCGACCGGAGTGCGAGGTCTGGATGGTAATTGTGGGGACGAGGAAGGTGTCGGCGTGGAACGTAGCGGCGTTGTGGTCAGGCTCGGAGCCTAGGGTGCTGACTAGGATCTCCAAGTTGCCTTTCCTAAGGATAGGCGATGGCACTGATATCGTCGGTAGGAGGTCATTGGGGATGGATTGTGAGATTTCGCCATATCTATAGAATAATCCTTCAGATCAGTACTGGTCACGGGGTATCAACACGCAGACAAAAGACTAGTTCATACCTGATCAGCAACCCTCGGGATGAATCGGCATCGTATGAGTCGAGGATGTCTTCCCAGCCTTCTCGCGGTGCCAATGGGTCGGCAAGTAGTAGTCGAACAAGTTTGCGTGCAGAGGTCGCATCATTCAATCCGAGAACTACGGTTCAAACCGAGGAGAAATCAGTGCCATGCTTTCTTTGACGGGTAAGATCCATTGCCGAAGAGAGCAATAGCCTGATCGTATAACCGCAAACTCACCAGCTATTCTAATAAGAGGGGTTTCAGACTCCAATCCTCGCAGTGCAAATTGCAGTCGACTGAGATTCACTTGTTCTAGGGCGGCATCCTTCACTCCCTCGAGGGCGGCATGCAGCTCCTTGAATCGCGGCGGCACGCTCTTCGCGGTGATAATAGAGGATGTGGTAAATGTCCGGGAAGCCGATGCTGTGATTGTATTCTGAGCTCTACCGATCCGTCGAGATGTGTCGGATTTGTCGATGCTGCGACTGGTGTTGGCGCGCGTGGACAAGGTTCGTCGCCAGATCGCGCACGAGGGGCAGTAAAAGACAGCGCTGTTATCCAGTGGACGCGACAGGCTCTTTGTGAGCGCGCTGCGCAATCTTGGAGCCATTGAGGCGCGGTGAAGCGAGGGTTGTAGGGTATGTAGTTATCGCAATGGCTTGGATGAACTTGGCTGAGCGGAAGTGGACGCGGGCACGGGGCTTGGCATCCATCACTGAATTGATAGTTTTCCTATTCTACATGGAGATACGCAGCGACCAAATATCTTAGTTAATGAATTTGAAATCATATCAATATTTACAATCAATAAAACCCTTTCTTCACTATAATTGCATTTTGGCTATGAAACGTGGGGTAATAAGCACACATGTTTAACTGAACTGTCCTATTTATCGCTAGAATTGTGGATTCACAGGTTAAATCGCCAGGCGAGGGGTAGGATCAAGCAGATAGATAGGGTATCGTATCGATCGTGTCGGGACAAAAAGCGTGTGCGCTGGAGGGCAGGAAGGAGAAATGCATAGATCGTGTCATAATATCAGCTCGGCTACATCTTATTTGATCAGGCATCCTTGGGAGGATCCCTCTGTCGGGAACGGGGGCGACCTGAGCCAGCAGACCTGGTGATTGGAATTAGTATGTGAAATGGGCGGGTGACAAAATCTCTCAAGTGGACACTTACATGCTGATCCGTCGAGCAACTGTGGCGAGTCCTGCATCGTTGGCGGCCTCATGCTCAGCGCGCTCCAGGGCCACACGACGACTTTCCTCGCTCTTTGCGATAACTTCTTCTTGGCTAGGAGGCACGTGCTCGTTCTGGATATCAACCTTACGGGCATCCTCGAAGTTGTGAATAGCCTGTTTGATACCTTCCGCACCCAACATGAGGGTTCCTGCAGGAAGACGACCGCCAGCCGCCGTCTTCAGCTCAGTGACACTCTCGGATTGCTCGCGAAGAACCTGGAAGACACGAGAGAGGCGGCCAATGGCAAGAATTTTGTTTTTGATAGCACGTCGTTTGAACTCGCTGGATTCGGGGTCCATTGACGGAGGCGAGATCGGATCCTTATCCTTGTTTTCAGTGGGAGACACAGGTGTAGGGGCCTCGTCCTCTAGCTCTTCCTTCGAGCAGGTGTTGAGAATGGCGATAAGCATATCCGTGATTTTCTCACCAACGAACGGCAAAGACCAAGTGAAAACATCCATAAAGTTAGGCAGCCAATATGGGTGAGGGGTGCAGTTGAATTGGCGGATGTTCATCACATTGTTCTCATATTTGAGGACGGCCGCCTTGTTGTTGTAAACATCCAGGTAGTTAGGCGCACTGAAAATAGTCATAACACTGGGGAAGCCGGTGGTTCGCGTCTTTCTGTACATGCGATATCCGGCATCCTGAGCCTCATGTGCTCGAATGATAGAGAGCAAATTATTCTTCTCCAAAAACGCGCATGCCGCGGGATAAGAGAAAAAGTAGGAGCAACCACGGACACTGTTATGAATGAAGAAATCGCCTGTCTTTTCTTGACCAAATTCCTCCAGAGGGTCAGCCCAAAGGATATCGCACATAAGCCCGTGGGTAGGAGGTTCGCGGAAGCGATCAATCTATATATGCCTGTAAGTTGTCTGCTAATACTGTAATTCAAAAGACGAATAGGGTCGATACATACAGCCTTGATGTCTTCGAGGGTATGCAGCTCGGGGCTGAGGCCACCATGGATGCAGAGGAACTGTTTGTTCATAACTGCCGCCAGCGGCAGCGCACAGAAGGATTCCAGACATGCCTCATAGAGCCGTTCACTATATTTGTGCTTGCATTCCAACTTGAAGGTGAAGTAGTCCGTCAAGTGGCGACATTCGTGATTACCCCGCAGCAACCAGAGTGAATCGGGATACCAGATCTTCAATGCCCAGAGATAGAGGACGCACTGCATAGACAAATGGTCAGAGTAGTTCTTCTAGATTCGAGAAGGAGAGACTCGGATGACCCACCTCAATACTGAAATAACCACGGTCCACATAGTCACCCAAAAACAGATACCTCGTTTCTGAAGGGTCACCGCCGACCTCGAACAGCTTCATCAAGTCGTAGTACTGGCCGTGAACATCGCCACACACTGTAATGGGCGCATCCATTTCGAGCAAATTTGGCTCGGCCTTCAAAACCTGTGTACCAGCGTGGATGATCCAAAGTGCCTGTTCTTCTGAAAGACGGCCTTCACGATAGAGGTGTTGCTTGAGGTACTGAAGATTGGGCTTGGAAGGATCCTCAGGCGACCAAAACATATCATCCGGAGGATAGCTGAGAGCGGGGGCTTGCACCTCTAAGACCACGAAATACCGTTAGCGATCAGGTTACCACATCTTGCGAAAGCGACCGAGACCGCTGCGGCATTACCTTTGACCACCCTCTCCATTGTCGACACCTGCGTGTTGTCCTCCATCGTGTGCAATGTGAAATCGATCTCCGGGACCGGCTGCTTGTCGGTCACGGCGCGCGCTATAGCTCGATCCATTTTGGCAGAGACTGAAATGTAGTTTGAATTTTGAGTTCGGAGTAAGGGGGGAGAGGGGATGGGGGGATGGGGGAGAGAATCGCGGAGGTGTGGCGGGGTGAGTTTCAGCGCGGGCGGGATAGAGCTCCCACGACTAATAAGAGTATAAGAATGATACAAATCTGATCAAGCTGAAGTTCAAAAAGAAACCGAAGAAAACAGAACCCAGGGGGGGTTAAAATGGGTACTGGGGGTTGTGTGTTTTGGGGGGGGGGGGAAATGTGAAGTCGGGAAAAAGAGAAACAAATTGGATAAGCGGCTTCTGGGCCGTCCTGCTAAGATCGGTGGGTCTCACACCGACCTCGATCGTAAATGTATCGGAGATTTTTCCTTTGTTTTCTTGTTGGAGAAAAGAGAGAGAGAGAGATTGATATCGGCATGCGAGAGAGACAAGAATTAGATCAAGTTCAGCCTCATGTCAACGTGATGACGCGATGCCTAAGGCAGAAATGGTCCCTTTTTACCCCACGCTATCAGATTCGTTCGATTTCAAATTTCGATTATTTCGACATTTCCATCTGAACAGTGTGGACATTTACTCTGAAAATAATATGAGGTTCAGTTTTGACTTCAGCGTCGACTTTCATCTGAAGTTGTGTTTAGCGTTTGTTGCGTCTGGCCCAGATTTGCCCAGACCGCTAGACTTGAGGCATGCAGGATTGATGGTCTGCATGAGAAAATCTTTCACAGCTGCAGCTTTTGTTCGTGAATGTCCTTCACTCAATGTGGAATCTTAACATTTACATATGATAAGAAAGCAGCAGTAGTACCGAACACTTGACAACTTGTACCTCACATCTGCTCTATAGATGATAGATTGGGATACGCCTACTACAATACTATAAACCCCTTAAGCAGCCCCCAATTTATATGCTATACTCCACAGCACATAAAAAGAAGTGGTTTGAAACACACAAAAAAGGAAAAATTGTTACTACCTTGCCAGCTGATAGTGATAGGCCATTATCGGATCTTTGTGTAGGCTGGAAAGTGTTGAGATGCCCCCTGTCTGAGGCGACAACTCATGTCTCACTCCATTTCTACGAAGCGAATTTTTAAGTTGATGGAGTTGACTTCGACTAAAAGAGTTGAAAATTTCCTAGATATCTAGATTTTGTGATACTAGAAAGTCTAGATCGCCGTTTCAGTCAACACCCTGTTTCTCTAAAATGGTCAATGCCTTGCCATACGAAATATTTCTGCTCATCACAGAGAACCTACCCATGGACCGGGATGTTTCATTGAAAGCAGACGTAAATTACCATAGATGCATCTATAATGGAGAAGCCAAGCCCTTAACGGGAGGCGCAAAAGAGGGATATGTGGGCATCACAAGACTGCTCCTGGAGCATGGCGCCGAAGTTGATCTCTGCAATCCGGATGGGGGACCATGTGAACCTCCGTCGACATTGGCCGCAGCTGAAGACAAATACGGCATTTTATGCTACCCGAAGGAGATTCAAAATTACCGGAGTTCAGATGATGAAAGTCTTGATGAAAGCCTTTACCTCGACAACATATTTGATGTAAGAGTAACAGAGAAGTTAAAGGACACCCGGGACTACAAGGCTGCTGTGAGACTACTTGGGGCCAATTCCAAGAACACGAAGAAGGCCTCACTATCGCGTGTATCACCTTTGATGGTAGCTGCTAGATGCGGCAATCTTTAGACTGTCAAGATTTTACTCGCACATGAGGCGTCTCCTTCACTGCACTATGCTGCCCACGGAAATAAGGATGGATCCAGGATAAGTGCTAGAAGGGATCCTGGTGCGGTAGATGAGATCAGTGATGGATCGGATTATTCTCAGGATTTTAGGATCTACATCCACTCAACAACAGCCAAGTTCTAGCAGAAGATAGACTAAAAAGAAGACTCCGAGAAGTTTTCTGATATCCTTCATACCCAAATCTCAATTTTGTTTATCGCGTAACCTGGCTATTCATTTTTTACTCTTATATACCACAAAAGGTGGTGTTCTCTTGTCAAACAGACGCCAATCCGGAAACATGAATATGCTTCCCCACCAGGGTCTGATCAAAGATGGAAGGTTCGAGGCCCCCTGAATAGCGTTTCAAGGCTTGAGTGGCATGTGACTTGACCTACAATGCAACAGCGCCTAGGAATCGACTAGTTCGCATCAAAGCAGATTTGACAGTTGCCGCATGGGCCAAGGTGTTTCGGTGGCACTTGCTTTGATTTACATCTTTTGGATAAATTTTAGTATATCCATAGCTTTTGAGAGTGGAAAAATTAATTATTTTCTTGAGAAAGAGAATCACAGCCTCAAAGTCGCCAGAGCTAAATAAAGTACAACCCGTCCTTCAAGTAACGAGAGATATCAAGCTCCCTACCCCCTTAGTTTCCCCAAAAGCTCAAGTAACCCTCCTAATTACTCACCCAGCATAGCCTTCATTTGCCGACTCCATTCATCCCGCTTGATTCGCAGAAGTATCAACGGAACGCCACTGAGCAGACAGAATAAACAAACCGCCGTGAACGACCAACCAGTTCCAATCGCATCGAATAACGGCTGCGCAATGACCGCACTCACACACGACAGACTGTTTCGCATGAGGTTATTCACCGCGACGCCGATGGTGGAGTTCTTCGGTGTAAATTCCGTCAGCATCGTCATGGTAACGTTGGTGAGAATCATCCCGCCAAACCCGTAGAAGAAGTTTCCGAGGAGCTATTATACAATACATAGATTAGTCCCTGCTTGAAGCTGGAAGGGGGAAAGGGAGTGATCAAATAAATGAACTTACTGGGACCAGCCAGAACTCATGTTTGTCGGCCGTCCATCCCCACCACAAGAGTGCGCCCGGGAAAAGAATACCCCCAAGAAGGCAGTTCTCGCCTAGGCGATCGACCGGGTGGAGGATCAACTCCCCCTTATCATTGAATCGCCCCTCCTTTCGAGCAGTCCGAGCCATGATATAATCCTGCCAACGGCCGCCAATTATCGCACCAAAGAGCAGGCCCAGGCCGCCGGGGACATAAGCGACACCAACAATGATGGAGCTCCAGGAGTATGGTGGCCTGGCGAAGGTGTCTTCGATAGAGACACAAATGAGATAGTATGTAGCAAAGACAATACTGGTGTAATAGACGGTAATAAGAATTGGCGGGTATTGGAGGAGCTTGGCGGCTTGCATGGGCTTCAGGAGGAAGTGGAGGGCTTCCTTGCTGGGGCTGGTGGCGTCGTTTCGGTGCTCGCGGCGGTTCTCTTCTAGGTTGGTGGCCGTCTCCGGCATGAAGAGGACCATCACCATAAACACGGCCCATCCATAGATGACCATGAACCACTGCGTGCTGCGCCAACTCCAATGCGTAGTAAGCGCTCCGCCGATGATGGGGGCGAACATGGGCCCCATCATGGGACCAAGCATGAACGCGCCCATTGCCTTGCCGCGATCTTGCTTTTTGAAGATGTCGGAAATTGTTCCGGCACTGACGGCTTGAAGGGACGCACTGGAGGCACTCCCAAGGAGTCGCATGGCGACAAACATGCCAATGTTGGGGCTGATAGCAGCCAGAATGTTGAAAATTCCCAAGAAAAAGAAGGACAATATGTAAACCAGCCGACGACCGTAGAGCTCGGCCAGGTATGACCACCACAGGGGCGTGATGGCGACAGAAAGCGAGCCAAAAGCAATAGACAAGTTCACCACCGACACGGTGGTATGCATATCCTCGGCGATCTCTATCAGGCAGGCTGTTTGGAATTCATCATATTAGCGCCATGTTCTGGCTGGGGAATATGATATCTTACGGAACAAAACACCACTACTCAGCGGAACCACCAGCCCTCCCATCGCCACAATAAAGGTCAAAACCCACTTCATCCCCGGGGTATAATGTCTGGGATCTTGCAAGGCTGGGACGAAACATAAGAATGGGAGGAATCCTCTAGAAACATGATCTGAGCCACGAGGATCAATTTCTTCCTTGGATCCGAGTTCTGCCTTGATATCATCTTTGGCGAGTTCGTTGGGCGAGTCTGTTCGCTCGTGCTCTGGCGTTGTTTCTGTGATTATTGGGGATTGCATGGTGTTCAATGCTACTTGAGACCCAGGGGTGTTGTTTGTATGTGTGAGTGACATATTGATTGCCGAAGCTGAATTCTCCTACCTACTTTCTCTTCTTATAAGTAGCCCTGGAAGTATATGATCAATGTCCATCATCAAATCCATGGATCCACCTCGGCCGAGGGTGTGGGGCCTCCCGCCTCGTACGAGGACCCACTCTTCGCGGCCATTTAGGCAAACCTTATCAGGAGTAACCTTACCCCTGTGAGATCCTTAGAAAGCAGGTACTGGAAAATCTCCGAAGTTGCGTGAAGAGAGAAAGAGACTATCTATAGCATCTTGCACTAAAAGGCTAGGAGTAAACAATGGAGGGGACACGGTCTCAACTCAACACTACATCTGAAACTTCACTGAGTCAGTATGGTGGGCATTCATAAAGAATACCGACCTAGCAGCCCTGGAGATATTTTTCATCTGAACATCTCTCCTCAACCAATCAATATCCTTGGCCTTCAGGCCTCAGGTTTTATTTGCTTCTTAACACCGATTTGCCTTGCCAACCCCGCAAGTGAGCATAGGGTAAGTGTGCTCCACACAGGCTCTAGCTGGAATATTCACTTGGGACCACGGATTTTGATAGGTGTCAGATAGTTTACTAGAACTCCTAAGCCACATGAACTGACTTCAGATTACCCAAATAAATCTCCGCAACGACACCGTACACCCCCGGCGCATAGGTTTCTCAGCTTCAGCTCGATATTAGCAAGATACAGGGCAAGGAAGCTCGTCTAATCCGTCTTAAATTGACGATATTCGTCCTTGATCTGGCCCTCTAGATCCATGTCATACTGTCCGAGTAACGAAACCAGGATACCACGGACTATCTTCCCGCCTAGGTGCTCTCCAAGATAATTGCTAGAGCAATATCCGAATGTGGACAGGTTGTACTTGATGTCTCCGCGTTGAGGCCATTACAGCGGTCCGGTTAGTATTCCTTAGTGTCGGGGAGCTAGTAGGGTATGTAGATGATGATGATAGTTTACGTGTAATCATGGGTTAAGTCGTGTTCTAAAGGAAAGGATGAAGATCACACTTACATTGGTGGGAATGTGATACCCTCCCAACACTTTGTCTTTAGTACAATGATCCGCAAGGGAAAAAGCTACATAGAACACATTAATCTAGTTATTCTAAAGCAATTGGACGGAAACGGAAGGACAAAGCTCATGGGGAATTGGCTCGAGCCGGGTCGACTCAAGGAAACACCAGTGTGTGACAGTATACTGCCGCTTGGTATAGTCGGCTACCACAATGGTAGGTGATGGATACGTCTCTATTTCTACCCACATGAACGTAAATACATCGACCAATAAACATGTCGATTTTCTCAGCGAGCCTAGTAGTCAATCACTGTAACATTCCATGAAAACCCATGGGATCCAAACTAGCAAAGTCCGCAAAATCGAAGCCCTCCAGATTCACCATATCCATGAAATCCGTCGTATCAAAGTCCATTCCCCCCGAGCCTGGAGGAGCAGCAGGAAAGTTATCCATAGGCATGGGATGATTATTATGAGATGGTCCGGTCCCAGTAGGCTGGTCGACACCAGAATCGAGTCCTTGCTGGAATCGAATTCGATTCACCAACCAAATGATTGCGGGCCATGCACCCGTGGTATGCTGACCCCGAATGTCGTAGATGGAGTTCGCTAATTGGAGGCCTCGCTGGCGGAGATCGGCCCACTCCGGGGATTGGAAGCCGGGGCTGCGGAGCTCGGAGAGTACGTAGAGAATCAAGCAGAACCCAGCGTGTGAGTAGATATGCCATCGGAAGGGATCATAAGCCTTTCCGGAGGCGATGGTACACCAGTTCTCTATGGCTGTGACAGCGTCCACGAATATGCTTTATGTGCGATGCTGTCAGCGAAAATATCTACTTTCCCTTTCGGGTGAATGGTTAGGAGGGGACATGAAGGGCTCACTTTCTTCTCATAGTGGGATTGATGACTTTTTCGCGATCTTGCCGAGAGATTTGAATCCAGAAGGTGACCCAGAATTTGGATTGCAAGTGGTTTTTCAAATCTAAGGCCATTGATTGTATGCTAACCCTCTTGTCGCAGTATCGAACGAGATCGTTCAATTTCTTCTCAAGCTCGCTGGCGAGTGTTTCAGCAGTGCTTAACAGGCCCTGTAGCTCTGTTAATGTTTCGGCTTCCTCCACAGGACCAATGTTGGTGCGCAATCGTTTCCGTGAAGCATGCGTCATTAGAATGATGTGCCCATAATACTGAACTGTGGTGATCCGCAGGAGATAGATGGTCATATCGGTGAATTTGGGGGCATCCGAGAGTCCGGCTGAAGGTAGCACCCCTTCGATTAAATCGACATCATCTAGACTAAGGGGTTGACGCGTATCGAAATCCGACTCATGAATCGAAGGTGCAAACCCATGATCCCCCGCCGCGCGGAAATCCAAGTAACGTATTTGCGCCCACAAGCGACGACGCAGCTCCACCTGTACAACATCCATCGTTCCCAGCGGTAGAGCTAAAGGATCTCGGTGAAGACCCTGGACTGTTGCTATCCGAATGGCTAGCCCGGTCAATGGCCATACCTTCCCCATATCATCCTCGCGATATTGAACAGTCTGTGGTGTTTCAACATTGTTTAGCTCAATACTGGGGACTGTCTTTTCTTTCTCTGAAACGTACTAGAAAAACCACAAAAGCTTGCAAAACCGCAAAGATCCTTGAGGTCATGAATTTTTGCCGTTTCAGATGTACTTCCGTTCCCGTTCTGTATCGATTCAGGAGGTAGGACTTGTCCGTGTCAAACATGGTAGCAACGTCAGTATCCTTCATGCTGTTGACGGCCGCGTAGAAGATGGACATGGCCAGCGGCTCGAACGAGTCCATATTACTCGAGTGGGGAATCATACTACCACTGCTCCCCGTTGTAACAGGGGGTTGATCGTTCTCTAGATGGTAGTGAGTGCGAACGAATGTGTCAAAGCGACGAGCTAAACTCGGACGATGGACAATTCGGTGAATCGGGTCGACGTTAGCCAGGAAAACATTCAGGAGTAAATAGCAATCCTCTCGTGTATCAGGCCAGAAATTATCCCCGCTGGCTACGGGTGAATCAGCATCCCAAATGACATCTTCGAGCGCCGGTTCGGGGGAGGAACTCTGAGATTCCGCGAGAACGGATTGGATGTCTTTGAGCTAGAGGAAGAGAGGAGACCTCGTTAGTACCTATATGCCTTGGCATGGGCGCAAGCTTCAAGGACAATGGGGGCGCACCTCTGCTGCCATCCAGGCCCAGTGTTTGCCGGAGATGAAGTGGGGCACTCCATTATCGAGAACCAGTGCATCATCTTGCGATTCTGACTGTGGGGGTGACGCATTATGAGGGGCAGTCGTCGATTGTGTAGTTGTGAATGGGTCCACTGACGAAAGACTATGATCTGATGTTCCATATGCTTGCGCTTGCGCCATGAAGTTACCAAGACGCTGAAGACCAGGATTGATTCGGGCTAGCGTAGATGAAGATATCTTGGGGGCACTTTTAGGTTTGGTGATCCGGCTCGATTCCGAAGCCAGCCCCGGCGATTGTGGCTTCGACACGTAAGAACAGGGATAATCGCCTCGCTCACACACCAAACATCGTGGCTGTCGGCGGTCGCATCTGACCTTGCGACTACGACATGGAAGACAAGAGGTAATGGGACGAGAGAAGCTACTCAGGGCTGGGGACGGAATATATTCCGCAGGATACTGTGTGGATGAGGGGTGAAACTGCATGGCGAAAGAGACGGAAGAAAAGATGGGAAGTGCGCTGGTGCAAAGTACTAGATTAAAGCATCCGCACGCTGCTAGCGGCAGCTAGAGCTGGCCCCCGGGTGGAGTTGGAGTGACAATCCCTAAAGAAGTTACACGTTTGACGCGAAAAAAGGACTTGAAGTGCGGAGTCTGCAAAACTCAACGCCGTAAAAGACGCTCATATAATCGGCTTGTTCCGTACGTTCCTTGGAGATTTCCAAGGGGAGTTCAACGCTGTCGCCGTTTTGATACCAAACAGGGTTAGCTACGTATTTTACAAACGCAAAGAACGCCAAGACTAGAGTTTGGAAACTATCAGTATATAATACGGGATTGCTATTTGGAAGACACTACGGAGTACGGAGTACATATCATCCTTATTAGCAATTTTTTGGTTTGAATACTAACCTTGGAAGACATCATAGCCGCTTTAATAATAAGTTTTTGGTATTTTTAGTAGTTTAAGATGCACAAATACTATTCCTTGCGAGGGTCCGTATTTTTTGAGAGAAAATTACAGGGCCCGGTTACTACCACCTCCAGGTCTTTCAACCTACCCCCCCTGGGTTCGACACATCACTCAAGTATGCCCTCGACAACTGAACTTGCCACCCGTCCGACGATTTCTTCTGACCCCTATCGTGGTTTAATTTGGGCTGAGGAAACCTTTGGCCCAGAAGCCCAATGGACCTATGAGCCTGAAATTAGCGCCATAGAGCGAGCAATTCAATCGCTCCGCCCGTTAAATACAACTTAAGTTAGGTTTCTCGCCGAGGGCGCCTTCAACAAGATTTACCATGTCCAGCTCGATGATGAAACACTAATTATGCGCGTTTCTCTTCCTGTCCACCCCGTTTATAAAACTAGAAGTGAAGTGGCCACAGTGGATTGGATTCGCTACGTAACAGATATTCTTACGCCCAGGATCATCGCTTACAATGATACTCGCGAAAGTGAGATTGGGTTCGAATGGATCCTTATGACGGAAGTGCCTGGGAAGCCTCTCGCCGACTTATGGCAATGCCTGTCCATTGCCGCAAAGTCAGACTTGGTCAAGAAATTCGCAGGATTTTCCATCTCCCTGTGGAGAAATCAGTTGAGGGGGATCGGGAACATTTACCCACCATCGGTGACGGCCAACGAAAAAGCTTCAGCTGGGGATCCCGCAGCGAGTGGCAGTCCGGAACACCTAGTGAATGCCGTCCCAAAGACAGGGCAAATTGTCTCTCTCGAATTTCTCTGGGGATCTCAAGCCCGTCGGAATGTGAACCGAGGCCCATTTCTCTCTAGTCAAGACTGGATGGAGGCACGGCTTGCTTTCGCCAAGAATGACTGCCAGGAAATATTGGCGAAGTATCCCGCAGGTGACGACCTTGATAGCGACGCTGAGGATGGATTGGAAGCTACTACACAGACGCTAGCGCTCATTGAAAAGCTGGAAAACATTTTCCCACGTGTTTTCCCTCTCGATAAATATGTCCCAGAGCCAAGCGTGGTCTTCCATGATGACCTATCACAGCATAATATCTTGGTGAGCGAGAAAGGCGAGTTGACGGGTGTACTAGATTGGGAGTGCGTTTCAGCACTACCATTATGGAAGGCCTGTTATCATCCTACGTTTCTGTATGGGCGTCCTCGAGATACGAAGCCCAATATCGAAATGTACGATAGAGGGAATCCTCCCCCTGGTAGTGCATTCTGGGAACATTTGCATGATTATGAGGTAACACTTCTACGAGGCATGTTCTTGGACGAGATGAGGAAGTCGGAGCCGGGATGGGTGAACATCTTTGATATGAGTCATCTTCGTCGAGATTTTGATACTGCTGTGCAATATTTTGACAATGGGATTGTCCGTCACATAATTGAGAAGTGGGTTGAAGATGTCACTGCCGGTAATGAAGATCCACAAAGCTTACGTGATAGCCTTGGGTGTTAATTCATGGAACCTGATAAAGGTATGTTTAAATGCATTGAAGAAGAAAATCACTGTCAGTCAAAATGTCTTTTGGCCAAGCGGACGAGAGTGCGCTTAGGCATTACCTTTACACTAACTTACTTACCTCTAAGTAGTCTTTTTAAAGCTTTTATACTTTGTATCTTTCATAAACCCTCTCTATCTCTAAGTATAGTGCCGAGTACTTATAGTACTGCCGCCTAACCTAAGCAGTCTTCTAACTGGGAAGTACCTTACCGTCCTAATAGTAGCGACGACGATAATAACTCTAAACCTAATTTGGATACTAGTTCTAGGGATAAAGCTTTGATAGGTAATAAGGATCACGAGAATTAAGACTAGGATTATTCTATTACAGCCGACCCTAGAGCTTAGCTAACTAGCTACCTCGAGTCGACCGAGACATAGGTACCCCGAATTTATCCTTGCACTTCCTTTTCACCATGAGTAAGTTGATACCCTCTATCTGCTATCTGTTATATGTTGAAGGTATGTAACCTACGGGCAAGACTGCTCAAAGTAACATAAAAGCCCTATCTTAATATCAGGGGCTTTAAAAACCCCACTGTGCCAAATACCTCCCTAGATGGCTCGCACTCTCAGCTTTCAACTCCTCCAGCTTCTCCGGTGTCATCGTCTCCAAAAAGGTATCTATAAACCAATAGGGCACGCACAGCTCCTGAGAGAACCACCAAATATCTGCTATATCTCCCGCTTTATCGATTGTCGATGGCTTTTTAGCTCCTGCGTCGGATAAAGCATTCTCCCATGCTCGAAGAAGTTTACACTTGTCTTCGACTCCTTCCTCCACAAATGGGAGTCCCTCCAAGAGATATCCGCGCAGGGGGCCATTAGGATCGGAGCTTCCAGCCAGCAAGCCATCTAGATCAAAGAAGGAAAACAAGTACTCAGAGATTGGCGCACCAATGTGAGCGAAATCGAAGTCTAGAACCGCACTTAGGCGGTTGCTTGTGCGATTGAAGAGTAGGTTCGGCAAGCCTAGTAGAGGATAGGTGATCAGATATCATGTTGAATGTAGAAGACGCCTTAACGAGACGTACCTAAGTCTGCGTGTACCAGAGTTGGCTTTTGTTCGGGAATTTCTTCTAGAAGCTGGTCGAGCCCCCTAGTAAAGAAGTCGTCTAGTCGTTCCCTTAACCCCGGTATATCCCGCCACCCATTCAGATGAACACTTCGGTCGCTCATTTTGAGTTGCCAGGTACACATTCCTCTGACAAATTGCGGATAGGTTTGGAACGGCCCACCGCAAGGCAGCGTTGAGATGGTGTTCACGATTTCACCTTGATCATTGAACTTCAAGCCACCAAACATACTGACGGTTTTAGGGACTTCATAATCCTGAAAAGCTTTAACAACCTGTGCTAACTGGTAAAGCAGTGACTGTCGAGTATCGTGATCTAGTGCAAGGATCTCATCTGGGCTTAGGGAGTCCCCTTCCATGAATTCTTCCAGGATCCAGCTAAGAGCTGATGGATTGATGGAGGTCTCATCTTCCCATCCGAACACTCGTGGGATCACCGAGGCATCTATAGCAGACAATGCATCGCGCGCTAAAGCGAGGAATGCAACTTCATTCTGAATTCGCACGGAATCTTCCAAATTCACATTTTTCTTAGAGATTCGTAGCACCAGTTTTGAGGTCCCTACTGGGATTGCCGAGGTATAGGGCTTTGGAACCCCCTTCTTTGTCTGCCATAGCTCTGCAAACGGCTGCTCCAGGTGAATAAGGTAGACATGATTGTTCTTTGCCTTTTCTATATCCTCGATTGTGAAACCATTTTGTTGGATTCCGAAGTGTTCCGCAACCAAGGAAGCCACAAAATCATAATGTTGGCTCTTGAGAGTGGCCATGATGAGAGGTGACAAGGGAGGGCGTGTTTTCTGAGAATTTGAGAATGGAGGCTTCAACATTCATGCCGTGCCGTACTTCATCCTATATATGAAAGAATAGGAGTTCCGACGGTCACCGATACAACATACAAACTACCTTGCTCTTTCATGAGGTAGTCTTATCAGAGCGATTTATGTTGGTCAAAATGACCTTGGGTTATTTTTAGATGAAAGCAGACCTACAACATATGTTGTACAATAGATGTAGAGGACAAAGACCCGCACATTCATTGATGATAACGCTCGGATTGGTCTTTTCTATCCATAGGCGATAAAAAAATGATTCGTTGTAAATGGGTGCCATGGTCTGGCGGACAGGGATAGTTCCGAGCTTGTTGTGGCCGAGCAAACATACAACGGCCCGGAGGACTCCGTAAATTGCGTAAATTTGGGGTAAGATGCGCTATTCCAGATATAGGCCTAAAAGCCTCCTTCGATGAACTCCTTGTTCGGCCACTTGGACCACTCAGCGTGGAGCGATTGCATGTAGGGAACAAAGCCACCACTTATTACCAATATTTTAGATAACATTTGTAATCTTGGGACTTTGGAACTTTACATGCCAGTACTACTTTTGTTGTAGTATGTTGTACTCCGTAAAAAGTATATCATTAGTGGTATTGTGTGGTACCAAATTGCCTATGCAGTACGCAGTGCGTATTTGGGGTATTGCTAGCTCCCATGAACACGGACTCCGTACGGAATAAAGGAACCCCTGTCCAGTCTCGTGAGTCATGAAACACAAAATTCAGAGGGTCTGGAATTTTGGTACAAATTGTACGGGCCGGTTATCTTTCAACTATTCCAAATTCCCTGCTAGCTTATAAAGTACCTAACGAATTACACTTTGGGTCCTTTGTGAGAGCTAAGCACTCACTGCTAATCAACATTAGAAACGCATTCATGTATTCTTTCAATCTGCCTCAAGCTTTGACAATGTCAAATCCTTCCTCCCAGTTGTCTAGGGCCGCCCGAATCTCCGTGACATAAGCGGGGATACCACCGGAGTAACACACTGGCTCATAAACCTTGCCAGGGATGCTGCCACCCATGTACGTTGACCGCGCCGTGGGGAACAGAGTCCTGTTATTGAGCTTGACAACACGGTCCTTCCACTTATCAGTGGCCTCAATCTTGGGATTGATGTACTTGATGTCATTGGCCTCAATCTTTGCAATGGCGTCGGAAATCCAGCGGCCCTGCACCGCGACTGTGGTGGGGCCATTGCTCAGGAGCGTCGGGCCATGTGCGCCATATATGTGGAACATATTGGGATAGCCGCTGACGGTAGTACCGAGGTAGGTCTTCGCGCCTGGAATCCATTCCTTCTCGAGCTCGGCGCCATCGATGCTCTTCAGGCCGAGCTGGGTCATCACGCCGGTAACAACATCCTGTGAGTATTAGCGCGGGTTGTCGTTATTCTACTGGTGTATCACGTAATACTTACAAATCCAGTCGCGACAGCAATGACATCAAGTTCATGATGAGTTCCATCCTCGAGGGTGATACCAGTCTCGGTAAACCTCCTGATCGGGTTATCCTTGATGTCAACCAGGTGCACGGATTCCCGATTGAACTGCTCGTAATAGGTGCTTTCCAGACATGGCCGCTTGACACCGAAATAATGCGGCATTTTCTGGGGCGCAAGCAACTCCCTCGTAACGGGGTCACCGATACGACCACGGGTCTTCTTGGCCCAGAAATTGTATGACTCTTTGTTGGCCTCAGGGTTCATCAGGTTATCCTTGTATACTGCAACCCAATAGCGGAAGCCACCTTCCTTCCAGATGCTCTCGTAGAAGGCCTCGCGCTCCTCGGGTGTGTCATCGAAGGTGTTGCGCTCGCACCAATCATACAGGAAGCCGGCAAAGTTGGTCTCGCGGTATCGGAACAGCTCTGGGTAGCAGGGCTTGATGCGCTCCTGCTCTTCAACAGTGAGGTCTCGCTTACGCATGGGTATGGCAAGGTTGGGAGTTCGTTGAAAGACCTTGAGGTCTGCGGCCTCAGGGCCCCAAGCCTGCGTGATCTGTACACCCGAGGCACCAGTGCCGATGATAGCACAGCGCTTGCTTTTCACGTCGATTTCTTCCTCGGGCCAGAAAGATGAGTGGTGCACGATACCCTTGAATTTATCCATGCCCGACCATGAAGGAATATAACGCTTGGCGGCCTAACCAGCTCATTAGTAAGTCTTTATTTGACGGAGGAGTGTAGCTACTTACAAAGCCGGTTCCAAGGACGAGGTATTTGGCCTTGGTCGTGCGACCATCTGCAGTTTTAATATTCCATTTCCCTTCGTTCGTATCAAACTGAGCTCCAACCACAACGGTGTTGAAAGCGCAGTCCTTCTTGATACCAACTACTTTATCAACGTGGTCGAAGTAATCACGCAGGTTTTGGTAGTTAGGGTAGTTGTTGGGCCAGTTCCACGTGTTGTATACCTCGGGCCAAGAGAATTCGTACTCTGGGACTTCGGAATCAACGCCGGCACCGGGATAGCAATTCCATCTCCAGGTGCCACCCGTGTCATTGCCGGCTTCGAAAATGACCGTCTTCAGACCGCGATCGCGAAGGGTCTTGAGCATAAAGACACCGGCTATCTCGTTAGCTGGTGGATCAAACATACAGTGCTTGTTGCCTTACCAAAGCCAGCACCGACGACCAAAGCATCGACTTCGAGATTTTCGGCATATGGCCCAGTCTTATCGGCATGGACTGCTGAGTAGTCAGTGAGCTCAGTGTTATACTTCTTCGGCCTGGAGACTAGATCTCCCATGTCACCCATTTTGACAGGCACTTTCGATTGAAGATTGAAATGATCAAGTGTTGCAGTTGTTATAACTCAATTCGAAGATTGACTGTTGGAATGTCAGGAATACTTCTTTCTCGGGCACCTCACCCTACTTATAAATATCCTCATCCATGTCTCACTGCGGATGTTGGCATATGCTGTCAACAACATCCTCTTACTTGGGACCCATGACACATGTAACCGCAGGGTACCCCTCTTCATGCACCACGTGCGGTATACTCTTCGGGCCTTCATGGCAATGTGGCTTATTGGCCGAAAATTTGGCTCTATAGCTAACAAATTATGATTGAGAGTCTGAGATTTGAAGACCTCCCACCAATATCAACTCTCATGTTCTTCCTAGGAAGCTGTCTTTATGGTGGCTGTTTCGATCGCCCGGAAGAGCAAGTAAACCAATTTAATCTTGCAAAAGAACCCAAGTGCATCAAAACTGCGTTATCGTGGTGAGCCCAAAAAGCTGCTGTACACGTCACATTAGGGATATGCATTCCTCAACTTGTCGTCACAAAATGTAGGGGGTACTGCAGCCGTAATTGGACCCCTCAGCTAGTTGTGGATCCGGAGCCGAGACAATGTTGGAACGCTTCCCCGCACCCGGTTCCGCAATCTACAGCGGTTCCGCAAAAGTATGTTTGTAGCCGGAGAATGGGGGGAACTCCTCGGTATCACGGGGTATTGAAAACGACATTTTCCACAGGCTGATTGAAACTATTAAATAAGCCACTCTCGGCTGCCATTGCTGTTCATTTTGGCGCATTTTACCTTTTGTTAATACAACGCACACATAATTCCCCGCACAATCGTCTTTCTCTCTCTATACAAGGATCAGCAACATGTCTCTCAATCCGCAGGTGCATTCGCATATCTGCAATATCATAGACAAAGCCTGCGAAGATCAAAAGTCCGGTATTCCTGGGACCACGGTTGTTGTCGTTGGCAAAGATGGCAAGGAACTATTGGCCCACTCTGCTGGTAAACGAGGCGCGGAATCTAAAGACCCCATGACCTTGGACAACATCTTCTGGATTGCATCTTGCACTAAGATGCTGGTTGGTGTTGCCTGCATGCAACTGGTTGAGCAGGGTATTCTCAAACTGGATGATGCGGAGCAGACAGAGGGTCTTTGTCCTGAATTGAAGAGTCTGAAGGTTTTGCAGCCAGATGGCAGTCTTGTGGAGAAGAAGAACGGAATTACTCTACGCATGCTGTTAACCCATACCGCCGGATTTGGGTATACATTTTTCAATGAGAGACTGAGGCAGTGGTCGTACCCGGTTGGCGCGGATGAGTTCTCTGGGCGCATTGAAGATATGAAGCGGCCACTGCTATTCCAACCCGGCGAAGGCTGGGAATATGGTGTAAGTTGCATGTATCCAGAATTATGAAATGCATTGCTAATCAAAGCAGGTTGGTATCGATTGGGCGGGAATTACACTGGAACGCGCAACTGGCCTGACGCTCAACGATTACCTACAAAAGAACGTATTTCTGCCCCTTGGAATCAAGGACATGTCCATGATTCCGAATCACGATATGCGCCAGAGGCTGGCGTACATGAATTGTCGAGACCCAGATGGCACCCTGAGGTCCCGAGACCATCTCCTTCGAGCACCTCTGGTTGTTGACCTTGAGGACGACGCTGAAGTTGCCAGAGTGTTTAACAGCGGTGGTGCGGGTATATTTGCTAAGCCGCAAGAATATTGTAGTGAGTCGCGAGTAGCTCCGAGATCTTGTCAAGATTCAATACACTGACTTATCTTTGCAGAGGTTCTCGCTGTGCTGTTAAATGATGGAACGTGCCCGAGAACGGGCAGCAAGTTGCTTCGCAAAGAGACCGTCGACGAAATGTTCTCTAACCAGATTCCTCGGTTCCCCAACTACAGCCGTCAAAGTATCCCAGATGCAAAGCCGGACCTGACTAATCCAATTCCGGAGCTATACCCAGTTGCTGGAAACCCACCGCAAGGTTGGGGTCTCACCTTCATGCTGAGCAACGGCGGTGCAACGGGGCGGTCGAATTCAACAGGGCACTGGGCTGGGCTGGCGAATTTGTGGTGGTGGGCGGACAGGGAGAAGGGTGTTGCGGGGATCGTTTGTACACAGATTCTACCGTTTGCGGACGCTAAGGTGCTTGGGCTATGGGGAGCAGTTGAGGCTGAGATATACAAAGCCCTCGGTGAGGCTTGATGTAGGAGAGTTCAATGTGCCATGTTTATTTAGCTACACCGAGTGGTAGAGAAGAACATATTCCTTCTTCTTCTCTATCCTCTCATGTCGATAGAAATCACTGTAGCCAACCTATCATTTCTTCCCAACAACACTTTCACATAAAACGGAAGCTCCCATTAAACATTTACGGATGTGCGGACTAAGGGAAATCCGGGGAATGCGGGGGTCGGAGGCCCCGGAAATTTCAAAAAACCCTAAGATGAACCTTCCTTGGGAGATCTCCGGGTTCACCTGGTTCCCCGCTTTTTGCCAACTTTTCGGATTCTCGCCGTCTCGGGGGAAAAGGACAAAAAAGAGAAAAATCGTCACAACTCAACGACAGTGGTCGAGATGCCTATCCACAAACGAGGCACAGCCCTTGCACAAGGATCCAGATCCAGGCGTCAGCATGGCTCTTGCGACCAGTGCAGAAAATCCAAGCGAGCATGCGATGCACAGTGCCTGGATCTGACTAGACGAACATCAATCAACAACATCGAAAGCCAGCGATCACCCTGTTCTTACTGTGCCAGAACGAATAAACGCTGTACTATGGAATGGGCCCGATCACAGGCTCAACCTGCAGGAAGATCGCCTCGCCAACTGCCCCTTTCTGGTCATGGGAATCGAGATTTTCTCTTCCCACGTAAATCCAATGAGCCCCAAGTTGACACTGGATTTGAATCATGGAACGATCTACTCGAACTTAATTCCACGCAGGGACTCATGACTTGGGAGTCGGAGTCAGCCAGTGTGGATTTGTCTGGGTCGTTGGTTGATTATGATTCAATGCTGCTCAGTTCAATGCTCGACGAAACCGAGGCCTCCCAGGAAAAGACGGAGGCAGAGGTGCCTGACGCATTTACGTCTGCACGATCTGTGTCTGATCGCATGCCACCATACTTCTCTAATTCCCCAAATGCCTCCACACAACCATCTTTGGACCTCGAACTTGATCCTATGTACCATCAAATGTGGCTAGCCTCCGAGGCTTCTCAAACATCTCACACATACAGTAGCCTCAGATCCGCCCGATCCCAAAGCTCCCGCCGGCCGAGCGACACTGCATGGATGCCTCTCAACCAGCAATCCTCCCACTGGACCAGCTCGCAAAGATCACTCTCCCCATTTTCTATCGACCAACAAATGATTACCACATCCAACTGCCACCTGACTTCAGCGAACTTGCTCCAAATCTACCACGACGTGTTAGAGTATAACTTGTCGTGTTGGTTAAGCGAAATGACTTGTCCCTACCAAGCAGGTTCACACAGTACCCCTCAGATTGTACCCGAACGAAGCTCCTCACGGTCTAATACGATATACCAGCGCACGATCAGGCTCGATCGCGTCGCACAGTCTTGCAATATTCTGCAACTGACACAAGCTGAGGATCAGGCCGCCTCCAAGGCTCTGCACCTTGCAATTATGGCGTTTGCTACGCAGTGGGCACAGGGCAGTCGTCGGCACCGCGAGAAATACCTGACCAGCCCTCTCGATAATAGCGAGGACGACTTTGCCGGCGGTATCGCCGAAGAGTTTGACCGCATTCTCCAGAATCAGTTTTGGGACCAGGCGCAGCGTGCACTCCAACAAATCGCCGATTTGGAGTCTTATAGAGTGGCATGTGCCGAGTTTATCTTCGGATTGACACAACGACCATGGAATCCTGGCAATCGGCCTCCTAGATAAAGAGTCCAAGAGCAAGGCCGCAAGTTTGCCACAGAATTAGTCTTGTCCAAGTTACAGGATATAATAAACAAAGAAGGGCCACCAATATACATGGAGAGAGCGGCTCGAAAGATGCACGCACTCAAGTATCGATGTGACGCACTCGAAAAGGGCCTCGGAAAGAAGTGCGGCGGTCGCGAGAAGGGTGTCCACGGCATTGAGGGCATGAGTTCCGAAGGTCGAGAGACAATTGGCCTGCTCTATTGGATGGCTATCATGTGTGATACCCTATCCTCATCCATGAACGAACGACCCGTCGTGATACTGGATCAGGACTGTCAACACGAAGGGCAAAAGGAGATCCAGAAAGCCGAAAATATTGAAGACCCCTTTGGAAGAAATCGGTGGAATCTCGATCTTTTTTTGAAAGGAAACCTCAACCAGACACATCGAACGCACTGGCCTTGTTCCTATGAAGCTGCCGCTGAAGATGTCATCAAGTCAGCGCCGGTAAAGGTCCTTCTCTTCCGTCACCTGTCTTACCTACAAAACGCTGTTCGCAAGAGTACCTCTCAAGAACAGGTCGAAGAAATCATCCGCATGACGATGCTCCTATATGAATACTGGAACAGAACGCACGGCGCCTTCTTCGGCGAACTGGTACAGAACTACCATGCGGTTATGCAGCGCATACAGGGCTGGTTTCTCTGTATCTCTGCCCATTGGAATCTTGCTGCTCTGATGCTTGCCGATCTGCTAGAATTCATTGATGAGAATTCCCTGGGTGCGGAGGATACAACCCACATTCGTATCACCAGTCAAGTGGCGATGACAATGAGGATGCATAGTGCCAGGGAGCTGTCAAATTTAGCAAGAGTCGGTACGCCATCTACTAGAATTTTTGATAATCTGGGTGCGCCACAGATGTCAGACTTTCACCACGCTGTCAACGAGGGCACGCTCTTGACCGAGCCATGGACAATGATTTTGATCAGAGCATTCACCAAAGCTTGCATGGTCTTTTTAAGTGACGCAGATGAGTCTTTGCGCTATTCTGGGCCTACTCTCTGGCACAATAGTCATGATTTAGAGCGGAATCTGGAGCAGGCGGAGGAATGTATGAAGGGGTTGTGGCTACTGGGTAAAAAGTCGGATATGGCACGGGAGATTTCCGAGACTCTTTCACTCGCGTTAGAAGAATTGAGGAATCAGATGTAGCTTCTATGGCTCTGCAATTAACTTCGCATTCACATGCATTTACATGTCCACCTCGATTAGCCCGATCATCCCAGGTTGGGCGTGGAAGACGACAATATTTCTCTGTTTTCCTCACTTCCCCCTTTTCTCCCCCTTTTTCCTTTTATTTCACGGTATGAATAAATGGCTAAATGCCGAATGAACCAATATTCCACCAAGAGCAAAAATAAGCAAAAAACATATTTGTACTCCGTACAGACCCGCGGAAGTCTATGAATATATAGTTGACCCTACACTATAGACACGAGATCAGAGAATCTTGTCCTGGACAACACATACTAATACTACTTATGTAATGCTTAATAGTGAAAACGGCAGAAGATGGGATACAAGACAAGCTTGACCAACTTGAAAAGAGCCTTTTTGACAGTCGCTGTTTCCAGGCGTTCGTGATTTTGGTGTTCTTTACTTTCTGTGGCATGGCAACCTGGATATCATTTAGGTACGGGCTGCCATTTGGTAGCGTGGGCTAGAGATATATTCACAAGAGCCACAGTTCGTACAATACAACGATTGAATTGCCAACCAAAGCACGTCGTTTCTCTCCATTCTACAAACACACTATCATAGTGGCCTTGTATCATAATATATATGCTTTGAAAGAATAAGCTGGTTTCTCAACAAATCCTTAGATTAGCCAAGAACTAAATATTGACCTAGAGTAACGTCAGGCGCGGAGATCCAAGCGTCATATCCAAATACAGACTTATCAACACATGATTTGATTCACCAAATAATCTCTCAATAGGCATAGAGAACATCACCAGCACCAGGCAGAGCACCCCTGCTAATCTTTTTGTTTGTATTCTGCAGCCACCACCTCAAAGCCCAAGCACTTCCAATAGTTGCAATGCCAAAAGCCGTATTTGCTGACATTCCAGTCAAGTACTGAGGGCCATCGCTCTTTGGATAGAGGTATGCTGTGTAAATATAAGACGCATTAGCCACAACGTTGATAAAACCAATCGAAGCGGCTTTCTTCTCTGGCGTCTGGCCCAGTGTGGCAGACACCCAGCCCAAAATGACCGAATTGACAGCATATGCACCACTGGCAAAGAGGAAGCAAGCCACATATCTTGCAGCTGTGTTAAGTGTCACGCAGGAGATGATAAATCCTGCAACAGCAACTCCCATGGAGAATGTAATGTGCCATGTCCGCTCATTGTACCGACCAGACGTGATACCAATGATAATACAGCAGATACCAGAGAAAACATATGGAGGGCACGTCAAAACCAAGGTGATTGTGCTGCTAAACCCAAGACTTCCAACGACAGTCGGGAAGAAGTTGTTAAAACCACATGCACTGAGATGCATGTTTTGCATAAAAGCCAAGAGGTACACGCGAGGGTCGGCCATGGCTTGCTTCAAGCCAGCGAGAGCACCCTTCGACTCGTCATTGCCGACTGTATCTCTTTTAATGCGGTCGTGGGCAAGCTGGCGCTCTTCTGGGGTCAGCCATCGTGTTGTGAGTGGGTGATCTGGCAGCATAAAAATACCGAGACCAGCAATACCAAAAGTAACCGCGCCCTCGATGATGAAAAGCCATTGCCAACCTGCAAGGTTCATATGCTGGTCCAGAGTCGCGAAAGTTGCAGCCGCTATCAGACCAGCAACAGCAGTGGCGACAATATTGCCAGTATACAGGATGGAAATGCGCAGAGCAATTTCCTTGCGCGTGTAGAAGACTGACAGCAGAAACAATGCACCCGGATAAAACGGAGCCTCGGTGACTCCTAGAAAGAATCGCACAAGTAGAAGTCCGATGTAGCTTTTTGTCAAAGCTGTACAAGCTGAGACTATGGCCCATAGTGCCATGCACCCGCTCATGTATAGAGATGGTCGGAACTTCTTCGAGGACATGAGCATATTCGACGGGATTTGCATCAGGAGATACCTAGTTTCCAAGTCAGGTTAGGTCTTATTTCCCCTGTATTAAAGAACTCTTCAACATACCCGACAAACAATATCGAGATACAAGTGTTGTACTGAGTTCCAACAAGACCAAGGTCTTCTTCGAGGTTGTTGAGGCGTGCATTAGCGATAGCATTGCGATCGATCTTGGTTTCATTCGCATTAGTTGATTAATTTGCAATATGCCTAGGTAGATACAATGCTCACGTAGTTCAGAAAATACATTGCCCACAGAATTGGCATGATTCTGAAGTCCAATTTGCGCACGAGTTTGATTTCCGCCGGGTCGACCTTGGCTGTAGCCCCGGAATAATCCCCTTGAGCTTTCTCGTCGGCCACTTTGAGGGAGTCAACATCCTCAATATGAGCATTTTTAGACTTTTTGTCATCCAACATAGGATTTGAAGGTCCTTTCATGGTTTTAGAAAAGATTGCCATCGCTCTGAGCTGGGATAGCTCGACCGAGGAGATGAGTACTAATAGCAAGAAAGCAGGAGGAGATAGCGGCGATACCTTCACTCGGTGTGTGAAAGAAAAAACAACCAAGTTGGTGATGTGCAACGATCGCACCACGAGTCAAGGCCATTTATACCCAATACTTCTCAGCTGAAGCGGATAAAGAGAGTCCGTTTCATCCTTCTCACACCTTGTGAGAGAATATTGATAAATACCGAGACTCATAGTGAAAAGAGAAGGAAAAATGACTGCCAAGATACCAAGACTCAAGCTCAACTAATCCGCATCATGTACTCCAGGCTTCGCTTAGGAACCCCAGATTCTCCCCGCCTTTGAGTGGGTCGTGTCCGGGGTAGCAAAAGCCGGAGACTATGGGGTGGCCAAAGGGCGGGCACGTTCTAGAGTTTTTACGCGAGATAGACGTGCCAAGTATGCCTTGAGGGGATTAGTTTGGATCCTCGTCGGTTCTGAGCCCCTTGCGGACTATATCAACACCGCAGAAATAGACCCCCGGACTTTGGAATGTCCGCTCCAACACAACAAAATAAGTTGGTTTCTTTTACAAACATCCTTTTTTCTACAAATTCACTTGCTTCCACAATGCACGAACAACGACAATAGTATCAGCATGCTTTGTTACCTAGGTACATAATGCATATGACACAAGAACCTTGCATATGTATATTGCAGATCTGATAAGGGTTTCGTGCAACCTTCGTGTGACATTGGACCTGCACTACGCCAGGATTTAGACGCCATCGCGCTAACCGGCCAGGCAGCAAATTAGCAATAATTTAAATTAATAATCCATACCTATACCTCAGGGTAGAAAGGTATTAATGCCTTCTAAAATAGGTACTAAATATAATACTATTCGTACCTATATAAATCCTAGAATTAAAAGTACTCTTTATCTTTAAGATAAGCTTAGATGATACTAGTTTAAAGTCGTAAATAGAGCTAGAGGTTTAACTAAATTGAATTCTCCCACTACTTATTCTACATTGATTGAAAAGGCCTGGAATGTTTTACGAGTCCCAGCCATTACGTATTATAAGATAAGGCTTAGCAACGTGGAGCAAAACTTTTGAGGCTATCTGGTCCGTGACGCGTCACTGACGCAGCCATCAGCAGTGTTGCTTACGAAGGAACTCCATTTGTACAAGTCTTAAGTCGCTGACACCCGTGAAACAAGGAATTTGGAATTTAGTGGTTTTTATTTTTATGTTATATTTGTTACCCTCACCTCTTATTATAACGACTTGAATCTTGAAATCCTTATTATGGCTGGACACAGTTCTGGATTCAGCAATTCGCCTCAAAGTCCACTCGGCTGGTGGAGTATTGAAACCAGCAGAAAAATGCTTCATAATGCACTGGCATTATCCTTCTTGATGTTACTCGCCGCTGCTATTATATCTTGGTATAATGGTCGCATTATTGACAATTACGTGGGCTGTGGGTGATTCACATTAGTTAGTATCGCATTGTAAGTGTCGAGTGTGCTCCTAGCTGATGGATTTGGAAGGCGGTCTGGGAGTAGGTCCCTAGATGGTCTACTTGTTCGTACTTATGTTGTACACTGCGCTTCCCAGGAATTTCTTGGTGTCCTCCGACTTGATCTCCGCGAGAGGAACAGGAGGGCACCGGTCAGAGTTTTTTGAATAAAGAATTCAAGATGCTTGGATTTCGTGCAGGAGAAGGGCATTAAGGTGGTTCACTGTGATTTCCCCAAGCATGATGACGAGGCAAAGCTAGATGCCCTTAACCCTGAAGTGGAATCGCTTTTCCTGGGTCCAAAGAACCGTTTCACAACTCTGTGAGGATTGAACATAAGCTGCTAGCTTGCCACGTCTATTCCAAATGCGATCTCCATTTATCTGCCACTTTTCGTAATCTCTTTGCTAGATTAAGTCTGCAACTAGAGAGCAGAGTTGTCAGAACCTTCCGTGTGGGCATTTCCCCTAAATTCCTCGCTAAGGCTGATTGGGATGCCTGCTAGAAACCTAAGATCAATACTGTTCAAGTTCTGTGGCTCAAAAGAGCCTAGCCAAACTGATAGCAATGATGGCGCTAAATTATAATCCCCGTCTTAGGTTGCACTGGTCACGTATACAAGACCGGAGTCCGAACGGACGACACCAGGTTTGTCCTTCAAGGGTGCACTCCACTAAAGCTACGCACATTATGAAATGCTTAGCATCAATGATAAGATATCCCGGTCTTAATGGTAAGCCACCGCTCCGAGCTTTGACCTTTTTCATTGAGTAACCTAATACAGATTAGCTTTGTTCCGGACACGAGTCGGGAAATAAATCACCAGCGTCCATTAGGGACCCTGCTGTCCAACATATATCCCCGCGCTATTTATTGCGCTTCCGTTCACTCGCTGTACAATTACCTCCTGACTTCTCAGAGTGTATCGTCGCATTGCGGGAATACCATATCTGATAATTGTGGCCATATCAGAGCTCCTGATGTATCTCACTCTCGCAGAAGTGGTGGCCTCAGATGCCGATTGCTTAATTCGGAACTGCGACTTCCCTGCAATGCAAGACAATCCCATTCGTCTTACAATGTTTCCGCTCTCTTCTCCGGAGACACAGGAGGAAGAAATTCGTTGGATGACAAATGGCTTAAGACTGGCTCTGGAGAAAGACAAATCTCATTACCGCAAAGCTTGCGCTGATGATAGGAGCCCTGTGGGTTTTGCGGGCTGGTCACTCCTAAATAGCAGTGATACCCGAGACGACTGTGGCCGGAGGGGCCAGGTTGTGGTAGACAATCCCGAACCGAAGACTTTGGATAAGGAGGCTTTTTCAATACTTACGAAAACTCTCATAAGAGAGCAGCATCGAATTTTGAAAGGCCACTCGGATATTTGGTGTAAGATTTTCCTTTTCCATTGCCATAATCTATGCTTACTAATTTTTAGGCCTCACAATCGTTGCTGTGAATCCAGCGTATCAGCGTCAAGGTGTTGGCACTATGCTCCTCAAATGGGCATGTGATGAAGCTGATAGAAATGGGAGAGATGGTTTTTTGCTAGCTTCAACCGCAGGGGTTAGGTTGTATGAAAAATTTGGCTTCGAGAAGGTAGGAGAGGTTAGGACAGCGAAAGGACCACTTCACTCAATGTTCAGAAAGGCACAAAACTAGACTAGCAATCTATTTCCAAGTAAGGCAGCTCTTCACTGAAAAATCGTCGTTGTAAATTTCCATGATGTAATAGTTAAGTCGGGTATCGCTGCGAGAGCCACGACTCCAGCAAGAACTACTACTCTGGCGAGAGCTACCACTCCGGCGAGAGCCACCACATAAGTCCCATATTATTTTAAATAATGCGCGTGAGCCCTGGATCCGATACAGTACAATAAGCACCATACACTTACGTTGTGTATGTCTACATTTCGAGCTTCCCCTGCCCCACACTGACAAGGTTACCATAGTACGACCATCGAACAGCATGATATACTGCACGTGTCTCACTCACAGTAGTCATCAGTCTACGAGAAGGATACATCATCGAGGTGTAATCAGGGCAACTACGCAGGCGGTTGAAAAAGCATCGGGCAAGAAGCAAAATGAGTCTTGCATCCAACACCCTCCAATCTGTCCAGTTTGACGAGCACTTTGGTCCCGTTCTGACTTGGCGCTCTTTTTGATAAAATGAGTGCACCTGAGAATCTAAGAGAGACCCCAGTGACTCTTCGTCAGCCAGTAGCTCACGCGGAACATAAAATGCGCCTAATTAGGCAAGTCAAGGCCTTGTGGGGATCATGCGTTGCGGGACATCAGCTACGCAGCGACGCAAAGCTGCTCGTCTGGTAAGACACATGGCTGTGCGGTATCTGAGATATATAATTAATGAGGTGGCGACGAGAAGTTTGGTAGGTGTAGCGCCCCGCAGAAATCAAATTCGTTATAGGGGTAGGTTACTGATAGAAAGTTTAGAAGATCCCCTACGGTTCGAGATATGGCGATAGAAGCTCCTTGACTTTGACTTTTAAGGGCTTGATGTAAGTATATACGAATTGGTTGTAAGTAACGTGTTAACCGGATGATAGATTCTGCTATTCAAAATCTACAGCTCTTGTGCCGAAGTAGGTAATACACCACTTCCCCCCGATGAGCGAGGTAAACGTCTCTGGTACTATGATAGAGTAGCTAATTTTGAGGAGGAGATCACTTAATACTTGGGTGATTAGTATAGGGAAATGGCCGTGGTAGGTGTGTCATATTTGTCCTTAATATTTATCCTGATCTTGCAGTTTTAAAGATTATGGCGCTGTTACTAAATTCTGACTGTACGAAAAGTCTGCGTAAGCCTATATATAGAAAACTGTGAGAAAGATGGTTTAGATTTATCCTTATAAAAGTTATAAAAGTCTAGAATTATTCAACTTAGATCTTAGACCGTATTGTATATGGGTAGATCAGATGTTGCCTAGATCTATATCTGGAGATCAAGATTCGACTGAGTCCCATCGTGCTTGATTTTTTACCTGTGGGAGCCTTTATGAATCTCTAAGGAGTTAACAGCGGCGAATTCAGAAATTTAGTTGTAGAATATAGTAGTAATAAATAAAGGGACTATAAAGAGAATCATCTAAGAAATAAGCGGCGGTGCCCCCGGGAATATTGATAATATATGAAATTCAGACCTATCGTCTAGACCCTAAAATACTAAAATGACCCTGATATCTAATAACGCTTCCTTCTTTACTCTGTCCTACTCTATTGATATATGTTTACGTAACGCGGGGGTAACCTGTGAATTCCGCTGTAGGTCGATATATGACCTCGTAAAACTAGGACTTGATAGTGAACCTACCCTCTTTCTACTATTATGTCTGCTGCTAATTCGTGTATTGCTGGTAGAGTGTTGTAAGAAGTGCGTGATCTATCATTGCTCGCTGCGTAGAACGTTCGACGTTGTGAGTATATACTGACTGCTGGGTACTCGGTAGGATACTTATTGTCAACAATATTATATGTAAAGTATGGGTTTTTTTACCGCCTTTGTATATCAAAAAAAGCTATCTAGAAAGAGCATTAAAAAAGACATCAAAAAACACATCATAAGGCCGCAAACACAGCCGACTATCCATACCAAACATTGCTGTACACAAGATTTCTGTCAAATTATATAGGTTGGCGCGATGGCGTCTAAAACCTGCCGTACTGCACTGCATTGAGCCCGTTTACTATCACACCCGTAATTTAGTTTGCAAGAATACAGACATGAGAAGACTGTGCCTGAACACATAATGACAGCTACTCAAGTCATCACCCTTCTGCTTCTAAAGTTCCCAAAATCTTCCGATGTAATCAACACTCTTCCTGATTGACAGTACCGATACCTTCCAGTGCAATCATCTGCTGGCCAATCTCCTCTTCTAGCAGTGTGATGCCACCATTGACGCACAATGTCCTATCCGCTGGTCTTTAAAAATTTCCAAGCATGAGTAATACAAACAACACACCCAAGCCAGAGCCGAATCAAGCGCTCAGTGAGTAAATGCGGGCATCGCAAAGGAAAGGAAAGATCAAACATTGCCAACCAATCGTATTTTAAAAATGCTGGGAGACAATGATGTACTAGTCAAGCCAGTTTGTTAAAATAGATCATATATGTGACAATAAATTGACTAACAGTATTGCAAATTATCTAATTTAGCACATTATGGCTTAGACTCCAACCTGCGCCCAGCCACAAGTTGACTTCCGCACCAGCCCATAAAGCCCAGAGCCCAACCCAATCCAGAATATACATCTTATCAAAACACTGAGATTAATGGTATCTCGACTTCTACTACTTAGATTTTATTTAAAATTGAAATACATACTTATATAGCTACTATTAACCTAGGTTCTAAATTTGTACTTTATACGACTAGTAGAAAGTCATAATACAGCGATTATAGAGACCGATTTGTCAGTTCTGAGGCTGAGTTGGGTTTGAAAGTAGTGCCCAAAAGCCCAGTGCGGGTTGGGCTTTGGGCCTGGGGTAGGGGTCCATTTGTGGGCTTTGCGGAAGTCTAGCCATAAGTGGCTTTGTACAGCTGCCAGCTACCACCAGCTAGAAGCCATTTTGCGCGTAGCTAGAAAGCATCTTGCTATGAAGCTCAAACTAACCATCTTCATTTTTACTCATATTCAACTGAAATGGCCACTCTCGACTCCCTGAAGGGGGCTCTCAGGCAAAAAGCCATCGCATCAGCGATATTCCAGAAGCAGCCATTGTCAGACATCCAGTACAGTGCTGGCTTCGATATTTTACTACGGGGGCCAGGTTGGATGACGTACCAAGACTTCATTATCCCTCAACTTTCTCAGCTGCTAGCTCCTCTCCTCGACTCACGTAATATCTCGGTGCTAGAAATCGGACCAGGACCGAAGAGCGTACTTGGACATCTGCCCGGTCATCTAAGGCAGAGGATCAGGAGATATGCTGCATTTGAGCCCAATGACCTACTTGCTACAAGATTGCAGAACTGGCTATCCTCGACGTCGGAGACAGAGTCCCCTCTGCCCTGTCTGGAGAGTCCGGTTGATATCTATCGAGTTCCATTCGACCTGAATAGCAACGCAAACAGTGGTACTAGTGCAAGTACTGGTACGCATGATAGCGACGAAAAGTTCGACGTTATCTTGTTCTGCCACAGCATGTATGGCATGGAGCCCAAAGTCAGGTTCATTGAGCGAGCGTTAGAAATGCTTGTTGAGAAACCCGAAGGAGGAATAGTGGTGATTTTCCACCGCGACAAGACCCTACACCTCGACGAATTAGTGTGCCATCGAACGGCTTCTTTCCCTACCGGGGCCGTTCGCGTGGCAAATGACGACGATGCACTAGACTCTTTCGCCCCTTTCATCGCAGGATTTATCATGCAGGATGTGGAGGTGGACAAGGCTATCCGGGTTGAATGGCGTGAAGTTTGCCGCGCCTTGGGCCGTCGCCAAGAGGCTGACCCAGATCACCTCGTATTCAGCTCGCCTAACATCATGGCGGCGTTCACACGACATGCGACATCGTTATCGGAGTTGACGGCACAGGTGCCGCTGGTAGAGGGAGGCAAAACAGTCAAAAACCGGGAGGCTTGTCTTCAGTATCCCGCCGCGATTATGAGGCCGACGGAGCTCCAACACGTTCAACAGTGTGTTCGATGGGCTCTCCAGCACGGAGTCAGCCTGACTGTCGTTGGTGGCGGTCACAGCGGCCACTGCCTACGTTCCAACGTCGTTTCGGTCGACATGAGCGCCTTTAACAATGTTCACATTCTCACGGCCGGAAATAGTGGACAAGAAGCTGGCTCTGATGCGGCTGCCTTGGTTGTTGCCGAAGCCGGCTGTAAGACGGGGGATATTGTCCGCCAAACCATGGCGGCGGGCCTGACAGTGCCCTTGGGGGCCCGCCCAAGCGTGGGCGCGGGACTATGGTTACAAGGCGGCATCGGACACCTCGCTAGAATGAACGGGCTCACGTGCGACGCCATCGTCGGTGCTGTGATGGTCAGCGTCGAATCTAGCCAGGTCCTTTGCATCGGCCATGTACCAAGCCAACACCGGCCTGCCGGTGCAGTGCGCCCACAAAACGAAACTGATCTGTTATGGGCGATAAAAGGCGCTGGGACCAACTTTGGCATCGTAGTCAGCGTTACTTTCAAGGCTTACGCGGCTTCGATGTTCTCAGTTCGAAACTGGGTTGTCCCGCTCAGTGGTGATGGCGAGGCACAGAGCAAGCTTCACGATTTTGATAACTTGGTCGCCAGGAAGCTCCCCCAGAGCTGTTCTGCAGATGCGTATCTTTACTGGGACATAGGGAAGCTGCATCTCGGAGTTACACTGTTCGAATCTTCCACGGCTAGGTATGTCTCCAAAACACCCCTGTCCACGCTCACAGCTGTGGAAACGATTCTCGGGCCGGAAGACGGTTTTCAGATGGTGGACGGCGTCGGTTTATTCGAGACCGAGATGTACATGTCCAGAATGCACGGCGGCCATGCCAGCAGCAAGACTTCATCATTCAAGCGATGCTTATTCTTGAACCGCATTGGAGCACGGAATGTTGCCGAAATCTTGGTGGCAGCCATTGAAACTCGTCCCTCGCCACTCTCATATCTCCATCTACTACAAGGTGGTGGAGCTATCGGTGGCATTCCAGCCGATGCGACTGCTTTCGGTTGCCGTGACTGGGACTTTGCCTGCGTGATAACTGGTGTCTGGCCGCGCGACCAAGATGGAACCGAAGTCGCTCGAGCTGCAGTGCGGTGGGTGTACAACGTCGCCAGCAACTTGTTGCCCGTGAGTAGCGGGGTATACGGCGCAGATCTTGGACCGGACCCCAGAGATACCGCACTGGCGATCAAGGCCTTTGGGCCAAACCTACCACGCTTGGCTCGCCTCAAGCACAAATCAGACCCGCGTAATGTGCTGGCTTACGCCTGCCCGCTTCCGAAAACGCCTACAAAACAGAAGCTCATCATTCTTGTTACGGGCGAAAGCTGCGCTGGTAAGGACTATTGCGGCGAAATCTGGGTCTCGGCATTCCTCCAAAAAGGGCTCATTGCACGCGTGGTCAGCATTAGCGATGAAACTAAGCGAGAATACGCGGCAGCCACTGGCGCCGACTTAAACTGCCTGCTTCGAGACCGTACCTACAAAGAGCAACACCGGGCGGCGTTAACAGCGTTCTTCCAGAGGCAGGTACGAGATCGACCTCGGCTGCCCGAGGAACATTTTCTCAATGTAGTATACGGCGCCGGAGACGTGGACGTGCTGCTAATCACCGGGATGAGAGATAAGGCGCCAGTCACACTCTTCTCGCATTTGGTGCCACACAGCAGACTGCTCGATGTTCACATCAATGCCAGAAAAGAGACACGGCAAGCTCGCCGAGGCTGCCACGGCGGCGATGCTGATGGCAACGACACCGATGATAACAATGATAGCAGACCAAAACCTAAGCCCTTAGACTATCACCCCAGTCTCATCTTCAACAATGACACGACCGGAAACGAGGCGGTGAAAAGGTTTGCTGAAGACTACTTACTTCCCTTCCTCGATGAGGACTTTCAGCGACTAGCCAACATGGTGCGTCCAGTGCCCGACTTTCCACGCCCAGGCGTCAAGTTCCGCCATGTACTCAACATCGCCCAGCAGCCGGGTGGGCTAGCCCTGTGTACCTCTCTGCTACAGACCCACTTCACCGGGGACTGGTCCAAAGTCGATATGATAGTATCTTGCGAGACTGGTGGGTTCATCTATGCGTCGGTCCTAGCGTCGCAAGTCGATGTTCCCTTGGCGCTGATTCGCGAAATTGGGAAACTCCCACCACCCACCGTCTCCGTCCTCAAGAGTACATCGCATATCTCTTCGATATCCAATTCAAATGAGAAGAGGATTGGGATAGAACGGGATTTGATACCCAGAGGCGCGTCCGTAGTGGTGGTGGACGATGTACTCGCTACGGGGAATACACTTTGCGCGGTGCTACAACTTTTGAGTGAAGTTGGCATTGCTGATGTCAGCATCATGGTCGTGGCCGAGTTCCCTGTTCATCGTGGCCGCGAACTGTTGCGCCAGCATGGGTTTGGTGTCAATATTAAAAGTCTTTTGGTCTTTGATGGTGCCTAGGAAAGGCTAGAATGTTTGAACCTTGCGATCTTAGGATTTAGACGTGATCAAATTCAACTTGTTTCCTCTTTTAATGTTGATATGTATGCATTTTGTTAGATTTACCAGTTCCCTCTACAACATCCTAGATATCTGATTATTCCCAATGTCCGAGAAGTCAATGGTTGGAATAATCTTTATCTAATTTTGGTGGATCATCCCAATAGTGTTGTGCTTCAAATGTTTACCACGGCTCTCCGGGGACCGTGATATGCCATCTCCGTTACTCCGCTACTCCGCACTTGATCAGCCTCATCTTCGACAACTCAACCATGTACGACTCCTATCGTCAGTATTTCTACCATGCTCATATATGTCTGAATACCTAACAAGATTTTAGGGCCACACCCTCTCCTCGCCCAGGTCCCACTGACCGTTTCACCCTTCATCAACCTCCCCACCTCCGTCACATTACCCTACACATACAAATCCGTCCCCTCATCTCTACCCCCCTCAGTGACAATCGATCCAAGCAGCCCTGACGGTAAAGCCCGCTATGTCATCTCTCCAAGCGGTGAGCACGCAGCTCACCCGGACGACGTCCTCGCCGCGTGCCACTCCCTTGAACAACATTTGAATGTGGCTCGCGCCAACGCCGACCAAGCAATCACTGCATGGAAAGAGTCGATTAAACAACGCGAGCTGGCCGAAAAAAGACGCCTGGCTCCTGGGTGGCTTGACCGCGAGGAAAAGCTCCTGCAGCCTAGCCGGTCCAGTGCCTCTCCTGACGCACAGGGCGATGCCCATCCAAGCCTGCTAGATAGCTCTTCCCCTGACCAGGGCTCCTCGCAGCTACCGACTATGGTGCCGCAGAATGATGGGGAGGAGTTGGATAGAGCGTTCGGTGGTCTAGGCGTGAAATGATGAAAGATGGCCTTGCAAGAGAGTTAAACCCTTGTTGCTCCTTACATCACAGGAGTGCCTGGGAACCAAATTCCCAGTGTGGAACACTGGATCAACCTCCAAAATAAGACCTCCAAAGGATACACTATGTTTCGGGGGGACTTCACCAGCGCTGGGCTCTTCTAAGGCCTTGCCGAAGTAGTTTAATAATCTCCGAGTCTGCGACATTTCGCTTTTCCGTGGTAGCAGTTGGAACTTGACCATTGGCGCTAAGATTATGTTGTGCTGAAGGATGAATGGGGTCAATGGGTTCGCAATCGTTCCTTCGACTGGCTGCCCGTGGGGTGTGTCCTATAAACTGTCACATGGAGACAATTATTGCTATGAGAAGATAGTATACCAAATATGCAAATCTTGTAAATGATATTAAACATGAAACACTTACGTAGTATAATAAAACTAGATGTTACTAGGGATTGGACAAAAAAGTATGCCAAGTTGCACGATTATATATTTCTGAACTGCGGCGCTCCCCCAAGCTCGCGGAAAAGCTCCACCCCGCGCCGGAAGCTCTTTTTCATTCCACCTCAACTCCAAAAGCATCCTTCTTATATGATTCAACTCTTTTTCTCGCTCTTTCCAATCACACATATACTACAACATGGAGGCCATTCACAGCTCCCCTGAAGCTTCCTCATTCGTGCCGCTGGCCGAACACCAGTCGCGCACCCCAAGCTCCTTCTACTCCGGACCCCCAGTATTGTACCACCACAGCCAGCGCTGCAAGATCGTCATCCTTGAGCGCGAGCTACTCGCCACCCCAGCGCTGAACGCCCTCCGCGGCCAGGATGCTGTGAACAACAGCACCGCAAGCCAGGACCAGCAGGACAGCGATGAGAAGGAGGTCGCAATTTCAGGCGTGGATACTTGGGTGACATCTGAGTGAGTATTATTCCATTTACCCTTCCATCTTAAGACCAGGATATCGACTGACAAAATTCCCCACTCAACAGCAAACTGTTCCTCTTCTCCCCCGCCGCCTCAACAGGCGTGTCAATCCCCTACCCCTCGATCTCACTACACGCACTCCAACGGCTACGCGTCCCAGACACGGATGCCGAAGTCCAGGGTCTGTACATGCAGGTCGCGACGCCGGGTGCGCCCTCCGCCGAAGATGAAGAGGAATGCATCACAATGACAGTGGTGTTGCCCGCCGACGCTACGCTACAAGAGCCCGTGGATACGGAGACGGATACACCCACTCAGCAGCTTTACAACGCTGTCTCAGCGTGCTCCAATTTACACCCGGACCCTGTTGAGCAGGGCGATGAGGATGATGAAGAGGGGCCTAGGTTCATTTCAGCTGAGGAACATGATGGAGTCTTCCAGCTTGGAAATGGTGATCTGCCCCCACCCGTTGATGGGAGCTCTGGGTGGATCACAGCGGAGAATATGGATCAGTTCTTTGATGCGGATGGGAATTGGATTGCTGCTGGCGAGCCGCCTTCTTTCCCGCTTGGGCCTGGAGCTGGAACTGTTAGGGCTCGGGAGGGGGAGAATGGCGTCGAAGAGAATGGAGATGGGGACGAGACAAAGTGGCGGAAGACAGATTGATTGGGATTAGGCTGCTTTGAAGGAAATATGAAGTTTACGGTGTAGGATTGGCGTTCAAAATGCTTGACTGGTTACGTGGTAAACTACCAATGGATCATTTTGATCGGGGTTATTGTTTAAGGAAACATAGGTAGAGAATGATTAGATTTCTACTAATGGCTTCCTATTTCATGAATATCAACCTTCGAAAGCACACATCAAACATGAAAGCTGAAGAAAAAGACGGACCACCAGGCGACATGCGAAATAAGAAGAAGTAAATGAACAAATAAGAACAGATAGAAGAAAAGGACACTGAAGCTTTTACGCCAACATCAGTATCAGATACTGCACGATCAAAAGAAATCAAAATGAACCAAAAGAAAGCTGTCGCTTTCAAAGTCCACAAAAAGACAGCAAAATTAAGCTTATTCCCGAAGGAACCCATCGCCGTCGTAAAGGCTAGCAGGCGTGGCAGTTCCAAGTCCAAGCCCGAGTCCCTTGCCGGTTGGAGTCGTCATTCCTCGGCGAGGAGAAGCAGCAGTCGGGGGTACCTGGTGGCTGGACATGTGGGGCGGTAATTGTTGGTTGGCTGGCATAGAACGGGGGATATTGTTCTTGCCACGGGTGGGGGAGGATTCAGGCGTGCGGAAGGACCCAATTGGGGGCTGTACAGTGGTTTGAGGAGGGGAGGTCTGGTTGGAATCCTCAAAGATAGCGACGTGATCTTTGACCATCGAGGACCGGCGGGTACCATACAATGCAGAACCACTAATGGGGAACAGCTCGTTGTCCAAACTAGACATTGAAACACGATCTGTGCGGAATGAGCGATTTGTAGCATCGGTTCTCGCGCGTTGGAGCGAGTCTGTAGACCTGCGCCAGTCGCTACCTTCTGTTCCTGTGATACTCATGACAAGAGAGAGGCGGCTGGGTGACAAGGGACTATCTGGTGTGTGATGGGAGGTTAAGGGGCCGCAAGTCGACTGTCTTCGAGTTGGCATGCCGCCGGGTTGGTTGCGAGGCCCCTTTACCGCTGAGCGTCGTGGGCTACCGACAAGAGGGGAGTTCTCGTGGGATGGCAATGGAGTTTCCGAGAGCTCCCATGCAGATGGTATTCTTTCAGGAGAGGGAGTGTGGGTGAGAGAGTTGCCCCGAGACGTGGGGAGAGACGTGAACAGTTCAGGGAGAGCGCGGTTGTTTTCGAATGTGGGCTTATGGGCACCCAACGCAGATGGAGCACGGGTTCTCTTTTTGCAAGGACTATCGTCGTAAATCGAGGGCTGGGGTTCTTCGACTAGTGGCCCGAGAGAGCCAAGGCTGGGCTTGCCATGTCGACTGCCATACTTGCTGCGCCTTGAAGAGGATAGAGGAGACGCTGTAGTTAGTGGCAAAGAAGGTAAGGGCTTTGCTGTGCTGTTGATTGCGATATCACGTAGATCCAGCTCCTCCATCCTGTCGAAGTCTTCTGGCTCCTCTTCTACGGTAGGAGAGAACGTCGATGACCCAAACGTCATAGGTGGATGGATAGAAATACGAACACAGTTTTGGCGTCGATGACCCTTGCGATGTGGATTTCCACCCTTGAGTGCGGAGGGAAGATTGCTCTTTTGAGAGAGACTGGTACGCTGCATCGGGCTTGGAGGCTTAGTGGTCTTGGCTACGTTGCCTGGGGATCTAACCTGGTGGAATAGAGTTCCACCCCCAGGCGAGCCAACATAGAAGGGGTCATTCCCCATTTCGCCATTCTCGTAGCCCGTACTGTTATGGAATTGATTGCCATGTGGTCCAGAGGAGGACATGTGAGAGCCCGATGATCGCCAGGATGGGGCTGAGTTTTGATACCCCAAACGCCCCACTGGAGTCCCAGATCGCAGGGAGGCATGTCGTGAAGGGGGATTAGACGAAGACATGGAGCCAGTTCGACGTGGAGCACCACCGAAACGATTGCTGGAGACGCCTGAGTGGTGAGTCGTCAAACTTCGTCGTGGTGACGAGGACGCAGATTTATGCCGAGTTTCAATTGTCGAGGAGGAACGGACTGGGAAGTTGTGCATGGGAGGAATGGAGGTGTTGGTGGCAATGAAACTTCTGCGACCATCCTTGACTCCAACGTCGGCAGCACTGAAAGGCACAAATGTGCCTGAGGTAAAGATGGGTGAGGTCAGATCGGTATCAGCCGACCTAGTTCCATTTCTACCGTCATCCAAAATTGAGCTATTGGTGGTATCCAGACTCATGGACGAAAGTCTCATCACAGAGTCATTCCTAGCGTAACTAAATCTGTCCGAGGGAAACGTAGTTGGTGGGGGAGGAGGAGGTACAGAGTGACCGGGCATCATCCCGGCTGTTTGACTAGCAATACTTCCCCCACGAACACGACTAGGAGACTCTTCGAAGTTCTTGGTTGAATCAAGCATGCCAGACGAGTTACGGCCTTCCGAAACAGCAAATAGACTTGACCGCTCTCGTACTGGAAGGGGCCATCCAGGTGAAACAGGCTTCATACCTAAATGGAATCCAGTATCCTCTTCGTTGGGATCTGGTGTTTGTGTTGGAGTTCTCTCTGCAGGCAATTCCAAAACTCCCTCGACAGCTGAAAGTGGGACGTCTTCTTTTGATATTGACATCCTTGCTTGAGGTGGCGGACTAGGAAGTTGATTTGATTCACTCAATGTAACCAATGTACCCAGTGAGCTCATGCGTTTGTGGGATGATCGTGATAGGCGCTTGGAACGAGATCGAGAAAGGGAATTGCGGAGAGATCTTGCTTTCTCAGTGAATGGAAGAGATGATACCGAGTCACCCTTGAGACGATGCAAGCTTTCTCTCGACGTTAATTGTCCCCATTCTGATGGTTTACCATATGGGAGCTGCCCATGCGCCCTTAACACGCTCCCTTCTGCCCGGCTCAGCTCAGTCAAGGTGTCCACCGGGTAAGATTGCAAGACTCGACTGTGCCGCCCTGGCCTCTGTGTGAAGCCCATCAGCCTCATTGTATGGCGCTCTTTGCGATACCTGACCCAGACAATAACACTAGCCACCGAGAGGGCAATGAACATGGCCGCGCCGCAAGCGGCTATGGCGATGATGGCGGGCAGCGCCAGCATGGTCGTCTCGATTGCGTGTCACTGAGCTGATTCCGTGGCTGTATAAACACAATTGGCGGAGATTGTCCTCTGAATTCCTCATCCGTGACCAGCGAGTTGGTTTTGAACATGCGATGTCGCGAATTCTCGCTGTATCAAAACGGCAACAGTGAGGCTTCACAGAGCTGGAAACTTCACCCTCATGGAACACAACAAAGTCTTACAGGAACAGGAGACAACAAGATCTGCCAGCATTCCATCAAGGGGACCGCCATTTGTTATGGGAACATTGATTCCAGCCGAGGAATGTCCATTCATCACCACCCGGTGCAAAGAATGCTGGCGGCCACACTACCCCCTTCGATCCAGTTTCAGCTGTGACAACGCCACCGAATATAATTGTGCAATCGGGACATTGATACATCCGAGGACTGGTATTGGGTGGTTGGAATTGGTGTTGAATGGCCTAATCGATCCCGGTTTATACTTGACAGGAACACATCACCCATCTCTTAAGTGCACTTCCCACGTCTTCTTTGAAACTTTGTGCGATGGAATCCAGGGTGTATTTTGAGACATATTTCTAATGATTAGATAGATGGCTACCAAACCCAAGAAAGTATTCAACCATGAATGACGCCTTTCAACTGGTCGCCTTTTATGATACTCTGGCGATCAGCAAGATCAGTGCGCGTCCTTGACTAACCTTGGGTGATCCATTTTGATTTCAACCCAGTAGCTTTGCTAGCGTCGGAATATTGATTAGTACATCTAATATATGGGAGTTTGTAATGGATTAAAGAGTGATACTGCATCGTCCATGAAAATTACCCCTTAGGTGCATGGTTCTTGAGTTCAGTTGGATGCTACTGATAGCAGAGCTTTGAATCTCCATAGCTCTTAGTAATTCCCTCCTATAAACAACTATTTCAAATATCTGCACCCCCTTCTGCGATTGGAAGTCAGGATGGATGTCATCCTCTTGTGGTCAAGTTTTGGGATCTCGAAATCCTCGGTCATTCACTATGAAAGGGGTCAAACCACTAGTAAATTGAAGGATATTTGTTCCATGTAGCTCAAATATTGAATTTCAATCTGTACCGAAGGATTAAATGGTATATTCCTAGGGAATATATGGAGTACAGGTTCAATGTTAAACGGCCTAAGATGCGCGTTTCCCCAGTTCTTGGGTTCACCGCCTCATGAGAAGGGAAGAACATGCCCAGGTGAGAATAGCTTCTCATCTAACTAACAGCTCTGATCTTTTGTGAACAGGTTTATCTGACCATACAAATTTGTGATGTATCTCATTCCACGTCAAATGATTATTCTGGGGCGCATAGTGTCATTCTCCACTGTGGACACGACCCAGTGCCATCAAAGCACAATGCGAGAGCTCCCCACCAGGCCTATACATAGGGAGAAGGCCACGGTCTAGTCCGATTTCCCCGCCAGCGCATCACTCACCGTCTATCGCCTTGGGATGTCTAGATTTGCCCCTCAGCTCTATATTTAGGGGGCCTCCCGAACTTACATCTATCTCCTGTCACTTTCACATTTGTCTCTGTCACTACTCTTCTCTTGCTGCAATGGCTGCTAACCCCATTACCAAACATGGACTCTTTGTTCACAATAACACCACTGCTCCTGAGCACCCCAGCCTCATGAGTATGTTCTCCCTCAAAGGGAAGACTGCGATTGTGACCGGTGCTGGCGCCGGTATCGGTTTGGCTGTTGCTCAAGGTCTAGCCGAAGCTGGTGCCAATGTGGCCATGTGGTACAATAGCAATGCTAAGTGTATTGAGAGGGCTGCCGAGATCGCTGAACAATACGGTGTTCGGAGTGCGTAACAATCTACGCAATGTGATTGGTTCCACATCATTCTAACCCAATTTCTTTCACAGCCAAGGCGTATCAGGTTGAGATCACCGATGCAAAGGCTGTCGAGAAGGCTGTAAACGACGTTGTCAAGGAGTTCAATGGCCGCCTTGACGTCTTTATTGCTAACGCCGGTGTTCCTTGGACTCAAGGCCCCATGGTCGACGGTCCCCTCGACCACTACCGTGATGTTGTCGCCATTGACCTCGACGGTACCTTCTACTGTGCCAAGGCTGCCGCCGACCACTGGCGCCGCCAGAAGGAGGAAGGCACTGATGCCAACGGCAACAAGCTCACCAACTTCACATATGGTAGCTTCGTTGCTACTGCCTCTATGAGCGGTCACATTGTCAACTTCCCCCAGATGCAGGCTGCCTACAACGCTGCTAAGGTTGCCGTCATTCATCTTTGTAAGTTACTATTCAGACTCCATGAGCTCCATCGCTCTGCTAATACCCTCTCAGGCAAGTCCCTTTCTGTCGAATGGGTCCGCTACGCTCGCGCCAACACCATATCCCCCGGTTACATTGCCACTGAGATTTCCAGCTTTGTGGCCGAGGACACCAAGAATATCTGGCGCGACAAGATCCCCATGGGCCGTGAGGGCCAAGCCCACGAGCTCAAGGGTGCCTATCTCTACCTTGCTTCCGACGCTTCCTCCTATACTACCGGGGCCGATCTCATCGTCGACGGTGGCTACTGCGCTCCCTAAATTCGCCCTAATGACAAATTAAAAAAGTAGGATCTTTGGTTTGGAGCGTAAATTTTGGAGATATTGATGCTAGCGATCCTGATTTAAACGTGACGATAGACGAACGTAACGATTAAAGAAACAGACTAGATGGACGAGTCTAAATCAAAATATTGTATCTGTAACATTTCCCCCGCTTGGTAGGCATCATACCCAGAATGACTCTCAAGGTAAGATGGTGCCCAAAACACAGCAATGTCAGATCCCGATGGAAGCATTTTCCCATCACCGGCACAACCAGCCAAATTTCAGCTTGTGCGCGATTGCCGAGCCAATGACGCTATGGGACCACGACATCTTTGTAAGGAGTAGAAATTTTATGTTGTGATCCTAGTATCCTTGTCGGAACAAATGGCTCAATCCCTTGCGTAGCGTTGATAAGCCCCGCCAATGACACCTGGAATGTGATCTACCCCCGCGTGACAGGACTCATAAATCGATGTGACCGAGTCGACCAGTTGCTTTGATCAAGGCATTTCTTGGGTGGAACTTGAAGATTGAAATGACTTTGTTTTCATCAATGTCAACCTGAATAACGACATAGGAAAGAATAACATCGCTCAGCTCATCATGTGCTCGGACATTCTGCCAAGCCCGTGAACATTGTATCTATCCCCCCAAAGTTTTATATGCTGCTCACCCCCGTTGTTCAATGATGTCGGGAGAAACAAAAGCAAAAACGCCCTGGGATGTCCACTCAACAACCTCATCCAACCAAGCCACCGGTCCCCCCTGCGCCTGGCCAACGGTATAAATAGGACGCTCGAGGTCGAATTCCCAGATGGGGATATCATCGACTGGGTTGTGTGGCTCGAAGACCGCCTCGTCGACAGCGGAGTTGGACCAGTCAGAGTCATAGTCGTCAGAGGACGCCATGGATCCAGAAGGGCTTGGAGATTGACTGCGAGTGGGGAAATCGGCCATATCCGCAAAGATGGACCGGCGTTGCGGACGGTATGGGCCTCCAGCATAGCTGGTGGTCATGCTGAGACCGTCAATTTCTGTTTTGCTATCCATTTCTATGAAGGTATTGACTGTGTCCAGAGCAATGTCTTGACCGTGCCGATGGTAGCCAGATGTTGGCATGGATGAATTTGCGAGGGATGAAGGATGTTGTTCTTCTTCATCTTTAGTATCGAGGTTTATTGGCTCGTACTCTGCTTCGGGCATGTGGGTTTGCGGGTTTTGGTTGGTGGGATGACGGTTGATGAGCTTTCGCGCAATATGTTGGTACACGGGGAGGATGCTGCGACGGTGGAAGGTGCCGAGGTGCTGCATAATCGAAGCATTGTACACGGCAACAACAAAGAGGGATGAGAGGGTCAGGCAAATTATTGGGAAGGTAAGAGAAGCTTCCGGCATGATGACTTTATTGACTGCAGATGTTCCTCAATGAACGGGTGATTTTGAAGATGAGAAGTGCATCCGTGGATTTGGGGAAGAGAAGGGGAAGCAGAAGCAACGTGAAGAGGAACACAAATAATCGACATTTAAGAACTATTGTGAATCTGTCAACAATACGTTAATGCAATTGTCGACCTGGCAAAAAATAAGGCTCATTCAACATGTTTCCACTACGAGTGCAAGCCCTAGGACATACCTACGTACTCAGTTATATAAACCGATATCAATGTGCCTAAAAGCCATAAGATAGCAAGCCCTTATAGTCAGTCACTGATATTGACAAATATATATCCAAATTATATTGCAAAATAGTTATAGGGCAATTTTCCTAGTTTTTACAAGTATTCCTCGGGTGATCTTCTAGAGTCACGATGTTCATTCACGATGTCCAGTCATGCCGCTCCGAGCTTAAATGCGCCTTCCCCATCTGACCCTTCACGCCCACACGTCGCTTCCTATATTTAGATTGGAGCTACAGCTCTCCCATGGACGTAGGATATCCAAGTATCTCATTGTGGGGCATTCACCATTCATTGTTTGCCTGTTCTTCATTCTTTGTTTAACCCGAATCAATGGGCTTGATACTAAACATCTTCTGTTTGTGATTTTAAATTAAAATCATGGAACCTATTGTTATCTCTATTCCTTTGTCCATAAAATCGAGACAAAGGCCTTTCATACATTGTATAAATGCATGCCAAACAGCATCACTCTTCACTCAGATCTTTCTCATCCCTCGGTCAGATCACAAAGCTCTGCATATACCTTGTTCCAATCATCCCTTCAGCCCTACCCCGTGTGCACTCACACAACCATTTGCCATGGGAATTCCTACACAAGATACAAACCGCGTTACCAAGCGCAAATCTACACCAAGAAAAAATTGGACAGAGGCTGTCAAGGAAAAGATTGTACAGTTCTTCACTGGCAAACCACTCCCATCCCGTTCAGTTGCTGATAAATCCCAGTCACCGCAACGTGCCGCTCTACTAGATGCCCTCGAATGCACCAAATGCGAAGATCTGCACATTATTCCATACATGATGAATGCAGACATTGCTGCTGGATCATATATCACCTCGGAATACCCACCTTTCTTTGCCAGCAAAAGCACACGAGATGATCTTATATCTCCCTTCGACACAGACATAGTAGCCCACCAAAGTAATAATGCAACATTCTGGGAAGATATCACCCCCACCGAGCAACATCTTTACTACAACAAGATTGATACCATCCTCAAGAAGGCAGAGGCTCAGTCGGGCAAGTCAATAGATGAAGCCTCCGTTCTTTTCGCCCACTACCAGGTAGACTTCCACATCCGCCAGCACTACCTCGCTCCGCGAAGTAACCTGAATATATGCCGCTCAAAGGATGATATTAGGGCGCTGACCCACTGGCAGTGGAAGTGCGCCGTTGCGGATGAGACAGCACTTGCAGAATTCTCCGACTGGGGTGTGGGATGGGTGCATGAGCCGAGCAATTCTATTGGCCACCAGATTGCGGCATGGCGGATGGGCGAAAGAAGGCGAGAGCAGCACCTCGCGGAAGTAAGATCCCGGTGGGCCGTGATCCAGGACGAGAGACAAAAACAGAGGATGCGGACAGTCAACATTTGGTTCAAGGGTGTGCATGTTAGAACTTACAAGTATGAGCTATGCAGACCGTCTCTAACAGAGAAAGAGATTAAGAAGATTGCAAGGGAAAAAGGTAGAAGTCATGAAGCTTATTTGAAGAAATTTGGCATATGACGAGTGAACGGTTGATTACACATTACTATATACCCCATTTGAGTGGATTTTTTTATAAAGGAGAAACAGAATCAAGGATATTTCGTACTTTCACTTGAATAGATCCGTTAAGATGTATATAAATAAGACGAATTGCACATGTATATTGATTTAGGAGTTTAGGGTGATGACCTGCGGATGTAAGGTGAGAGGAGAGAGAGAGGTAAGACCAAACCGGGGGAAAGGGAGATAATGTGGAGAACCAGGAGAGATGAGGATGGGACCTGTTTGGTCTACCTATATAAAAAGCTAAATATGCTTCGCCCATGTCAATTTGCCAAGGCTCCCGGCATTGATGTCCCTATAGGTTTCTCTAACTGTAGAAATGTTGTGACATCATGCGAAAGATAAGCCAAGGTAGTAACTTAAGAAATTGAGTGGGCATTAATTCAATAATAATTGAAAAGTGAGAGATAGGGGAAAGGGGGGAGACCACTGCGTAGATACCCAAAGCGCCCCTCGGACCTCAGTTGCTCTGGAGGTCGCCTACTCAGAGTCGGATTCAAAACTGAATTCTGATTTCCGACTCTGGCTAAATCCAGATGATGAGAATAAAAGAATATGTCTTGCTCTACGGATCGATAGGGATAAGCCAAGAATCCGCATTGAGAGATGGCAACTCCAGAACAGCAGACCACATCGCTCCTAAATCATCTGGATCACGAGAGTGTCAAACCAAGTGAGCGTCACTAACCACCCGGTCATCATACAATTTGAAGACTTGTTTCTTCGACCACCACTCACAGTCTGCAATAACTGACGTTGAGTGGGGCGGTTGGATGCCCATCGAAAGGGAAGAGAGACCAATTGTCACTTTGGGTCAGCGCAGAATGGTGCAAATCTCAAAGCTTTGTCGGAAGCAGTTGAACAACCTTGGGATTATTGTTGACCTGAGATATTCGGGTTCTTCCCAACCTTAATCTTGCCTATTTACCCCCTAAGCCCCCAGCCTCAAATCATGGGGAGTTTCCTTACCAAGCAATAACAAATAATATATTTCAGGGATGATGTTATTAGTGACTTATAGAAGGTATGCCGACTTCTCCAATCAACAAGATAGATGCTCACGTGTAGTATTGAAAATTGTCGCAACGAAGATGTCAAGGCGTATGTACTTTGTACTTCGTACCTTAATCTGGACTAGCAACGGCTGAAATGAAAGCAGCCCAAGTCCAAGCTGGGGTCGATCTGCTATTAGGCATTATTGGTCTGCAGCTCATATTATTCGGGAAATCAAAAGAGATTCGAGAATTGAATTTTGCTCAATGGCTCCTGGTTTGCTAGCCCTTGCCTACGTACGGAGTAGTCCTTCTCCAATTCCCTACTTTCGCCATTTCTTTCAACTAGCCGCCCATAACGACGATCAATCTTCGGCGAGATGGCATTGGCTAAAGGTTTTCGGGCCCAGAACATCATCATGCTTAGGCCCTCTCCATCATGCTGCATTCCCCGCGAAAATTACCAGACTGGCCCGAGATCTTCCCATTCGGTTACTTCTTTGGGAAGAATCCCCAAACTCGAGTAACTTTACCCCACCAAATCCAGAGATTAATGCAGGCGAACAACGAAAGTAATGGGTTCCAAAGGTCGCAAAGTTGGATTGGACTTTGGATACCGTGGACAAAAAGGAGGGGGAAAACGCCAGGCACAGATCTCCCGGTTGTGGCTGGCCCCTCCTTGGTTCATCACAAGATTTTCATTTGTGATCAACCCCCAAGGCTCCCAAAACTTCCAAGATTCGGTCTTGGGGAGGTCACAAGCAATTAGCCCGTGTAGTATCCGACATATAGGAACCCTTGGAAATCTCCATGAATCCTCCCTGATTGGTCTCAAAGCCTTCCCAAAAGCCCCGTATTTTTTAAAGAGGCGCTGCGCCACCAATGAAACCCAAACCCTGACTAATCCTTGCCATTCCGTCACTCTCATCCACAGTGTGTGAACTACAACATATGTGAAACCTGACTTCAGAGCTGTGACCACGCATATCGGGATCTTGTGACGTTGGTATTCAAGATTCTGCACGGCAAACAAGGGGGTTATAAAGGGGCCCTTGCTAGCTACAAGTTTGACGGGTTTCCAAGGTATTTTTCCGACTAAAGAGACTTTCCATGATCTCCTGATCAGAGGGCAAGAAACATATACATTTAGGTTCGAAAGTATCTTTTATGTCTACAATATTACATTGTTTAATAGCCAAACATCATAATTATCCCATTTTCCTTTGACCGGGAAGCCGTAACATATGACGTAACGTCGCCGACCTATTAGGGTTTTTCCCGAATCACCGGCCCGTGAAGACGAAGGGCTTTTCCAGATATATAACAGATTGAATTGTATAATATAATAAATTAATTAAAAAGAATACTGTATATATTATTGATTTATATGTAGTTATGAGCAATAATGAATAATGATAGAGAAAAAAAAAAAGCCCTCCCCCTCAAAACGAGGGGAACGAACATCCACCGACCCACTGCTGCGGATGAGAAAGTGGGTTGAGCCTTTGGGAATTTATAACGTCGTCAGGTCCTAAACCTGTTACCCAATCCCTGCTTCTCTTTCCTTCTTCCTTTTGATCTTCCCCCTCCATCAAATCTTACCTCTTACCTCTTATCTTACTACTTATTGACCCCCAAACCTATCTCCATTTTGAAACACTTGGATTATTATGTCCACCAAGGTTTTGCTCGTCGGAGCAGCGGGTGAAACCGGAGGTTCTATCGCCAACGGACTGTTGGATACCGGTAACTTTGTAAGCCTAGGTTCCTCCACGTTTACCAATTGACCCCGGACTAATTGTCTCGTTTTTCGGTAAACAGGAGGTCATCGCTCTTGTTCGCCCTATCTCGGCCCAAAAGCCAGCTATTACGCGCCTCCAGGATCGGGGATGCCAGATTCGGAAATGCGACTTGAAGGCCCCAGAGGAGCAGCTGATCGAGGCGTTGGCCGGTATTGATGTGGTTATCAGCTGCGTCGGTCCTGCCGAACAACAGGACCAGATTCCTCTCGCCAAGGCAGCCAAAAAGACCGGTGTGAAGCGATTCGTACCATGTGGTTTCATCACCGTCTGCCCACCGGGTGGTATCATGTGGTTGCGTGACGAGGTATGAGGAATTGTGGCACGGTACTTTGGTCAGTGGACTGACCATGATTTTACTACGTACAGAAAGAAATTGTCTACAACCAGATTCGCCAGCTGTGGCTTCCCTACACCGTTGTCGATGTCGGCTGGTGGTACCAGCTCGCCTACCCCCGTCTCCCCTCCGGTCGTGTCGACTATGCCATGACATCTGGCAACGATGAAATTATTGGTGACGGCAACATGCCCACCGCACTGACCGACTTGCGAGACATTGGTCGCTACATGGCCATGATCATTTCCGACCCCCGCACTCTGAATAAGAAGATCCTCGCCTACAACCTGGTCTCCACGCAAAACAAGATGTACGAGCTCATGGAGGAGCTTAGCGAGGAAAAGATCGATCGAAACTACGTAAGTTGCACGGACTCTTGGCTCGGAATGAGTCAATGTGGCTAACCGATGTTTTCTTTTTCCGGAGCACAGATTCCCGAAGAAACCATCTGCAGCAGAGTCGTGGCGGCCCGACAAGCTAGTGAAACTTACCCCTTCGACCCGATCAAGTTCATTCCTCGGTATCTGGCCGAATATCAGCTCTCTTGGGGAATTCGCGGCGACAACAACCCCGAGTACGCCAAGTACCTCGGCTACCACACCACACAGGACCTGTACCCCGAATTCAAACCTACAGATTTCCGCGAATATCTCGAGTCTGTCATTCGTGGCTCCGCTAAGGGTGTTTACACCGATCGCGTGATCTCACGGAAGCACCAGCGACACTTCCCGCGCACCGAGTCCAGCGATTCCCTCTACACGCGCATATTCCCTCGCACCGAGTCGAGCGATTCGCTCATGTCGCGATGAATTGATGAATAGGAAACCTTTTTTTTACGTACCTCGCGTTACCTCTCCGCCTCACCCAGGGAGCGACTGTTCTAGACAAACACCAGCCCCGAACCGCTGCCATCTGGGAATATTTGATAAAGACTTTTATGACATCTCTCTCCTCCCCCTCTGGTCCCATTTGACGGGGCCATGGAACTCAGTATGCAACCGACTGGTGCTTTTTTTTTGGGGAGTCGACAACTTTTTGGGCGTTTGTGATTTTGTGGCCTCGTGATGGACGCTGGCTACTTTTGGTGCCTCCTCGATGGGCTTGGTGTCAATCCTTAGAGTTGGCATTGGAATTGCTTCTATTTTTGTTTATGCCATTCAATTTCGATTGTCCCATGATGGGATTTCTGCATATAGAAAATATATCCCAATCATCTGTGATTCCAACCAGTTATGCCTCGTTCTTTCCCATACTCGCACTTGCATAACCCCAATCACCCCGAGCTCCTCGGGGGCCTCCCCTAGGCTGTTCATTTGATCCCTGATATTTGATGCGACGTTTTTGGTCCCAAACTCATTTGCTTTAATTAACCTCGACCGCTAGGGATTCGTATCTTTTTCCTTCGAAATATACTGTAGGAGATGTTTCCGCGACGCCGACCGGGATCGCGATCCTCTGCCTGCGAACTCGGGCCCATCAGCGCTGAGCCAAGGACTCCACAAACTACCCCGGAAGCTCATCAGAATGAACATGCCCTGGGCTTCACCGATATATACGGGTCATTGACACCCCGTCAAATCAGCATCATCAGTATGTATTCCCCACATGGTAGGGGGTCCACATTCTAACACAGGCTTGCAGCCATTGGATCGGCGATTGGAACGGGCCTGATGGTTGGTACTGGAAGGGCATTGTCTATGTAAGATTTGTCCCTCCTACCAAACGGATTTCTTTTATGCTGAACGATGTGAACGATGTTAACTCCAACACAGGAGCGGCGTAAGTTATTCTCTAGGAACCTCATGGGCGAAGATATTGACCTGTTATAGCCGGCAGCTATAATAATCTCCTACACCATCGTCGGGTTCGCGGTTTACCTCGTCCTCTGTGCGTTGGGTGAGGTGGGCTCATGGTTACCAAAACCGTATACCGTTGCGGACCAAGCCGTTCGGTTTTGTCATCCTGCTCTTGGATTCAGCTTGGGCTGGATGTAAGTGCCCCTGCGATGAGAGCTGCATCCAATTTGCTTTGTTTCCTGACCGTGTCCCTAGATTTTGGCTGAAATATGCTGTTGTCACACCGAACCAGCTCACAGCTGCAGCGCTGGTAGTCTCCTATTGGGTCAGTGCCGAGCGAGTCAATCCTGGTATCTGGATCACGGTTTTCCTTTCGGTCATTGTGATTCTCAACTTCATCAATCACCGCCTCCCGAGCAGAATCGAGTTCTATGTCTCTTCATTCAAGCTTGTCGTCATGCTTGGACTCATGATACTTTCCACCGTCATCGCTTTGGGAGGGGGACCGGATCAAGACATGAAAGGATTTCGATATTGGTCGTACCCCGGTGCTTTCGGCGCTAAGGCCCATCACGATAACGCGTTGCTAGAGAAGTTCTATATAACATGCTCGACGATGTCATCTGCCACGTTTGCATATATTGGAAGTGAGCGATCTGGCATGACTCACTTCCCGAACGTTCGAAAGGCTACGTCGAGGGCTATCCAGAATACCTTTTATCGAATCATGGTTTTCCACCTTCTAGCAATCACTCTTCTCGGAATGATTGTCCCTCAGGGCTCGGCCACTATGGTATTTTCTAGCGATTCCTCCCATGAGGCTGCCGCATCAGCATTTGTTGCGGCTCTGTATTTGGCTGGCATCTCCGTGTTACCCGACTTGTTGAATGCATGCATACTGTTGTTCGTCCTGTCAATCGCAGACTACGATCTCTATCTGGCAACCAAGGCAATGTGCGACCTCGCAGTGAAGCAGCGTGCCCCTGCGTTCCTGTCTCGCACTACCCGGAGAGGCGTCCCAATCTACGCTCTAGCTGTGTGCTCGTCAACTGCAACATTGGCATATCTCAACGTCCGCCAAGACTCAACTGTTGTCTTCGGATACTTCGTGGACATGGTCACAATGCTCGGGCTGCTCACATGGATTTCCATTCTCGTTACCCACATATCTTTTGTGCGAGCACGAAAGGCTCAAGGCATTCCTGATAAGGCTCTAGCTTTTAGAGCTCGCTTTGGTTTGCCTGGGACGTGTTTGGCTCTCATTCTCTGCTTGTTCATCTCTGTCGCCATTGTCTTTGACTCCTTTAGCTTTGATTCGGGCGTTCGGACATTTGACGTGAAATCCTTCATTGCCTCCTACATCAGCATTCCTGTCTACATCTTCTTGATGGTTGGCTACAAGCTCGCTGTCCACAGTAAACGTGTCGACCCCAAGGAGGCTGATCTATGGACCGATAAGATTGAGTTGGACAGTGAGAGGGGGGAGGGCCACAACTGAAGGGAAATTGGGTGTGATGGAAGCCATTATTCCATAGGTCACTCTGGTTTATCCTGGGGGATCAAGATTCTTGACCATCTTTGTTGATCAACGGGGAAAAAGCAATTACCATTCACTACATTGTCCTGAATGTCTATTTTGTACCTATAGTTAGGTACTAACTTCAGCTTGAAGTTCCATTATTCGTCCACTATCTAGTATTTCCTCGCACCACCTACGCCCCACCATTATTAGCTCCTGTGTGATTGATCTTGAAACCTCCAAGGCATCACTACTCCGTATGCAGCCCTGAATCCTTGTAAAATTGGACAGTTGTCAGAGTGACACGTCAAGTGGGGACGCTAATAACTGCTACCCGAAGTTGGCGCGAGTAAACAGTTCTTTTGCACAGCAATCACCCGGAGACCTACTCCATATACGGAGTAGGTTGAACTTCCGAGGTTGAGGAGTCGAGTAAGATATTCTGCCGATTTAAGATCCTCATTCCCCTTAATTCTTCAATTCTTGATTCTTAAAAGAGTGCGCATGAGGGAACTCAATGCATCTGCGGTTTGTTTACACCCCACCATACCTTCGCAGGAGACTAACAAAGAACCCTCAGAAGCAGTCGAATCCTGTCCATTCATTTTTGATCCAACACTCCAACAGAGGGGTATTAGTTCTTGCTCTTGAAAGGTTGAACGAGCGCCTGTGCTCTACATTCCTCACACAAGCATGGATCATCCCACTACCCCACAACACCAAAAAGAGGATTTCCGTACGTTTATCACAAGAGTGAACGTCAAATTTGGTCTCGAGATTCCCCTCCCTGGAATTGAATCTCCTACAGTTCGAGAGAGAAATACCAGCCTCCCGAGTCAGATCTACAAGCATATCCGCCCACTGTTCTTCAATAACAAGGTCGACAAGAGAAGCCTAATTAACAATCTCGAGGAATGGGTCCGCGGGAACCTACCGTTGGCCGGTCCGAACCAGAACCATGTGCATCAAACCGATGCAGATCGCCGGGCAAGCCAACGGCATCACAGCGAGGAACCCGCGCCCCCGCTGTCACTCACCGGCCCCGAGAAGGACATGTGCATGAAGCAGCTGCTAGCGCTGATGAAAGACGAGGAATATTTTTTGGCGAATGGTCGTGTTGTAAACATGAAAAAAAGGTTAGCCGCCAATTCTTTTGGAGACGCCAAGGGCTTATCACCAAAGAAACAAAGGTTTGATGATGATGAAGATGAAGACGAAAACGAAAACTTTCACACCGCACCGAATTCCCCCGTAAAAGGATCTGTGTTAGCTCAGTCCCCTTTGGGGAAGAATGGGGATGGGAGTTTACAATTCCCTGAGATGGTGCAGGCTACCTTCCGAGGATCTCGAAGAGTCTCTGGGACTGTCAACTTGCCGGTCAATAGCCATCAAGTAATTCAGTCTCCTGCGCGGGGCTCGGTTGGAATTACATCACCAGCAAAAAGTCAAGTTCACTCGTCGCTCGGAAGGAACGATGGACCTATCCAGTCCTCTGGAAATAACAAAGAAACCTTCCATTCACCGGCGAAGTATTCGGCGACCTTTCCCCCACCAGCCAAGGCACAACCAGCACAGGGCCAAGGGTTTCACCAACCGCTCCCTGGAAAAGTGGTCACTAAATCAGCGTCCAAGCCCCAAGGCAATGTTCCCACCCCGACGAGGAAGTCGACCAGCACTTCGTCGCTAGCGAAGACTCCAGGAGCTGCCCAATCACCCGCGAGGAACCCTGGATCTGTTCAATCGCCCTCTAAAACACCAAGATCAGCCAAATCACCCTCCCAATCGCCGTTGAAACAGATGGATCTTCGATCGTTTGGGTTTGGGAACAGCTTCAACAAAGAAAATTCTCCTACCGAGGAGGATGTTGAGTTTAGGAAGCCTACTTTATTTGAAAAGCTGAGCGCAGCATCGGATAAATCCAAGCGCAACAACATGACGCAGTCGGCCAATACTAGCTTTTCAACGAGGATGACTTCGTCGGTTTTTATGTCTCGAGATGCCAGCATGGCGAAATCATTTGATACGGTCATGACAGACATGACCGAGCCAATGGATACCCAGTCAACCTATGCAGACTCGGTCGTCGGGTACATGGCTAGCGAAGAGATGCAAAGGAGCGTGGATGCTGCTGCTATCTCCATGATGGTAAATGCTGACCCCGCTGAGACCGAGTATTCCCTGAAACAGGAGTTTATTGATGAACTCCAGTCCTACGGGCCGTTTTCGACAGAAGAATCCTTTCCTGCAACAATTCCATTGCGATTCCGATATGAGCTGGAACGCATTGGACGTGCGTGGGGAATCCCCTTTAAACAAATACTTGTTGGCGACCGTGTTACCTTCAACACTCAAGATGATTTCTGGTCATGGGTCAGTGGGCTTGGTCGACGTTATGGCCATCCGTTGCCAGAGAGATCCCCACGTCGGACCTGGGATGCTGCTGTTGGTGATTTTAAATCAGATAAGCACTCAGAGGTGGTGGTACTGTCAGGAGACTTGGACTGGTGTAGCGAGTCCGAGCCGGGCATTTTCAAATTGAGACTCAACCCGCTCAAGCCAGAGCGAACGTGTCGATTCCATCGAAGATTTGGTTCGGATAGGTTCCTGACTCTCACTATTCCAGCCGCGGATCAGCCTCCCAGCCATCAGAAACAACCTTCTTACCCATCTGCCCTCCGCGAGGGTATTGCTTCCTGGCTCACGCGGAATGATCATCATTGCCTCGGACGGACGTGGCGCGCTTTCTATGTTGAAGAAGTAAAAACGAAGCGAAAAGCCAAGGGTGAGCCTCGGTTTCGAGTCGAGCTCTTTGCCATTGATGGAGACGACTTTGATCATGGGTATCAGTTACCACCAGTAGTGGCTCCTCCTAGACAGCAAAGCGACAACCATACTCCGATGAGTGTAGATGCTTTGCTGGAATGGCATATGCCCAAGACTGCGAATGCAAATCAAAGCAATTGCAAGCTCTTCCAGCGTATCTCTCTGGGCTTGTCGAAGACATTTGCGACGGTTAAGTTGAATCCAACGCAAGTGCTTCGTTTGAGAGATGATCCAACTCGGACTGTCATGAATGATGGATGTGCCTTGATCTCGAGGGCTCTTGCGAACCAAATTTGTGATCAATTGGGCATAACCACCGCCACGCCTAGTTGCTTCCAGGGTAGAATAGCAGGTGCTAAGGGCCTTTGGATGGTTGATCGCCACCAGTCTAGTATCACTACCATGGATGACGATGACATGTGGATTCAGATTTCGGACTCACAGTTGAAAATACATCCTCATCCACAGGAATGGGTTGACCCGTTTGACGATGAGAAGTTGACCTTCGAAGTAGTTAACTGGGCTAAGCCATTGCACCCTGTTGATCTTAATATCCAGCTTCTTGGAATTCTGGAACACGGAGGGAATGTGAAGGAATATATTGCCAAGCTCACGCGTGATGGTGTACAGAGTCTTTACGACGACTTCCTTGAGGTTCTCCGATCAAATAGCCCCGTGCTTTGTCGAGCCCTGCTTCAAAAACTGACACCTTACGGTGAAGATGGAACTGGTAAAGCCCGACGACTGGAGCAGTGGGTGACTAGTGATGCTGAGTCTATCATTCGTTTCTGTGAGGCTGGCTTTGCCCCACGCGATTTCTTTCCCCTCCGGGTGAATATCCGCAGATACTTGACACGGCTCCTTGAGCGACATGTCGAAGAGCTTAAAATTCAGGTCCCTCTTTCAACCTATGCGTACTGCATTGCGGACCCATATGGAGTTCTCGGACCGAATGAAGTTCACTTTGGCTTCTCCAATAACTGGCGGGATCCACAGGGTCAGTTTGAAGACAACCTACTTGATGGAGTATATGTGCTTGTAGGTCGAGTTCCAGCACATTTGCCGTCTGATATTCAACGACGCAAAGCCGTATGGAAGAATGAACTACGTCATTTCAAAGATGTGATTGTCTTCCCCACTACGGGGAATTTTCCTTTAGCCGGTATGCTATCCGGGGGAGATTACGATGGTGACACCCCGTGGATCTGCTGGGATCCAACCATTGTCGACAGATTCCATAATTCCCCAATGCCCTCGCATGAGTATCCTGCAGAGCATTACGGGCTCACGAAACATTCCGTCCCGATGGCCTCGCTGAAGTCGACGGAAGACTTTTTGGAAAGTGTGTTCGATTTCAACCTCAACCTTTCAAACCTGGGTCGATGTACCGTCGAGCATGAGAAACTGGCATACGATGAGTCAGTCAACTATCCGAAAGCGAAAGAGCTCGCCTGTCTCTTGGGTCATCTTGTGGATGGCCGGAAAGGCGGAGTTCATCTTTCAGAGCAAGCCTGGCAAGAATACCGCAAAACCATCAGCCCTAAGGAACGTGCGCTTCCCGCGTATCGGAACCCAGAGCGCAAGTCCAAATCGTCGAACATTATCGACTACCTCAAGTTTAACGTCGCACAGTCGGAGCTTTGCAGAATTCTCTCGGGTCTCAACGAAGCGTTCCCCGAGAACGATGTCCAAAATCAGCTCGATGATGACCTTATGCGTCCGTGGAATGAAGCCGATAAAGCATCAAAAAGCAATTCCGAGTACAGTCAAGATTTAAAAGATGTCCTCGCTGAAGTTCGAAGGTCGATAGACGAACAATACAAACAGTGGAACCAAGGACACTCGACGTCTACCAGCGACGAATTCTCTCCCATATCACGTCAAGCTGCCGAGATTGCAGCTGCGCTCGCTCCTCCCAACACGGGCAAACATCCTCTCATCCACACTTGGCAAAATAGCCATAATGAGTGGCGACGGCTGGTAGCTTCATATGCCTACCGTCGATGTCCAAACTCTCGGTTTATTCTTCATGCCTTTGGCGAGACATTGTGCCAGATCAAGGCGTCCGTCTCGCCATCCCGCCTTGTCACCAATGAGGTGATCGCCTGCTACCGAGTGAATCAGAAAATGGTGGCACATCTCACTGCTAATGAATGGCCTGTGGATGAAGTCGACGATACAGATGAATATGAAGACGGAGAAGCCATTGAAGCTATGCTATCCTTCTAGAAGGGACCAGTCGGTCATTACGATGATGAATTGAAGGACAACTTGTCCATCGAAGGCGATACAAGTGATGCCAACAACGACCCTGCATTTGATTTGTATATCATAAATTTGAGCGATATTTTCTTATGATGCCTATGACTGTCTAATATAGCATGAGATAGATGCCTTGTTGTTTTGCATATGTTAGAGTTGATAGATAGCCATCACATGGTTCACCTAAACATAGAAGTACATGTACTTTTAACAAATCATACCATTATACTTTTGCTTAAAACATTACCAAGCACCGAGAGAGTTCATCCTAGTCCCCAAATGTCAACTGCTAAAATGCCCCCACATCACATGCCGAGCTCAATCGGCCGAAAGAGGCAATATATGGCCCAACAAATATAAGATTGGGCCTGTAAATTGAAACAAGGACTATATTTGGGGGTGCTGAACGGAGTACCCGATGTTAAAATAAATTGATACTGTTAAGAGAAATCAGGCTCGTAAGTACATCTCGTACCGGCAAATAGACCGGTAAATAGACCGGTAAATGGGAATCGCAGGACAAAGATCAATGAATCGCCATCCATGTGATAGGACGGAGCAAGGTCTTCCGGGGAAGTCAATCTAAATAGTACATTACATATGTACAACGTACGGAGTAGGAAAAAAAAGAGGTGCAACCGATACGGAGTACAGCGAACCAAGCACGACGCATAACTAGAACTGCAGCGTCTAGTTCGTGGAGAAAATGTGTCAGGGATTAAGAGCGATCACACTCGCTCTCGTATTCGACCTGTCGAGCATATCCTAGCCTATCCTAGCGCATGTTGGGGTACATGCATACAGAGGTACTACGGGGTAATCGAGTCACATTAGCAACAATAAAAATGGAAATACTACTCCGTATACTTCGTATATAGGGAAATGATGAACTTAGGAGGGGTACATGGTGGCATTTCCGGGACCATGGAAACTTCTCCGTAGGAACAAATATGTTTATTCTGTATCTGTATCATACTATGCGTTGCGAGGGTGTGCCTAGGTACATCGCTTAGGCGGAATTGGAATCGTCTACGGAGTACTGAAAAGCCTACATATTGAAAAGCCCTATGGACAGGCGTGTTGCAGTACGCTACATCATACGCAAAGCCCAATTGTCAGCGACTTTAGACTTTCCACATCAAACAAAAGGTAAATAATCATTTTCGGTAAGATCCAAGTTCCAAGAGGGGCGAGTAGATGCGAGTTTGTTGGGGCGAGGGCCAACTGGATATTTGACATGTGATGATTATCCAAAAAGGTACATGTGCGGCCATAGTGGAATGTATGGCCGAGCAGGTACCGTGGGAATGTGATTACCTCACCTTCTTCTTCCTTCCCGATTAGGCTTAGTGGCTAAGTGACACTTTTTCACGTGAAAGACGATACGATGCGAAACTCCGACATCTTTAGGGTATCCTTACTCTCTCTATCTATGGATGATCTACTCCGAATGACCCGCCATGGAACGCCCAAAAACCGCTAGGCCAAAACCACCTGCCCGAAAGACAAACGCCACAAGTCTAAGCTCGACCAATTCACTCCCCTCCGCGCTTACAAGTAACCTCGCCCCATCACTTACGGCTCCGCCTTATCATAATGCTCATCCATCCGTGATGGATATTGATAAAGCAGAAGATCGATCTGGTCGAGCTACCAGTGTATTATCGATGGATGATCTCGAAGCTGCGCAGGCCCTAGAGGGGCTTCGCTCCGGTATGTGGTTCTGATATCCCGAGTCAGCCCACTAAAAGTGTCGCAACTTCGGTTCTCGCTGGATTAGGATTACTGTGCGACGGGCCTTGAACTAATCTCAACAATAGATTTCGGACAATCTCCTCGAACAGCGCGACAATCCCTTCCCATCACCTCACCGGACCCACCGCCGCCAGAGCCACTATTGTCTCTGCTAACTTCTTCCCATCCACTTATCTCCTCTGCCATCAACGGCTCAGTTTCTGCCTACGCTACATCGAAATCATACTCACCGCGATTCAAGTCTGGCGCTGAGTTCATCGAGCGCAATATTGGATCACCTGTCGTGAACACCGTCGGCACGGTAGGCCGCAAGACTGGTGTCGAGAGCGGTCTCCGTTGGGCACTACAGCGACGAGACTCTACAAGCGAAGACTCCAAACACATCAATAAGCGACGGAAGATGGATGGGAACGTGTCACCGAGGACCCTGAATGCGGAGAAAGGACTGGACGGTTCAGCTCACCCACCGCGCACACGGAGCTCATCCGATCTCTCCATGGACGAAACGCTCCCCCCGTACGACGAAATAAGGTCCCCTCACTACGAAGAGAAACCAGGAAGACGTACTGAGCCGACATGGCAAAGCCGACTGGTGATTTCGACTTCTGGGCTCGGAGTCGCCATGAGCGATGACTCGCTGCGTAGTCTGCAATATTGTCTGACTTGGCTTCGATGGGCAAACGGTCGATTAGGCAAGTCCATTGTAGCACTGCACAGTGCTGTCAACGAGTGGGAAAGCCACAAAGCACGATCAGCGTCGGATATCGAGGCAGGAGGCAGTGGCCAAGAAAGTGCCTCGTTGCTCACCCAGCGCATCCAAGCTGTCAAGGCCGATGTACTGTCGACCCTGAAACAAGTAGTGGATGTGGTTTCCAAGTATGCAGGAGGCGCCCTGCCAGAAAATGCCCGTCACCTAGTGCGTCGACACCTGACGTCTCTGCCGCACCGTTTCCAGGTTGCATCCACATCGCAGCCACCACCAGACTCCCCAGCTGCCTCCTCCGATGCCACAGTCAGTGCTCATCGCATCCTGGTGCTGGCCCAAGAGGGTCTAGATATGATGGCGCAAGTTAGCGGTGTCGTCAATGACACATTGGTCAGTGCTGAGCACTGGTGTGAGCGGCTTGGTCGGAAACGACCCGAGAACGGAGCTTCATCCGACATGCCAGAAAAGCAGGACGAATCTGCTTCCGACGCTCAGCCGTGTGACATGGATGTCAAGCAGTCTCTCCCAGAGAATGCAATTCAGGACGACGTCTCAATGTCCGGAATGGAGAAGATATGACATCGTCCCAACGGTTTTCGTCTCTCTTTACATATTTTCATTTTCTGTCACCTCTTGCCTCTTATCTCGGCACTTCTCTTATGTCTTTCTCCTCTGACATCTTTTTTTTTCTTACTCTTTTCTCATGATTGATATCCTTTCTGCTATCTTCATTCCGTCTGGAGTGATAGGAAAACCCCTGGAAATTATGGTGTTTGTTTGAGCGTTCGGTTATTGTTTTCTTCTGGATGGGCTGGGTCATCCTACTATTATATTTATGGATGTTATGGTTTTCGGTATAGATATCCGCAAGAGGCTGCGCGCTCAAGCTGAATGAATGCAGGCTATTCATCGATTTACACCTGAAATTTTCAGAGGATCGCGTAAGCGATCTCAATCCTACTGACCACATCTTTTCCGGTTGTACTAGCCCCGGACCTATCAACATGCTCAAGGCTGTCAATCACATGAGCCAAAGCTATGTTTGCCTTTTCGTTCTAGACCCCATTGGTATGCCGTGTCATATATCACATCATTTTAATCTTATCCACAATGGACTCTTCGGGCAAGAGACTGAGCCACTTCCATACTAATGTCTCCAAGACCACCAATATCTCTGAAGAGAATACCAGCACACCGGCTAAAAGTCAGGCAATGTTTCACTATTGACATAAAATGTGTCATAAGTGCTGCTGAAGCCATTGAACTGAGTGGCAGTGGTACTTGTATATGCTGAAACTCAGTCAGTTTCATTGCAACTTCAACTATAAAATGGCAAAACTCACCACCCATGTTTTTATATTTGAGCCAATCTCCAACCTTGACTTCTGAATCAAGCGTCACCTCACGAACAACACAATCCGTGCTGTCACATGTAGGCCCCCAGATCGAGTACCGGTGATCTGTTACTTGCAAGGCATCCCCTGGTTTTGGTTTATTCAAGAACCCCCTGGCCTTCTTACTCTTGACCAAATAAGGAACCATGATCTCTTTCTCCATAATCACATTCATAAAATTGCCGTATATGCCATCGTTTTGATAAAGCATGTCTGGAACACCAGATCGAGCAGCACTTCCAAGCTGACGGCGACGTGAAATCACTCGACATACAAGAGTATACACACTACTAGCAAGAAACCGACCTGGTTCTGCGATCGTTGTGATACTAGCTGGAAACTCCGACCGAATCGCGTCCCGTAAGATAGGCGCCATAGACTCAAAGCAATCGTCTTGAAAGCCACCGCCGATATCGAGAATCTTGGGGTGGAAACCTAGACGTTCAGCTTGTGAAAATGCCAGACGTGCATCTTTGATGGCCTTGCAAAATGATGCTGGGCTGGTAGCACCCGTCCCTATTAGTTTCGATAGTCAATAAATCCGACTAGCTATGAAATCCGAAGTACCAAAGTACTTACCAACATGAAAGCTAACGCCAATCACATTTAGTCCAAGCTCCCATGCTCTTGAAAGTAGCTCCTCGGTCGTATCCAGCTGCGCACCAAACTTTTCGCCCAGACAAATGAACGCACTCTCGTCATTTGCATAGATGCGAAGTAATAGCTGAGCTTCTGGCATGTGTGCCTTAATGGTATCCAATTCGTCTATGTTGTCAAATGTCGTTCGCAAGACGCCAACCTCGCGTGCAAAAGCTACAGCGGCAGGTGCTTTGCATGGATTGGCGAACAGAATCTGGGCTGGATCCACGCCGAGGCTGAGAACTGCGCGTATCTCTTCAATGGACGCGCAGTCAAACCCTGTCCCCAGTTCTGCAAGAACTTTGAGGAACGTTGGGTCACAATTGCATTTGACCGCTGCGGGAAAATGTTACTTTTTATACCAAAACCAGATTCATAATAGAAAAGGGGCTCTCTACCATAATACGGTCGTATACCGGGCATATTCTGGGTCCAGCGACGATGCTGTCGAAGTATCTGGCCCAAATCGGCAATGAAGAATGATTCATCTCCACCAACAAGAGAGCGTTTGACTATACGGGCAATGTGACTCTCAATCGCAAGATCAACTAGCTCATCTGCTGAGAGATTTCGATATCCGGTGGCGTGTATGACTTTGCCAGTGGTCACAGCTTCACTAGGAGCAGGGAGAAGAGCCATGATTGTGGAGAGTAGTCGATCGAAAAGAACTGTGGAAAACGGAGAGTTCTGTAACTGAAACAGCATTACAAAACAAATGTCGGACTATAATACAAAGCCCTGGAGTATATGTCCTTTTGGAAAAATGTACTGTGCTCTTCGGAACACCGTGCGAATAGATCGTTTAAAGAGACTCGGATGAACTAAAAAGTGAAGAAAAGCCATTAAAAGGCAAGTTTGCACGCAATTGAAACTCTGCATTACGTTGGATCTCACGGAAAGGAATAAGCAATAAGTCGCACGGGATAAAGGCCTCACTTCCCCAGTTAACCTGTGAGAGAGCCAATTATATTTTTATTGAAACAAGTGGACGTGTGTTTTCTAGGGCTTGAAACATTATATGCATGGGATGAAGACGATCAATTGGTAACTAGATCGGCTGATTGAGGCAATTCTGCTTCAATATTGGGTACGTAGCACTCCATATAGCGAATGTGATCGGCTCAATGGTGGCTTTTATGTGGATTGTGGTGGAGACCCAATGAGTGAGGGCGTGGAGCTGAGTGCATGTATAGAGTAACATCGTCAGACAAGTACATCAAGGTTATATCTACATTAAATGCTGAGTAGTGCGACCAAGGTGTTTGTAATAGCATGTTTAGAATACAATTTTACCTTGGACGCTACATGGGATAACTGATATTCCCCGGGAATTGTTGAACTAAACTGTGAAAGGAAAGAATCTACAGACTAGCACTACACCAGTACTTTTTATGTCATAGAAACTCGATTCAAGTTTTCGACATGCAGGAACCATTCGACTTCCAGATGTGATGCAGCAATCTAATGGGGCGCAGCTGAAGCCCTACAGGAAATCCCAATAGATGCTGTAGAGAAAATGAGTTGTTTTCGGTGCCTCCACCCTGGATCATCCCGCTAGGGCCTCGATCTTTCTGCTTTGACTGTAATTATCGGCTTTGTCGGGCAATTATACTGTTACACATCGAATGCACTACGCAACACATGTCGAACTTCGGAGGCCTTGAGCTGTCTAGGATTTCCTCGTATATTTGCTTCTTCCATGCAAATTAGGATCTACCAAGCTGTGACCTCTGCGGTAGTCAGCTGTCTATAGATGACTGTTTCTTATAACATATAACATTTGAATCCCCACTGGGGTCTACGCCAAACCCCCGAAGATTTTGGTTTCACAGGCTATTTAGAGTCAAAACGACCGGGAAATGAAATATCCACGGGCTCAAATATATCTTGAATAGCATATATGCCGTGCAATGTCTGAGTAAGAATTGGTCGGTTTCCAGACCTAAAATGTTTATGCACGTTGACAAAGCTTTTGACCGAACTTATTTTTAAATTGACGAGAAAGTCAAGTTCTCCTTCACAATGCCACGTCCTTGGACTCATTGGTTCTCACTTCATTGCAGGAACCTGCTGCGTGACGCAGTGAAGCACCCCACCAGTAAGGGGGATGGCGTTGGCATACACCTGCCGAATCACCCGCTCAGGGAGCAACGCTTGAAACATTTCCAAAGCGTTTTGATCCCTTTCTCCGTCACCAAATTTGGGGATGATCAAACCTCCATTAACGAAATAGAAGTTCACGTAACTTGCCGCTAGTTCCTCGTGCTCGGATTTCACCAAGCCTCGTGGGTCAGGTTCTTCAATGGTGTAGATCTGCAAGCGCCGACCCTTAGCGTCTGTCTCATGGTCTAGAATCTCTCGGATCTCTGTAGACAACTCCTTCCACAGATCAATCGCAATTGCGTGTGGTTTTGAGTAAGCGATGACACCAGGACGCACGAATCTCGCCTCAGCGTCCATATGCACGTCGGTAATGTCAACATTGCGCCGCCCAGGGAACCATATCACTTTTTCAATCCCTAGCACCCGCTTCAACTCTGTCTCGATCTCGGCCTTGGACACCCCTGGGTTGCGCATATCACATACAACGCTACTCTCCGTGATGAGCAAGGTTCCTTCGCCATCGGTGACGAGACCGCCGCCCTCGGCGCGTATCAAAGTCTCGATCTGCGTAACGGGGCTGGGCTCACGGTCGTGCTCGATTACCCACCGCGCAAATTCAGTGTTCTCCTGCAGTGCCTTCTCATCCATCAAGGGCCATCGCTGGCCCCAGCAGACTCCGTCGTCTTCGGGTTTCTTCCCACCCCATTCATTGAACTGGAAATTGATTGCGAAGCGTCGATTGGGGAATGCTCCTGTCGTGTCGCGCACATAGACTGGACCTGTGTCGCGTACCCAGCAGTGGTTGATTGGACATGGGATAATAGAGATTCTAGATGCGTCTTTCACAAAAGTTCTGGCTAGGGACTCGGCCAATTGGATTTCTTCGGGCCTCACGTACAGTCGAACTGGTTCGAACTCAGTGATCGCTCCCGCTAGTTGAGCTAATTCATTGCACACAGCATCATACTGATCGGGGGGTAGGGAACATCGAGATGGTACCCCCATGATTGTCGCTTCATGGGGCTCTGACTCTGCTGGGAAGATGTAGCTTCCTTGCTGAACTTTGATTTCATAGCTGCTGATATGAGAAGGCTGGAGCCAGGTGCGTGTGGTAGTATAGAGGGTTGACAGCAATTTGCGGAATCGCTCGAGAAGCATCATGTTGATTGTTATTAGTGGATCATCGTCCTTCTCATCTCAAGCTGGAGTTTCTCTCCTTCTTAAAGATGCAATCCGGTTGCCTTGGTCCTCGGTTTCTTCGTACATCATCTACTTGGTGTAACTATGACTGCTTCAACGTTACTCATAATTGTCAAGTTGCGTTCTTGGTACGAAGTGGTATATCCCCAATCGATCACCGAGAAATAGCATGATATTTGGATTCATGTAGAGAACGAGGAAGCTGAAGAGATGTTTCAAGAAGTACACATATCCAAAGGTCTCTATCTCAGTACTAAATGCTCACATGACCTGATGGCTAACCTACACCCGTGGTGATGCGAATGAATACTAAATTTACCCGAGCTGACTTCTCGTGGCATTAAAAATAAATGCAATAAAAAAACCACGTTTGTGCTACTGTATACAGTCTGACGCATGCTACTCTGTCAGCAGAGGTTCACGTTCCATCTCTTCATCGGCAGACTCGGACCAGGAGACTTCTGCCATAGGACCACTAAGCCATAGCATAGGCATAGCAGTAACAGCAGAAAGAACTCCCAGCCCAAGGGTCATAATTTTCCAGTCATATCTGAACTCCACAAACCCACCTACCATAGGTCCTAATGCCAGCCCGCCAAAATGTGCCATATTCTCTAAACTAAAAGCTTGAGCCACAGCACCTTTACTCCCAAAGACCCCGGGATCTCCAGCTTCCATGTCATCCAAGACACGCTGCATCTCCACTATCAAGGCTGGCTCACTTAAGTCGATGCATATTCCGATAAGACCCAGAATCACACAAAGAAGACCTATGTGGGATGGTGAGTTTTCTTCAACAAAACGAAGACAGACCAGACTCGGGGCTAGGATGGCAAAGCTTGCGAATGTAATCACTCTCGTTCCAAAACGGTCAGATAAAGATCCTAGAAAAGCAGTTCAGGATCAAGCAATAGGGCATGGTGGTATGATGTCGGCGTACCGAAAAAGGGTTGGAAAATGGCCGCTGCAGCACCTGGTAAGAATATCAGACCTTCCCCTAGAACATTCCAGTGGAATTTGTTCTCCACAAATACCGGGAGTGTCTATATAGGAGTGTCAGTACAATTCCAATATAAAAGACTGAATTCCATACCGCGTCAAATGCTGAGACCACAAGAGCCCCGACTATAACTGCCCAGAGGCTAATAAGAATCCGTGGCTGCTTTAAAAGCTTTCCCAGCGCACAGGTACTCTTAGAGATTTCCGTGGCAGTCTGGCCGCTGTTAGTTATAGTCTCCAGAGCTCCATATGGCGGCTGCTCGGGGATATAACCATTCTCCTGACTTGGCCGCTCGCCATCAGTGAGGCACAGCCAACGTTCAGCAATCCTCTTCTCGACAACGGCGAGTCTAAGAAAGAAGTCAAGAGCAACAATTCCGAAAGCCATACCAAAAACGGCATAGAACCCTCCAATTTCGTAAACCAGTCCGCCCAGTAGTGGACCAGACATAAAGCCCAGTGTCATGGCGGTGCCGAGATATCCAATCATTTGTCCAAGACTCGCTCTATCTACTGCATCTGTCACAATTGAGAGACCAGCTACCGAAACCATGGCCGTTGCCGCGCCTTGGAGCACTCTGGCAATGATATACCATGTCACAGAGTGTGAAGCTGTAAAAATGACCATAGATGAAAATAATAGCACGAGTCCAGATAGATATGGGCCCTGGCGGGTTCCAGAGACGTCTAGCATGTATCCAAATATCGGACAGCATGTAAGTGCCGCGACAGCTTCAGAGATGAGGAGGACGCTGTTCCAATACTCTCCTATCAAAAGAAACAGCTATTAGTAAATGAGTTTCATATTTTCGTAGATATGTCGTACTATCTTCAAATGCTACTCCAGCTCGTGAAACCAATGCCTGGGGCATGACGGGGACAATCTGCAGCGGTCAGGTAAGGATCGAAGGTCTTGGCTAGAACTTTTGTACCATAGCATAGAGAAAGAGATCCTATAGAGGATATGATCAGCTGGAGCTTAATTTGTCTGAAATCCTGGGGACCGGGGAGGATACCGTGAACATTGACAGAGAAATCGTCGTCACTATGAAGGATTGTGATGACCTTAGCGGCAACAACCACGGTCGCTGGTCGCGAAGCTTCAAAAATGGCTTCGACCAAGTCATTTTTAGTGACCCCGCTCAACCACCGTGCTGAGTTGATATTTTTGACAGTTTGAGGATGAAAGTTGAAGTGGAGGATTCGACTCGAAAGGTTGGATAGGTGGGCTTGTTCGTCTTAATGTTTGCTTTTTCTATATGCAGTTCAAAATTCAATATGCGTTAGCGGTTGCAATTTGGTAAAGATCCTCGTTGAGAGAAGCGAGGTGTTCGATTGTACTCCGTCGCTGCATCTGCAATCAGGTTTTGCGCTAGACGCTGCAAAGGAGATCCTCCGATCACTGCTGATCTCTGGGACACTATGATTCATTTTGTAGATGACCTTGAATATTTCGTGATATGTCTGTACAAGAATGAATTGGATAGGATATGAATGGTATAATCAGGCGACAAATTACAGCCTAACGCTCAATGATTGTAACATGCGCACATTGATTAATTGAACAGTCTAACTCGTAGTATGGTTACCATAACTTCTATCTCCACCCCACGTACTACAAGATTTTCGGCCCATGGCGTCGTCTGGTCTTTCAATGATGCCGTACTTCAATATGGATGAGTGAATACAACAATTCCTAGGTGACTGGGGGCTATAGTCCTTAGGGTGTAATGCTTAAGTGGCAAAAATAATAGACCTAAAGTTTGAAATAATAAGTTTGATAAGGATATTCGAGGTACCATATGACAGTTGATACAGCGAAGTATAATTAAATAAAAGTGAAGGTGAATAAAAAGAAGTATAGGTCCTATCCTCGCTACGCTCTGCCTACCTGATCTAGTACTCCCTATGTTAGCTAGGATAGTACTCCGTACGGAGTACTAACTACTCGTATCTGCCATACACACATAAGCATATGGTATGTAACATAACTCCGTAAGTATCCGTATTTATAAAAAACGGAAAATTACTATTTTTGTTTCCTGTCGGAAATCACCGGTACAGCAATGTATGTTCAAAATGACAGATGTGTATGACTCTAACTAACTAAAATGACAAGAATCCCCTATTTGACAATTTGCTGGGGCATAACTGACTAAGCTTAATATGCAATTTGTATGGGGCCCACTATCATAGCGGTCCATGTATTTTCCGAGGTGTTGAATACTCGGGTTCCCAGTCATGTATTGTAACATAGCTTTCGACATTTCCTGATTCAGAAGGTCTAGTGTATCTTGGCATTTAGGGTTCGGGGACAATGAAAGAGTTGAGGGGCGATACCGATTTCCGGAAATACTGTAGGACTAAGCAGGGGTTGTTTGTAAAGTAACCCGACAAGGATTAGTGTTATTTTGGATACAGACAGAGAAACAATGCGTGTGTGTCGATGGGGGAATCTGTTTCGACTCCGACTGTACGAAATTGATACCGCTGAGTTACGTCTTGATGAGACCTACCCCGGTCCGCTGTCTATCGGCTGAATCTCCAAGTGTTCACCCGGTTGGCCCGTTCCTATCACTGATGCGAAATGCTCTGCTGGCCATGAGGTTCTGGGTGCCGTCAGGAGTGTGTATGGACATCTTACTCCGACATACGACTCCACCAGTCCGTTCCCCACGGATTCAAAAAGTGGCTACAACATGAATGCCACCGCAGTGCGAAATTTGAGTCTCTCATCCACCAACACGACATCGAACAATGCAACTGCGGGAAATGAAACCTCCGAATTCAACAGCGGCATGGTTATCACAGCCCCCAGTGATACATTTATCACACTGTTTGGGATGGGTTTGATGTGTCTTACATCCATGATGTAGTTGTTTGCACCTCAGCCAGCCCCAATGAGTGAAATTTGTTTGTTGAATGAGTGGTAAAACCTGGAGGCCTCGCGCTGGTAAATTGAACGCGAGGAATTGACTTCGAAAAGGTTTCCCCTCTGATGAAGCGAGCTTGGCATAGGACCATGTTCCCCCTGTTCTCCAGGATTAGATGACTAGCTTCTTGTATTTCCTTGGAACATACAATGCCGATTGCGCCCTCAAACCCCTAGAATACACTTCAGAGCTCTCTAAAATCACAATTTGGCATCATGTATAGATCCTGGAGAATGGCTCTACTTACGGGTCCTTTCGGTGGACAAATTAGTCGAATAATAGCCACTTTCGTATCGAGTATACTATTGCTGGTTGATTTCTAACCTCATGATGTGGAGATTATCTTCTTGATTTGAAGCGAGGTTTGTGAGAGTCAAAGAACCGCTAGACTTTAACCGAGCTCGGTCCAGAGCGGGAAAGACAAGCCATAGGTCTGATCAGAAGTTTGTTTTACCAGAGTGAATATCGCTTGTCCCCACCCACGTTCTAGTTGCAAGACCATAACGCCGACGGATTGTCAAATTCAACTAGAGATTGCCTCTAGTGGCCTCATAGGCCCGGTTGAGATGTAAAGCTCCAAAGGGCGAAAATGTTTATTAATTTGACGCGCTTCATACAGAAGGACAAAATCCAGTTTGATATGTACATTGTCCAAGTTTGTTAATACATCAATGAAGGGGAAAGGGTAACAAATATTTTGCAGTTCAGGGAGAGGGCGATTGATCCGGGTATTTCGTGGGCTGCCATAGGATCACCCATTGTCAACTATTTAGCGTTTGGATGACCAGCAAGGTTGGCTTTCGGTTTAGTGGAATCGACCTTCTCATCAGTTGGCAACACATCAATTTTAGCCTTCAGCCTTTCGCACGACACCCAACGTCTAAGATCGGCCAAAAACATCTTGCGCAAGCTTATATTGGCCATATGAGTCATGGCAAGTAAGTGACGCGGGCCAGGTATACTAGACGGGAAAACGAGATAAAGCCCCGAATCCTGAATTGGATCCGGTCGGAATTTCATATGGTACGCCTTCTTTCCACCAATTGGCAGACGGTGGAAAGCATGGCGATAAATTTGACGAGTGAGATAGCCGAAAGGAAATGGCATACCGACAATATCCTCGCGCGTCAGGGCATACATCGGCTCAAAGCCAAAGCCGAGGTAAGATACTCCAGCATAGTGGAGCATCGCCATTGCTGCAACCAGGAGGAGATCGCTAATACCCTTTGCACTCCCTGGGGCGGCGACGCACGGATCAATGTGGTATCCGCCTGAGCCTAAGCGGCGTAGCGCTGCGAAGCCGTTGATTGTTCCGTCTGCGTAGTACGTGTATACGTATGTCATTAGGCCGGGGAGAGCGAAAGGGTCGTAGACGGTTATAAAGGCTTGCGGGCTGACGGCGGAGTTACGATCTGCGCGCCAAGCATCATAGACAGCGACAAGATCGGCTTGGAGCTGGGTGTTTGTGCCGTGTATTGCGGGTGCGTAAATGCCGAGGGTTATGCCGCCTTTGTTTAAATTGAGCAAGTGGCGATTCTGGGTGGTTATACGCTTCCCGCTGATTTCGAGTAGCACGTCGTTTGTTTGCGGGTTGAGCACTCTTTCTGTTGCGAATCGAATAGCTGTCCAGCCATTGGGTTTGGCATAGTCTCGTAGGAAGGACTCACTTGCGCCCATAAATGCTATGCCCCAGTGGTGTTGTCGTCGGTACGTCCTGAACTCTGATAGCAGTTCTGCTATCATGTCTGTGTCACATAATGGATCTCCAACCACAACTGTGACCCCGGTTTCGATCTTAAAACATAATCCTGCTGTTCTGGATTTGTTCATGAAGAATCGATAGCTGCGGTCAAGGATGCCCATGTGTGCCACTTGCCCGTAGTGTGCAGCTAGTCGTTCGATGTCGGTCAATACGTTGAGATCGTCGAGGCTGAACACATTCGCTTTGTCGGTGTAATGTTCCTTCTTTGTGATAGAAAACCCTTTGTTCGATTTCGAAAAGCTAATTTGTGTTCGTGTTTCCGAGTGAATGACTTGTAGAGAGTTATGACTATCCATACTCGTTACAGAGTTAGAGACCCGTTCGGCAAGCGTGCGGGTACTGGAACAACTCGCTGAGCTTGGGCAAGAGGACGTTGCAGGTGGTGCTTCGAAGCTGCTCCGTAGGTGATCTATGACACAAACGCCATTGTGGTGGGAAGTAGCGTAAAGCTCGTCCATCAATACATCTCCAATCTCATCCAGAAATGATTTCTTCTTAGATTTTGTGACAAGAACATGTAGTGCATTTCCTTTGCGTGCGCGCCGTGACCGCTTCTCTTTCATCGTCAACGGAGCAAGTATCAGATTGTCACGACGATCCAAGGGAGTGGTGATCATGATAGGTGTTTGTAGCAGCAAGATCTCAGACGAAGAATGGGAGTGCGTCAAGGCGTTGGAAGCAGAAAGTAAAGTGGGACACATTGTTATAGTGAAGTCAAAAGATCATAGTTCAATTGGCTGCAACTTGAAAGCAAAGAAAGTGTAGATCTGATGTCCACGGGTACACGGCATCTTGGTCACCAAATGCCCCTATCAAGGTTGATTAGGCAGATACTTTCTCATATGCTTTGATCTGCCAATTATTCTGAATCGCGCACTCATTTAGATAGACAAAGCTACAAATCATTGTGCGTCAAATTTATGACCTCCGGGTACAAGCCTCCGCTAGTGGGGTTATGGGCATTAGCTGAGCCAAGCAAGGAAATTCTATAAACCAGAAATAATATGAGCCGGAGGTGCCGAGTGTGTATCAATGACTTGTCTACGGAGTAGTATAGACTAAAATGTAGTTCTTGGCGTCAGGGGCACTTCCTATAGAGTTAATGATGTGTAGTCCCTTAAACTTTATGCTTCTGCCTGAATACCATGCCCCGCGGAACCCGCCCGTAATCTAAGCCCCGCGACCTCGCATTTAGGGGTCTGCTTTTCATGAAATAGTGACATTTACTATTCCAAGGATATTATCATTCCCAGGCAATTATCGTGATTAACTAGGATGACAAATCACGCACCGGAACAAAAGTCCGGATGCAATCGTCGCTCGCCGCGGAACCCGTTTTATAAGCCCATTATTGCGTCGATCTCCAAGACGAGCATCTGTTTCAGTCCGTCCATAAGATAGGACCTATTTATAAAGCACCATTGTCATTGGAGGAAAATAGTGGCCTGAGGAGGGTGCTGGTGGTATAAATATCAAATTCACGGACAATTAAAGTGTTTCGTACCTATTGTTCTAGCTGAGCAACGTAGGGATATACTCGGTCAATTACCTACAGGTAGATGGCTTGTATCTGTAGGAACAGAAGACAGGAAAAACTACTATGCATGGTTCAACTTTCAACATAAATATACTGATCTAACTAATCATCCACTCCTAATAGCGAACCTTTCAGTACGTGATATTAAGATATGATCAAAAGGCCTGCATCAAAGCCAGTTCGTTAATATGGGACCCATAAATTAGAGTTTGTCGGTTCCCGCAGAGTCCGTAACGCCGGCCTTGAATCAACAACAAGTTCAAAAGACATGCTAGGCCCACTTATAAGTGCCGCTACAGATCTCGGTTGAAAAATTATTCGCAATCTCGTCCAGCGAGATTTACAATTTGATGAATTGGTGGCCACAGACTCCGAGTGATACTATTGATTGGAATCTCTTGGCTACGATTAGTTTCCGGGCCCGGCCCAACCATATACATTCGCAATTTCATGATGATCCCGATGCTGCGCCAATTACTATAATGCTTTGACGAACACATAATCGACGCGGTTAAATACGTTTATCACGTGGCCCAAAATGGGTTCTGCATGTCTATATGTTGTGCGGAGAATTAGTTGACATGTACTACAGATGTTTCAAGGTTGACTACATAAAACCAAACCGCGTTTTTTACGCTTTTTTTACGCTTTTTCAGTCCTGTAGAATCAGTGTGGGTCTGAATTTTACTCTGGGAAGAAACAAGGGCACTTGTTTTGCCTTTTGAATGAACGTGGAATGCTTGTCCGGTTTAGTCTGTTGGGTTGAGATACATTTAGCCTATGATAATCATGTCAAGTAACTTAATCTCATAACAACTTTATAGCGGAACAGGAGAAGATATAGGACAATACAGTCTATATCTGTTTGGAATGTTCGGTTGGGTCATATGGCCCTTTCAGCCCTTTCTCCCATTGTCTCTTAGCTTAGTTTTCCTGCTTCCTCGGCCATCTCATACTTTTATGATTCGCCTGTTTTTCATCCCTTTCTCTGTAGTAGCCCTTCAGTTTTTGGCTGAAGGGTATTTCTTAGCTAAAAGGAGAGGTAAAGGAAGAAGAAACACAGAAAAAGGAAAGCTTTTTACCTAGTCATAGATAACTGGGTCACATGATCCCAGCATAAATTCATGGAATAACCCTATTGAGTCTTGCCTGAACTTGAATGTTGCCATGTACTGGCGTACTGTATTAGTATATCAGAGCCTTTTGCTAGTATACTTGAAAATGTGGCGTTGCACTAAAAGACACTTGAACATCCAGGTCAACCGCATGCTGAAAACTAAATAGCTCTGATGATATAGGAAATACCTCTGTTGCTTCTAACGGGCTCACCCTAAGGAGTACAGACCGGACAAAGCCGCAGGCGCTGCAATGTGTTCTTTGCAAAGAAGAACTACACATTTTACCACGTTCTCACATCACCAGTCCTTGCTTCCTCTTCCTGATCATCGCTTTAGCAGTCGGGTCAGTATCAGTCCCCTGGCCAACCGATTTATCGACTTTAGAGTCCTCAGCAGTGAATTTCCAATCGTATTTCATAAGCAGGAAAATTAACACAACCTTGATTTCATTCGCTGCAAAAAATCGTCCAGGGCAAGCGTGCTTGCCGTGACCAAAGACGAGGTGCTCAGGTGAAGTCGAAACAAACTGCCAACGATGTTCTTGTCCAGGCTTTTGACGCATATTGAGAAATCGATTGCCCTTGTATTCGTTGAGCTCAGAAAATAGACCTGCATCATGCATCTGGTTGATGCCAACCATTGTCCTAGTCCCTTTAGGAATTATGGTACCATCCGAGAGCGTGACTGAATTTACAGCCATACGATGCATTGCAGCTTCATCCGGCAGGCGTTCTATTAGCAAATAATTGTACTCAATGAGCCAGGAAAGCATGCTTACCAATATCGCCAAAGTGGTGTCTCTGTGACTCCTTCATTGCACTATCCATGAGTTTTAAATCCTGCAATGCCTTCTTTGACCAGCCCTTATCTGTCACAGCTGAGGCTATTTCTTCACGCAGGGGTTCAAAGTACTCAGCATGGGCACAGAGGTCGGCGATAAGTCCGCTGACCATCTCAGTCGTGGTATGAATGGCAGCAAGCGAGAGGCCAAGCTGGGCGACTTCTATATCATAGGGCTTCCCTTTAGCGGCCTCATCCATCCAGCCAATAGTGTCTGCCACTTTGGATGGAGCTTTTCCAGCATCACGGTGCTGGCGATTTTCATTGCGGCGTTTGTGGATAACGGGTTTTAGAATTCTCCGTGCCTGCGCGAGGTTCGCTCTGAGCTTGCGACACTCGGGTAGAAACCAGTGCACAATCGGGCGGAGGGCGAATGACCACTGGCGTAGGGCACTGGCGGCGATGAATGAGTCGACGGCATACTCTGTGCTGATGTTCATCCAATCCTCATTTGCGCACAGTTCTGGGCCGATGAAGACGCGGGACGAGATACGAGAAATCAGGTGGAGGAGTTTTGGTTTGTATGTAATCTCTGTCCAAGCTGTGAAGCTTATTAGCCTAGGCAATAATTGACATAGTCTGACAAAAGTCACTTACTCTCCGGATTGCCGAAGAGTTCATCGACAGCCTTGTTAGTCTCGTCCGCTAGCTCCTCGACGATGAGATCTAGAGCATGAACAAATAAATTCAGTACTGATTTTTTGTTGGGGACTGGAGGGAAGTCTTAACTGAATGACTGAGTGAGCCTGCCTTTCACAGTGTCTATTATGACTTGAGACGAACTGTCCAAGGCAAAAGGATCAAACCCGGGGTATGACCCAAAGAAATCCTAATCAGAGTGTCAGACATACCCAGGTATTGGAGATCCCTAAACAAATGACATGTCACTTACAGCGGATACAGCCGCACCGAAATCAAAGTCAGAATTGTTACGTATCTCGTCTGCAAATCCATTGGGCAGGACAAACTTTGGTCCAACATCTGTGAAAACCTGGAAGCAACTCGTAAACTAGTGGAAACGTTAAGAACAGTCACAAAACTCGATTGTGTGAACACTTGCCTGATGCAGGCCCTGATCGAGGATTTCCTTCCCATGGGTGGACCACTGCTCCCGGGCCATGGAAAGCGCACGGGAATAACCATCCTTTAGGTCGACACCGACTAGAGAAAATCCAGGATAGACCCGTGGTGCACGAACCGCCTCATAGAGAAGAGTGCTTATAGCTGAAACTAGGATAATACGAAAAGCAGTCGACTGCAGGATGCTGACCAATAGCTCAAAAATCATCGTGGAAGATATTGGATTTGTTAGAGGTCGAAGCTTGTAATGTTGTTGACGGAAGACAACGAAAATGAACAGTAGTTGAAAGCTATATATATACATGCATAAAGGAAGATCAACATGCTCCTCATCTCATAATGTTACGAACCCAGACTAACACAACCTGAGCTTCTCTCGGGTATCCGGGATGCGCAGTCCGCAATCTCCGTGCATTGAATTCGTCTTCGCGTCCCGAGAATTCCGTGGTCCCGTTGCCAAGTTTGACCCCTAGCTCGTTGTGGGTCGGGTTTCGAGCCCGGACCTTGGGCCCAAAGTTAGGCTTTGCGGAAGTCTACTCGGGTTCCTAGTCATACATTATAATATAGCTTTCGACAGATACCTTTTATGTATTTATGCCTGAAGGTTCTTACGATAGCTAGTGAGTACTTAAGGTTTAAGGTTTACTTGCTATCCCATTTCATAGGTAGCAGCTATCACGAGTAGGTTTAACTAATAACTTCTATGGTGTGTTTATCTCTCGAAAGATAATACCGCCTCAGGATTCACGTTGCGATCAAACAATATAGTCATTTCGCGCCACATACTAGTGCATGCTACCTCGGCTGCCTCCTAGCTAATTAAGGTAGATTTTTTATCGCAAATTGGTCTTGGTCGACAAGAAATAAGGCGCCCTTGCTCCGTCCTGTGTACCATTATGGAGATAAACTTGGTTCATTCATGCACTCTGGTCAATCATTATAGAAATTTCATCCATCGCTGCCACATCGCTCAGGCAAATTTATGAAACCATGAAGTTTTACCTACAACGTAGGTAGGCTGAGGCAAGTCCCAAGCTCGTTCTATCCCTTATACCTAGGTAGATTGTGGCGGGGGGGATCCACCTAGGCAGTCCCGAGTCGTCGCCCACCAATGGAATTACTCTATATTGTACTTCGGTACATAGGAATTTTTGAATTGTCGGGATAAAAATGTTCCTTCTTGTATCACTACGCACTGGCTTGTTTTATTATTTAGAGATAATCGAAAAGAATTAGCTTTATATATGTTGACACGATGGAGCGATCAAGCTACACCAAAAATTCTACTACGCAGATTTCTGTCCCGCTGCTATTAGAATAACATGTTTGGCAAGGGCACGATAGAATTCTCGGGACCCTAATTAAAACTCAGAACACCTAAGCTTACAGAAAGCGGATCTCCGATGCCCGAGACAAGCCTGGATCATGGAGTTGTGAGGCTGTGGCGCACTGTGGCGCGGATTCCCAGGGTCCTTTGTGGATCCTTGCAACACGCGACACTTAGGGAGTTATAAATTGTACCAATGTGGGCTAGCTGGACCGTGGTATATTAACATGGGCGAAGAAGTGTGGTAGACTTTTCAGAAGAAAAAAGGAATTTCCCCGTGTGAGGGACAAAGGCCCATGTGTTATTGCAAGCGATGCGTGGAATAGAAAGAGTGGAGTGAAGGGTGAGTAGCCCTAAGTACAATCTGGAATACGCAATGACTACAACGTACGGAGTAGTAGTATTTGAAATATCAGTCATGATTTTCGCGGTTTCACGATTTTCACGATTTTCTAGATGTTTGCTCGTTCAGCCTTTAATCTATGCATCGATTGTTTCCTGTTTGGCATGTGTTTTGGCAGGTTCCGCCACACGAGAAACTATCGCGCAGTCCGCGGCCCCCGTCCGACCCATACTTCGGCTATCTGGTTCTCACCTCTTTACCCTCAAGGGCTAGTCTTTCCCCTATCCTCAGCCCTTGAATTTAATTTTAATTTCAAAGATGCCTCTGATCCAATATGAAGATGCTAGAGGAACTTCTAGGATAAAGAAAATCGTTGGCCCATCAGATGCGAGCAAGAATATATATATCGTCAACATTGGAACTTGCTAGGATATATAGCCTATGTATACTATGAGACAAAATTGCCTGGGTATTAGCTCCAAACTCGATCCCGCATCTCTCGTGCTATGAGTGTTTTGATCTGGTTTATGATCCACCCGGGTTCTGGAACATATTAAGAGTCCAAGGAACCGCTGAGTGACTATTTTCCTCTTTTTGTCTTTTATTTCCTCTTTCTTCTTCTCTTTCCTTTTACCTCATTACTCGTTCTTCATTTTTTGTTCTCCAGAGAAATATACCATCAACCTCGCAGCAATTTCCAATACAGTTTCACATACAGTTTCCCATGCAAGTGCAAACCTGAATCATAGAATTGCTCAGAGCGCCAATTCAAAATCAACAAATATTTTGGACTTGGTCATTTCACTTGAAGCCTTTCCCTAACGCAAATCTGGCCTCGCCATTTGCCACTCTCGACCATGTCCCATCTGCAACCCCCCAAACACGAACTTCCGCGAGAAGATCTAGCCGATAGCGAAAAAAACAAATCCGGACCTGGAACATACAATGCCGATTGCGCCCTCGAAACCCTAGGATACACTCCAGAGCTCTCCCGCAACCGTTCTACCTGGAATGTCGTTTTTATGTGCTTCATCCTATCCTCCGTACCTTACGGACTGTCAACCACCTTCACATACCCCTTGGCGGGTGGAGGTCCTGCTAATGTCATTTGGGGTTGGGTGGCCGTGTGCCTGATCATTCTCTGCGTAGCTGTATCGCTAGCCGAGATCACTTCGGTCTTTCCCACCGCCGGGGGTGTCTACTACCAGACCTTCGTCTTGTCCCCTGTCTGGTGTCGGCGCATCTTCTCCTGGATCTGTGGCTGGGCCTACACGACTGGCCAAATAATGATCACACTGTCAGTTAATTTCTCAACCACACAATTTTTCGTCGCTAGTCTCAATGTCTTCGAGAAGTCACCCGGGGTCGGTATCTGTGACCATTTTGAGGCTTACCATGTGTTCTTAATTTTTCTGGCGATTACTCTTTTGTGCCATGCAATTCCTGCCTTCGGTAACAAATGGCTCCCCTGGCTAGAGGTACCTATCCCTAATATCCTTTTTGCAGCTACCATTCGATACTTCGTTGTCTCTCTTTTATTTTACTCATCATCCCCTTCTATACGCATCCCACCGATTAACTCTTCTGATTTATAGCAATTCGCCATCTTTTGGACTATAGCCGGCGTGATTGCTATTGTGGTCTGTACTCTGGTTCTGGCCAAGGAAGGTAGACACTCGGCCGACTGGGTATTCACACATTTCGAGCCGCTGAGCGGCTGGCCTACGGGCTGGTCGTTTTGCGTGGGTCTCCTGCAGGCCTCATGGGCCACCTCAGCCACAGGGATGATCGTTTCGTAAGGTTCTATCCCAGTTCGTTCATGGTCTTGAATTAATCCATTATCACCCACCTAGAATGTGTGAGGAGGTGCGCGAACCCGCCGTCCAAGTACCCAAGGCTATGGTCGGAACCATAGTGATCAATTTTATCGCCGGTTTGACACTGTTGATTCCTCTCTGTTTTGTCCTGCCGGATTTGAATAAACTGATTGCATCGGGCCAACCGGTGCCCCTGACCTTGAAATCTGCCACTGGCAGTTCCGCCGGCGCCTTCTGCTTGCTCGTCCCATTGCTAGTACTAGGAGTTATCTGTGGTGTTGGCTGTGCGACAGCCACAAGTCGATGCACATGGGCGTTTGCGCGCGACGGCGCAATCCCTGGATCCAAATGGTGGAAGGTTGTCAACAGGCGTCTAGAAATTCCACTGAATGCTATGCTTCTGGGCATGATCATTGAAATTCTGTTGGGATTGATTTATTTTGGATCCAGCGCGGCATTCAGTGCCTTCTCTGGTGTGGGCATTATATTGCTGACTCTGAGCTACGGATGCCCTGTGGCGGTATCGCTGATTCTACGTCGTCGCCAAGATCTCAAGCACGCTGGTTTCAATTTCGGTCATCTGGGTACATTCTGCAATATCGTTACTGTTGGTTCGTTTTTCGTTCCTTTCCTTGTTCGGCTCTCACTAACATTCGTCTATTAGGGTGGACCCTACTGGCTATTCCCTTGTTCTGCATGCCGACTAACAAAAGTGTCACTGTCAACACTATGAACTATGCAGTTGTCGTCTTCATGGGTATTGTGCTTATCTCAGGAGTATGGTACTGGGTCTGGGGGCATAAAAACTATGCTGGTCCACCCACAGAGGGCGTTGATGCTTATGCCAAGGAGTCCTAATGATGTTCTATCGAGACTCGTTGTCAGTTGCATGATTTTATACTGTATACAAACTAGGCTTAAAACAAAAATTGAGAGTCTCCAGCGCAACTATCATTTGACAGAGAGGCCAGCTCGGAACGCGGATGGGTGGAACTTGTGGACCTCCGACCTGCCAAACAAAAGCAAATTTGATTTCTTTTTCCTTCTAAAACCAGTCCACATCTCGCTTGCTTTTTCCTTTGTTCTGGCACATACTGTCCGCTATAAATCTACATATGTGTTTGGAGGTAAGCCCTGATATCATTCGCAGGTCGGGCTCTCAACCAAATTACCTTTTTGATCCCCACATTTTACCTAGGAAGTAACACTGAGAATTTCTGAACCATTCAAGTTTGAAATGTTGATTAAGACTTCTTCGATATAGTTTGCCAGCTTCAATGATTGGCCTCATACCTAGCAGTCAGGTGGGACACCAGGAGCCTCGGATTCAGACCGCAAGTGTAGAAGAAAAATTTCGGATGGGACATGGTCGAGAGTGGCAAATGGCAATGCCAGATTTGCGTCAGGGAAAGGCTTCAAGTGAAGTGACTAGGTCAAGGATATTTGTTGATTTTAAACTAGAGCTCTAATAATATGATTCAAGTTTACGCTTGTATGGGAAATTGTATGCGAAATTGCTGCGGGGGCGATGGTGACAGATGGCCTGAGTGTTTCTCCGAAGAACAAAAAATGAAGGCGTGGAAAGAGAAAAAGGAAGAGTAGGAAAGGAGGAAATTAGGCAAGCTGCGGTTCCTGATAGACTCTCCGGACTCTCTAGAACCCGGGCTAATCATGAACCAGATTAATAGACTAATGGGAGGTAATTTTGTCTTATAGTATACATGGCCTATGTATCCTGGCAAGTTCCAATATTGACGATCTGAATATTCCTCTCACTCGCATCTAATGGGCCAACGAAAAAGTGAATTTTGTATAGTCCTATAGGAGTTATTAAGGCCTACTACCTATTATAGTACTGAATAAGTTCTTCTATGAAATCCTCAAAAGGTTCAGTATCAGTAGAGTCTTGAAAAGCCCATGTCCACAAAGACTAAATGTCACGACTGAAAAGAGGACAAGTTATGGAGGTAGAAATAGTGTAAATCTGTATTTCGTTCTATCATGATGCAATATCGAATCGACCCAATTTATTGATCTTCCAGAGAGTATTCAATCATTCTCATGCTCCATTGTCTCCGTGTTCTTCATTGGGATTCAATTCCAAGTCACTTCATCAACACTCCGCAGTGCAATAGAATTGTCTTCGGGCTCGACATCAAGGTAGCTCCTCAACAAAGGCAGCAATGAATTTTTCCAAAGTACAGTATTCCTGGTCGATACTGTAGTGGCCAGAAGTAGGATAGTAGATGCCAAAACAACAAAGAGAGGAAGGATGATCCATGGCCATCTAACATGAATATAGGTTTCGGCCCTGAACGCCTTTCCAGATATTCTGCTGCTCACATCGGCAGAACGTATGGCGTCGGTAAGGCTAGTGGACAAAGACTTGACCACATCCGTTAGATTATTTGCCACCATCATATGATACGCAGAAAAAGATTTAGTGTCATTGAACAGATATCCAAGCTGTGATACCAAATCCATGGAGAGGGATTGAGAAATATGGTAGGTTGAGGACTTGTTGGACAAGGGTGTTAAATCTGGCGGTGGCACGAACTTAAAAGTATTCTTCATCCAGTTAGAATCTTCGTCCTGTATAACGATCTGAAGTTTCTGAGCCCGGGAGACGGGAGTTGGATCGCTTGTGGCAGAGAAATTACTTGGTGCATACTCCTTTTCACACCAGTACATCACACACTCAGTGAAGGAAGGTTTGGGGGGCCATGCTGTTGTGTTCTGACTTGTATAGGGAATCATTTCCTGCTGAATAATTGAAATAAACGAAACAATTGGTGTTTCAATATCAAATATCTTGTATCTCTCTTTCTCGAAGTCTGCCATCGGTGACGGAATTCTTGAATAGATTGCCCAAAAGTGCGCTCCAAGCTCTTTTAAGATCTTGCCATCAAATATAGCACCATCGCTTATGTCATTGAGGGATAGAGTAACACTGTACTCATAGGGCGCTGTATATGTGCAGTTCATATCTATAACTGTCCGATTGGCATTTGGCAGCACAGTCCCCACACACTTCTGAGTCGTTCGCTCGGTGACATCTTCGCACTTGCTGCAGATTCCCAAGGAAACGAATGTCGGATAAGAACACTTTTCCATGGTGCATTGAGCCTGAAGGCCAGTATCCGGAAGTGACAACCCACTGTTGATGGCTCTTGTTTGTTGATCGGATATCCTCATATAATCGGCGCCAAGATAATCGGCTGTATAGTTACACGCAGATTGAATCAAAGCAGTTTCATTCAAAGCCTGTACTTGCCTCGAAGGGAAGCTAAGAATTTGTTGAGCGAACGGGTCAACCGCGACGGCCAGAAAGGTCAACGAGGCACCCGAGAATGTTAGAATGCCCATTTTCGACCCCGAAGCCACTCGCGAGAGAACTTTAAGCGCGCCCCACAATCCACGGCTTGCCTCATCGATTGTTTGCATGTACTCAAGGGGAGCGGAACTTGATCTGTCGTATACCCTCCATTTAAGCTGGCCCAGGCAGGCTGAAACAGCATTGAGCAGTGCGGCTTTGGTGATGGCTGCAATAATAGAGATGATTGTGTTCGGTGAGGCTGTATATTGCCAATTCACATATGGTTTGCCGTGAATACTGATAAGAAACCCAATAAGGAGTGCGATACCAACTACACTGAGGCCCGCACTACCGATTTCCCATGTCCAGGAATTACCTAGGTCGAATCCGCATCTGTGTGGTTTTGATTTTAATGATTTGAATGATCGTGTTGGGTCCCGTTGTGCCGGGTCTTCTTCGGCCACCATAGAGGCTGTTTCTGGGTGGACCACTGCTGTAGAGGGAGAGAGGTGGTCGGATGATAATCTTGAGGGATCGATAGTTGTTTGGTGCCGTTCATCATCGCTGGGGGAGCTCATAGTTGCAATCACTTGCGGAGACCGGTCACAGTATGATAAAACAGTGGTGGGTAAGTTTGATCAGGTGCCTCACCACAGTCAATCTTCGAGATAGGCACCTTGCAAAGGGTCTCTAGGATCTTTACCGATGAGACACAGGGGAGTGGAGAATGAGAATATCGCGTTCTTCTAGAAACTTTTGGAGAGAGAAAGAGAAGGAGAGAGGAACAAGAAGAGAGGAGTTAGATGAAGGAGTGCCCATGAGGGGCCTCAACATTTACTAGGTACTGCGCCCGTCTGTTGTGGGTGCAAAGCCACCTCAAATGTTTGCATAGCATTTTGAATGCATATGCAGCTCGTATTCAAAATTTACAGCTTCCTCATTCGCCGTTTTGACTATTGGCTGCATGAGAAAAAGCAAACATATTCTCGACTTGAAGTTGCTGCGTGAGCCGTCCGAATACTCCGTGGTCGAGCCATAATGAAATATTCTCTGTTTGAGGTCAGAATTTATGTCATTAAAGAAAGGTTGTGATTTACGTACCATGTAGCTGGTAAATGCACCTGCTTCTTATTCCTGGTTTTTCATGACCGTTTCAACTTTTTCGGGTTCTGTACCCATCGTGGATGTCTTTCACAATCACTTGTCAGAACCAATAGGGGAGAAATCCAAAATACCCAGTCAGCTTGTTCTTTTTCTTTTTCTATATATTTTTTTTTACCAAAATCATGCTCTTTTATGGGATTTCCATTCTCATCTTGAACCATACCAAAAGGCCAAGAGATTCTTGGCACGCTTAACGGAACTCCACCACGCGAAGGATACTTCGGAACCCGCGGGACCCGTAAAACCCTTTGCTATCTTCATTTTTCTTATTTTGCCCTTATTCTGCAGCCTATTTTTATGTTTCCGATCTGCTTTATCATTTCGACTCCATTTCAATATGACAGAAGAGCTTTCCGGAAACGATATTTCCGTGGGACGAGCGGTAAGCCCTAGATTACCCGCCAAGCCATGAATAGTCCACTGACCCCCCGTTGCCCAGTGTGATCGATGTCGGAAGCGAAAGGTGAGAATATCTATATGCTTTTTTAAAGTTTGAATAGCTACATATCTATGTAGCTAGCTATAGATATTCACCTCAGCCGTGTTAGATCCGCTGTGACAGGACGTCTCCTTGTTCAAATTGCCGATCCACAAGATCAGACTGCAAAGCATCTAATCGTCCTACGAGGGAAAAGCGGTCCCGGGTTTTGATAACATCCCAATTGTATGCTTCTTTAATTGCAAAGAAAACAATGTGGTTTGTGCTCATGGACTTTTGATTAGCGAGGGAAAGATTGATCAGATCGGTAAACGGCTCAGTCGATTGAACCATCTTGTCGAATCGCTGCTAGAGAATCCAGCGAGAGCGACGAACAATACATCTTCCAAACACCCGGAAACATGCGTCGTTTCTCGCCCTAAGCCATTACAGACCACATCTGCCAGTCCACGAATTGCAGACTGGCCCGTCCGGAAGATGCCAGATGAACACACGGATGATACTATGCTAGGACAGTCTTCATTCAGGGCACAATCTACATTTGCTATTGATCTCGCACGTACCGTTGTAGGCACGAATCAACCCACCGGGAGTAATCAGGAAGTCCAAACACTACTAGACATGCTGCGCCATATTGGAACTGCATTCAATGAGCGCCATTATTCGTCAAGGCGTTTATTTCCTCTCATGACAGCAGCTGCCCCTTTGAAGGAGTATCAAATGCCTCCTATAGAAGCCGCTGTCGCACTTTTGCGAAAGTCAGAGGGTATGCTTCCTGCGATGGATACGTTGGCAGATACTAATGCTTCGCTTCGTGTCTAGTTGACAGAAATTTTCTTTTCCAAGGATTGTCTTTCCTGCTTAGTCCACGAATTCTGTCGGACCTATGCTTGAAAGTTTATTTTGCCCCGGACTATTCTGATATAGACTTCATTATTGTGAACGTAGCGCTACTTTGTCAGTTAGTGCCTTTTCCGTATGCAGACTCGGTCTAATGTGGCTTTCAGTTTTGGCATCCGATCCAGATATCCGAAACACTAACGTCGAAGAATCTGGTGCACAGATGAGTTTAGGCTCAATGTGTCAAAAGAATATTGAAATTGCGCTTTCAAAGTTGACGCTTTATATCCAGCCTAGTTACGGCATGACTCTTGCGCTTGGTCTAGGTGTACTTTCAGCATACTCTATATATATGATAGCTATGTGCTGACATCGCAACTCAAGGTCACCTATGCCATCCACGTCTCCAATCCAATACTGGCTGGGGTATTGGCGAATGCAGCATATCAATGCTGTTATTCTCTTGGTTTTCATAAGCGCTTAAACACGTCTGACGAACCCAATTAGAAGCAATTCCTCTTCTGGATGATTTACTTCTTCGAGAAAACATTGTCTGTCCGACTGGGCCGCTCTTCGATCATATTAGATCGTGATATCGACATGCCCTCATCGAAAAATCTCCAAACGACCAATACTTACGTTATGGCATACTTCTATCAACTAGTGAAACTTGCCGGCTTGGCTGGGAGAACTTATGAACAGCTGTACTCAGCAAATGCGCTCGGTGCATCTGAAAATGTCCGGATACATCGAGCCCTTGAACTGTCGCAGGAGCTTCACGAAAATCATGCAGAGGCACGCGATGAAAATGTATGTTCAACTCATCCCTCCTTCGACAATCTAGAATATCCACTAATCAATGCATATTGATACAGCATTTATGGGGTCAATCAACGAGCAACATTGACGAGAAGGGCCAGATTGAATTCATAGCTGCGTCGGACGAAGTTCTGCGCCTTTCAATGCTAACTCTCATCTACCGAGCCATGCCACCAGGCTCTAGTTCTAGAACAACATTCGGCCCAGAGTGTATCACCTCTGCTAGATGTGCTCTAGAATCTCACCAAACCATTGTCCGGGCATTTGGGATGCAGGAATCACCGCTACTCTTATCGGCATATGTAAATTGGTACGCCTAATATAGCTATAATTCACTAGAGCCATACTTAATACTCACATCTATCGCCAGGACAATTCTCTTCACACCATTCACACCTTTCATCATCCTATTCTGCCATTGCATCGAAACACGAGACAAAGAAGATCTCTACCAGATGCATACCTTCCTCAAATCAATCGAATGCGCCTGTCAGCATTCCAGAACGATAGCAAAACATCATCACCTGTTCTCGGTATTTTATTACGTCGCAGTACGTTACACCGAGCTTAGTTCTCCGTCTTCTGCAATGGAGGAAGAACAGATACAACTTCGGAGTGAAGTAGATGCGCAGTTGAGTGCTCTGGGGCTGCAGCCACACACGGCATACATTTCTAGTCCCAATCTGCATCAAAATGGGTTGAAAGATTCCCTGACTATGGCTATTGAGCGTAACGAAAGTGACTGGGTGCAGGACCCTTGGCTTGAGAGGTGGTTTTCTTTTAATCAGCAGATGATGGGGTTATTGGATGGGAATGATTTGCCATTTTAGAAGCTTTGCTTTTCATTCAAGAATATAATGACACCTTTCTCTCCATAAGACTAGCTCAGGTAAATAGGAGATGGAGGGACTTTAAGGGGATGGCGAGTCGAAGGGGCTATAGAAGTATCCGGGAGTTAGAGCGTATGGCAGTTTCTGTTCCCATGGTTCGAGCTCTTCTGGCTAAGACCTCAGCTGTAATCGATGTTAATCGGGCTTAGCGTCATCTCAAAATCTAGATCTGGTGTTGGCCACAGCCACAGTGTGCCATGTATTACTAAGGACACGTGATAGCGGCGCCAGATTAACCTTTAGCCCCACACTCAATCTCAGATAGCCCCGCCCCACCACGTACCTACCTAGGTAGGACCCGCAGGATCCGGGAGGCGACCGGCAGTGGGTCGAGACCACAGGTTTCGGTATTGACACGGGCATATAGCATGTCCATGTCTGCTCAAGAATCCATATGTCTTCCATCTCTACCCCTTATGGTTGTTGATTCCTGCAGTTGCAGGCGAGGCAGTAGAACCGCTCGCAATTTGTGTCCTTACCAGACCAGCTTGTCTTTGGGCATGGCAAGCACGCCTGCCCGGGGCGGTTCTTTGCCAAGAATGAAACCAAGGTTGTGCTGATCTATTTGATGATGAAGTTTGGTTGGAGGTTTGGGGGAAAAGGGTGCACGGAGGATGTAATGTTTGGGCAGGAGTTGGAAACCGACCCCGACGGCGAACGCAACGATTAGGAAGCGGCAATTATATGTTCCACTTTGGGTAATATGCTTGATCTGTTTCATCAGCTAGTGCCGGGTATGTTCTGTCAACGACAAGATTTTCCTAATTCACAAATGTCTGTACATGTAAATGGCAAATTTGGCAATTCATTGGCTGTTCTATGTATACATCATTAAATGCGACAGCATTACGGAGTACGGAGTAATCATGCTAACAAAGGTCCACTGCACTAACCTTATTTTTCAAAATAGGTATGAACTTTCTAGAATCCGTGTCCGCGGACAGCCACGAAAGCCGAGAGCCTGCGATCCTGCAAGATCTGGACGCGGTGGCCGCGGAACCCGCATCGTGTTCTCCGTTTGTCAAGTTGAATATATTCTTAGACTGACATGCAGTTCCAACCATGTTGACTCCGATCGGAGGCGGACCATGATTGGATCGCCTCAATTAGATTGGAATAGCAGCGCAGATACTGGTCGCTTTCAGATACATGTAGACGAGAAAGTCCATTGCAAGGATTACATCTGGAGCTGACTCAACGTAGCGGACGTTAAGAGCCCCGGAAGACCGTTGCCAAGGTTCCGTCTGCAAGTTCATAATTGAAACTATTAAAAGGGGCGTGGATTCCTGAATCATTGCGTCTGCCATAATTCCTACTTCTCCTTTACTTTTCATCGCTCCTGCTCTGCCTCTACCCGCGGTCAGGACTGGGCTATAGCCCCAAACCTTCCCAATACCAAAGACTACCTGCAACGTGTATAGTCTTCGCCTATGACTGCAGCCATAACTAATTCCGACATCAATCTACGTCTAGAGAGCTGTCCGGACATGGTGGCTCTTGAACGGTCCTACGACGAGTCCACTCACTCGGACTCAACTACTGTCGCGCAGTCAAAAGTAGAGGTCGACATAGGCCTCCGTGAGTCCAACGTGAAGGAAGAACTTCACGAACTGGCCCGGCGTTACAGTAGCCAGGCTGGTCCTTCTATATTGTTTCCAGTCGCTGCCGGAGGACCCCTCGACCCCGGTAGCGAGAAATTCAACGCGAGAAAATGGGCCAATGCTTTCTACAACGCCCGTAATGATGCTTCCAGCAATACTCCTCTCCGTACCAGTGGTGTGGCTTTTCAAAACCTCAACGTTTACGGCTTTGGCACTCCGGTGGATTTCCAGAAAACTGTCGGCAACATTGCCCTTGAAACAGGAACCTTGATCAGTCAACTTTTGGGAAGATCGAAACAGCGCATTGACATTCTTCATAACCTCGATGGGGTCGTGGAAGCTGGGGAGATGCTCGCGGTTCTTGGTCCACCCGGATCAGGGTGTTCAACCTTGCTCAAAACAATTGCTGGAGAAACCCATGGCCTTTATGTCGATGGGAACTCGGCGCTCAATTATCAGGGCATCACGGCAGAGCAGATGTCGAAAGCCTTTCGTGGCGAAGCTGTTTACACTGCCGAAGTCGACGCTCATTTTCCCCACATGACTGTTAGAGATACTTTGTACTTCGCAGCCCGCGCACGGTGTCCCAAGAATATCCCAGGACAGGTTTCTCGGCACGAATACGCGGAGCATCTCCGTGATGTGACCATGGCCATGTTTGGTATCTCGCACACAAAGAACACTCGGGTTGGGAACGACTTCATCCGTGGAGTCAGTGGTGGCGAGAGGAAGCGTGTTACCATTGCTGAAGCAGCCCTGAGTTACTCGCCATTACAATGCTGGGATAATAGCACGCGAGGCTTGGATAGTGCCAATGCTCTCGAATTCTGCCGCACTCTTCGAGTCCAGGCTGACACTCTAGGCACTGTCGCGTGTGTAGCCTTGTACCAGGCTTCTCAAGATGCGTATGAGGTGAGTTCAACTGTGACGGTGAACTTTATCCGCACTTTACTGACTTCCGAGCTTTAGGTCTTTGACAAGGTCATCGTGCTGTATGAGGGTCAACAAATCTTTTTTGGCAAAACAACAGAAGCCAAGGGATATTTTGAAAATCTTGGATTCCATTGCCCCGACCAGCAAACCACTGCTGACTTCCTCACATCCATGACAAGCCATGAGGAGCGCGTCATTCGCGCTGGATTTGAAGGCAAGACCTCGCGGAGCCCAGACGATTTTGCTACGGCTTGGAATAAAAGCCAGTCTTTAGCTCAGTTGAACCAAGACATTAACGCCTACATGAAGAGATACCCCTTCAATAGTGAACACTACGAGGGCTTCTTGGCTTCTCGACAGCGTGATCAGTCCAACCTTCAACGTGCGTAGTCGCCATTTACGCTCTCTTACTGGGAGCAAATAACCCTGACCTTGTGGCGCAGCTGGCTGTTGTTCAAGGGGGACCCTAATACGACTGTCACCATGTTCATCATGAATCTCTTCCAGGCCTTGATTGTTGGTAGTATCTTCTATAACCTCCCCAGTGACACCAGCAGTGTCCCTAGACGTGGTATCCTCATCTTCTTCCTGGTCCTCATGAACGCGTTCGGCAGCATTCTCGAAATCATGACTCTCTATGCCAAGCTGGAAAATTGTCGAGAAACATAATCGATATGCACTATACCACCCTAGTGCCGATGCCATGGCGGCCATGATATCTGATTTGCCGTACAAGATTCTGAATTGCATAATCAACAACATCATCATTTACTTTATGTGCAATCTGCGGCGAGAGCCTGGGCCCTTCTTCTTCTTTCTCTTGAACATCTTCATTGTCACTCTAACAATGTCTATGATGTTCCGATTGCTGGGTTCACTTACAAAGACCATTGCCTCCGCACTGGCCCCTGCCTCAGTGATTCTGTTGGTGATCATGTTATACACTGGCTATGCGATCAAAGTACAGAACATGCAAGTCTGGCTTGGCTGGCTACGATGGCTCAACCCAGCTCATTATGCTTTTGAGGCTCTGATTCTCAACGAAATGGTCGGCCGCCATTTCCCCTGTGCCTCCTTTGTTCCTAGTGGAGAGGGCTATGATTCCGTCTTGCCTGAACAGCGCATCTGCTCGGTTACTGGATCTCCACCAGGGGAGAGTTTCGTTGATGGTGCAACCTACCTTGACACTTCTTACAACTATCTTAACTCTCATAAATGGCGAAACTTTGGCATCATGGTTGCTTTCATGATCTTCTACTTGGTGTGTCACCTCGTTGCTTCGGAGTACGTTGCCTCGGAACGGTCCAAGGGCGAAGTTCTAGTCTTCAGACGGAAGGCCATGGGTCAGGCCAAGGCGCTCACTGGCAAAGACATCGAGAACGCAATCTCACGACCAATCCAAACTGCCCAAACATGTTCCGACGGCCCCGCTGGTCTTGAATCGACGAATTCAGTATTCCACTGGGCCGATGTTTGCTACGAGGTCAAGGTGAAGAATAAGACACGGCAGATCCTGGACCATGTCAATGGATGGGTAAAACCAGGAACTCTAACTGCCCTAATGGTACGTTCTTTTTTGAAATTCTTTACTTTGATCATTTGAAAGGTCACCTAACGAGTAATCACTGCTGCTAACGTATCCCCAGGGAGTGTCCGGAGCTGGAAAGACTACGCTACTGGATGCTCTTGCGAGTCGAATCACCATGGGTGTCATCTCTGGTCAAGTTCTTGTCGATGGTAATCCCCGGGATCTATCTTTCCAACGCAGGACTGGGTATGTAATGCAACAAGACCTTCACCTTCATACATCGACTGTGAGGGAAGCTTTAACCTTAAGCGCACTTCTCCGCCAGCCAGCCAAGTACAGCAACGAAGAAAAGATTTCATATGTTGATAATGTTATCAACTTGCTCGACATGCAGGAATACTCTGATGCTGTTGTTGGTATTCCTCGAGAAGGTTTGAATGTAGAACAACGGAAGAGATTAACCATTGGTGTTGAGCTCGCTGCCCGTCCTCAGCTCCTTCTGTTCCTGGATGAACCAACCTCTGGTCTTGATAGTCAAACCTCTTGGTCTATCTGCAACCTATTGGAGGAGCTCACAAATAGTGGTCAAGCCATTCTTTGTACCCTTCACCAGCCCTCTGCAATCCTCTTTCAACGGTTTGACCGCCTGCTGCTTTTTGCGAAGGGAGGCAAGACTGTTTATTTCGGTAACATTGGAAAGAACTCGCAAACGCTGGTTGATTATTTCGTTCGGAATGGGGCCACTAAACCACTGCCCCATGCCAATCCTGCGGAATACATGTTGGAGGTGATTGGTGCCGCTCCTGGTGCGCACACGAATATCAATTGGCCAGACATCTGGCGTCAGTCGCCCGAGTATACTGGTGTCCAAGAGGAGCTCCAGCGCCTTTCATCAAACCGTGCCCCCACTACCGACAGGACTTCGGAGAAGTATGAGGACGCTGAGTTTGCCGCTCCTTTGGGGCTACAGTTCAATGTGGTGACGAAGCGTGTCTTCCAGCAGTACTGGCGCAGCCCTTCCTACATCTACTCGAAAGCTTTCTTATCAATTGGTGCAGTGAGTGAAAACCCAGGCTTTAGTATTACTATACCGGAACTAATATTGCAGGCACTGTTTATTGGCCTATCTTTCCTCAATGCAAAGAATACGCAAAGTGGTCTCCAGAACCAGATGTTTGGCATCTTTATCTTCTTGACAATTTTCAGTCAACTCGTCGACCAGATCATGCCCATCTTTGTCTCTCAGCGGACGATGTATGAAGTTCGCGAACGTCCGTCCAAGGCATACTCTTGGATAGTGTTCATCAGCGCCAATATTCTTGTCGAGATCGTCTACAACACAGTAAGTTTTATTGCTCCACAGTCAACTTCAGCACCCAATCCTAACCTATTTCCTAGGCAATGAGTATTCTTAGTTTCCTTCTCTGGTACTTCCCCATGGGGCTCTACCGCAACGCCCGTGAAACGGGCGCTGAACACTCGCGTGGCACGCTTATTTTCCTTTTCGTCTTTGTTTTCTTCATGTTCACCACCAGTTTCGCCTTCCTTGTGATCTCAGGGCTGGAGAGCGCCGAGGTAGCTGGCGGTATCGTCGGTCTCATTACCATCATGATGTTCGTCTTCTGCGGTGTCGTTGCCGGCCCAAATTCCATGCCTGGTTTCTGGATCTTTATGTACCGCTGCAACCCCTTTACATACTTTGTAGAAGGCTTCCTCGGTACCGCGATCTCAAACGCCAAGGCCACATGTGCCTCAAACGAGTTCCTGCGATTCAACGCCCCCAACGGCTCTACCTGCGGTGACTACATGCAGAACTACCTTGATCTTGCTGGGGGCTACCTACTAGATCCCGGGTCCATCACCAATTGTGATTTCTGCCAAGTGGCTGAGACGAATAAGTTCCTCGCGGGCGTCAACATTTCTTTCGCTAATCGCTGGCGGAACTTTGGGATCATGTGGGCCTTTGTCGTCTTCAACATCGCTGCCGCAATCCTCCTCTTCTGGCTCACTCGCGTGCCCAAGTCGAAGAAGACCAAGAGAAACTAGTTCTACCGTCCGAATTTGTCCTACCGGCGGCTGCAGCAATTTCTTAATTATGATCCCTTTAGAAACTTCGGTCGTTCGTTTGCCTTTTCTTCTACTTTCTTTTCTCCTCTACTTTCTTTTCTCTTCTACTTTCTCTTCTACTTCGTTTCTACTTCGTTTCTACTTCGTTTCTACATCTTCTTCTCAGTGTTACTACGTGTATTTAAAATCTCAGGCAACCAGAGTCGCTGGTTCAGTCATAATAAAGTTTCAGATATATGAACAAAGCCAACTAGCCCAGGCCCACAAAGCATTAACGACTTCTACTGATCCACAGGGAGCCCGCCGAGATCTCTCCCAGGTAGAGCTCCGCAAAGCCCATAAAGCCCATAGCCCAGCCCAACCCACAAATGGGTTGGGTTTTGGGCCCGGGGTAAAAGCCCACTAGGCTTTTAATGGGGGCCCAATGGGCCCCAAACAGTACAAATATGCCGAGAATTCAGAAGTTGAACCCCCGTTTAGGGATTTTAAAATTACCCTTCGTTTTACCCCCGTTTCTAAGCCTTAGTCTAAAGGTAATATTTTATTAGTTTAAATCTTTTAGAATTAATTACTAGTTATCTCTCTATATCACGTTTAAAAACGCAAGAAAGTGCGTTATTTAGATAATTTATAAATTACAGAAGTTCACTTAGAAAGTAGTAGTACTCCTATACAAATCTAAAATTTATATTTTTTTACAGTATCTCGACCTCTACTAGTCGGATTTTATTTAAATTTAAAATACATACTTATATGGCTGTAACTATTATAAATTCAAAATTTTAAACTCTATATAATAAGTAGAAGGTTAGAATATGGCGATTCCAAGGTGCTGGGTAAACCCCCCTTGATGGGCTGTGGGTTGGGTTGGGCTTTGTGGAACACTACTCCCAGGAGCCATATGGAATCTTCAAGCAGCTTTGGCGCCTAAGGTTGCCTAGAGCCGTCGCTTGTCTGGAACGCTAAGCACTCGAAAAGTCGTCAGCCTCATAAGTTCTTCCAAGTCGCAGTCCCGCATAGCAGCGGCAGCGGCAGCGGCAGTGATTTGTGAGATGTTGGGTTAGGTTATCTAGTATACCAGAACCTAGCTTAGGTCTAAGGTTTAGCCCTAAAACCTAACCCAAAGTTGGGTTGGGTTGGGTTGGGTTGGGTTGGGTTCTGGAGAAGCCTACACATAACTCTTAACTAAACTGACTCGAATAACTAACTAGAGATCCATGGATTTACTAGACGGTCTGACTAATCTCAATAATGTATTTTTATGTAGGATCCACTATTTGTCGGTCCGTAGATGTTCCGGTTTACTACCCGAGTTCGTATCCGTATACGGAGTAGTATTTAACCATAACAAAATCTTGCAAACGATTTCACCCACTAGTGATACTTTAATCGCTACATGTGCATAACTATGAAAATTCTATGTGTTGTGCTAAATTTAAAAACAACACCTACAACATAACATCTAGAAATGCGGAAACCTTTACCGCTAAAATGTTGTAATGGCAGGGCAACTAACTCCCAAGGTGATTGGATCCCCCACGGGGTTTTCCAAACACAGCCCTATCCCAGGCCGAGATCAACCATGCCTCTTCTGGGAGTATATGGTAAGCGACACCGGTACCCAACTTCATTCAGAGTACGGAGTACAAAGCATATCTTGCATACATGGCAATTATACACAGCCTAGCGAGCAGAGCCCTACTGTCGATATATTCAGGAATTCAACTTCACAATACAGCATTCCGACAGTAACTACGGAGTACTCCGGACACTGCTCCACCAACAAGTGAACTCAAAAACCACTTAATTAGGACAAGCTTTGTTTGCTTGGCACCGCCAGAATAAAATACGTGGTTTTTTATTTCTACTTCCTTATTTCTCTCTACTTCTCACCGTACACGCACACTGCTTGACTACTATATAAGGTTATCGTTTTACCACCGGTAGTAGACCGGTTTATGCTATAGTATAGTACGATAATCTTAAGCTGCTTACTATCTAAATATATTACAACATAAGGCTGTCTACCGGGTGCACTATTTGTACGGAGTAATTTCTTATCAGGTTAGTTTGACCAATTATTTTTGTTCGCGCGGGGTTACCGTCTTAGGCTAGTTCATATCTATGGCAGTGGAGAAAAAGGGTCAAGCATTGGGAGGTCAGCCACCTCCTGAGTTCTCGCATTCTGCTGGGAATGGGTTCGACTGACTCGTTACTATTCTCACGCTAGAACATTGCCATATGTCCGATTGGATGAAATCGATTACAAAGACCGCTTGTTAGTGCTGGGATCGGTTAACTTTACCATTTCTAGAGCAGTCAATATATCAGTTTTCCGAATCAGGGACCAACTCTCAGCCCCAGACGTGCTAGTAATCTGCAGTAAGCCGCCACTCGTATTCAGGGCCATCCTTATGTATTTGATCACGCCCGTTGGGAATCTTGGAAGCTTGGCTGTTCTTTCTTCTGCAAAAGCTTCATAGCGACCTCAGACCATGGCTATCATGAGATCAATTGTTTTGGCGCAATCTCTGCTCTGGTCTCTAGCCGTTGCTGATGCATCGAACCTGAACCCTAAAGGTGAAGGTTGTGTCGATCCAAGTGGCTATCTCAAATGTTACGAAAACAATGTGAAGACATTTGATACATGCATGACTGATGCGAAGAATAACTGCGACGTGGATGTGTACTCAACATGTGTACTAGCCTGTGGAGACGCTCAGTTAGCTGCCAATATTGGCTGTTGGTTGACCAGTTGCTGGAATGAGGTTCGATGTACCCTTTCTCTCTCACACATTGCCTCTCTAACATGGAGTGACTGAAGGTGTATTCATGCGCATACCAAGAAACGGCCCTACAATACCTTAATGGTGCAAATCAGAACCAGGGTACCCAAATTCCTTACTATCCTGCACCGGATAATGCGCCTGGTGGATGTGGTAAGAAATAATGACCCCGAGGAGAGGAAACCCTCAATTATCATGCTGACGAATGGGTCGAATACAGTGTGCAATTTAGGTCATATTTGGGGGAACTTCACCGAGACCTATGCCCTCAATGCGCCTTGTGAGAAATATGCCACAGATGGTTCCGTTTCTGAGACGGCCAGCTGCCAGTGCTGCTGGGACTCATCCTTCTTGTCTGAGTAAGTCATAGGCATTGGGAATTATGTCTGGACATATCGATTGAGTACTGACTCATTCTCAGATTCATTGAATGGTGTCCCCACAACGACCTCTCCGTTCTTGATATCAGCACAATGGTGGACACTTTCAAGATTGGCTATAATGAGACCGGGTCTGACCAGTGTTCTATTCTCTCCGATCCTAGTCAATGTGTTAGCTCTTTCAACTTGGACACTGGCGCCTCTACATGGTACAATCCAGGCCAGCTTCCCTCTGGATATCCTGGAACAGCACCTCTTTCAGATACCACTGATGCCGGGAGCCTTACCCAAGCTCCAGATCCGTACACGTTCTCGATTTTCCCAAGCTATATCACCGTCATCACCCCGGCTCCATATAACAAGAAAAATGTCGAGGCAACAAGCTCGGGGACAACTGGCGGAGCCACTGCTGGTGCCACTACTGGGGCCACTACGGGAACTGCTACTGAAACGAGCACTTCGTCACCTAGCAAAGGAGCTGCGGAGAAACTCCTATCGCCTGTTAGCGCCGGCTTTGGTGTCTGGGGTCTTGCCATGTACACAATGCTTTGCACTGTCCTTGGTGCAGCGTTGATTTTATAGAGAGCTTCAGGTTATGTCTACTTGATCGATCTTCTCTTGAAAGCCGGTCACTAACCATGCTGGTTTCTGAGACATCTCACGACTTTGATGCCTGCAAGGGGGCTTTGTTTGACGAGCTACCTAGAACGAATATTGTGGCTTAAATATACTATCGACAACATATTTGCAATCCTCGGTACCTCATTCTTACAATTTCTCCTAGATCTAAAGCGGGCCGAGTCTGGCCATCAATATTAAATATACCTAGGTAATTACCTAGTAATCTTTATTCAAGCTGAGCGGATGCGCGGAGAAGAGAAGAAACTATCTACAGATATTAGACTAAAGTACTAGGACCAAATCTGAATTCAACTCCTACAATAAGCCAGGAAGCGGGTATACCCAAGTCAGTAATTATCTCCCATACGCACTCGAGCAAAATGGGGTACCTAGGAAGTAAAGGAAAGGTAGGCGGTAGCCTAGTACTGCACTTTCAATGTCTAAAGTTATTTTACAAATTGAGCCTTTTTCCGCCGTTTATCTATAATCCTTAGATAAGCAGCAAAATATTTATAAAACAAAGATGTTTGAAAAAATATTTGAAAAGATATTTGAAAACACATTTCAAAACATATCACAAGGCCGCAAATGCGGCCGACTAGTATTATACATCGTACTAATTGTAAAGTGAGGGTGGATCTATAAAACTGCCTAGCAATATTCTTCAATCAGAGAGTTATGCCCCGGTGGCATACTTAGTCGCCCGTATATGTAGCTAGTATCCCTTTCCTGTACATAGTGTACGACAAACTCATCACCATCACTTACATGGTTGGTGGCTTTTCACAATATTTCTCCATCTACTATGTCGTAGATCTCAACAATTATATCGACTTCCCCGGGATAATCTGTTACGGGCTTTGTTCCCAATTGTCTTCTTCGCCACTCCCAATCATCTCCTCTACCTCCTCCACACGGCTAAATGACTGGCAAACGACAGGGGGCTCAAATGACAGCTTCATTCACACCCCGGATAGAGATTATCCACCTGAGTCCCCTCAGCTTACAAAATCCCGTCGAATCACTAGGGAGCCTCGAAAGTCCCAGTTAGAGGATGAGGTTGGAATTCCCCCCAAAGAGCAAGGCAAGAAAAGGGAAATGGGGTGCGCCGTTCCAAGTACCTTGTGGGTGCAGATAATGTGTCCAAAATCCAGGCGAGGATTCACCAACTGGACTTTCACGATTTTTATATCCGTCTTAGTCAATCCCAGGGAATAAATGCACACTACTACACCTCAATAGAAAGGCATATCCGGAAAGAAGAGGCCTTCGACGAGAACAAAGTCTAGAAGGATGTAGTGTGTCGAGGGATTTTCCCACTCTTCCGGCGCAGAGAGAGGCTGAGGCTGCTTCTTTGGCCGCTGGGATGACAACTATGGAATTTTCGATACGAAGAATACATCAAAACTTATCAATCAGCTCTTTGAATCTAATTCTTATACTTCTCTTACTAGATAATTACTCTACTATGACTAGTAAATTACTATATAAGTTAAATAGAAAGATACAACACCGAAAACTCGAACGTAAAATATTATAGAAAGTCTAAGCATTATTAAGAGTTAATAAGTATAGGACTTTAAGTATAAAATCTAGGTATAGGACTTCAGTATAGTTAAAAGTTATATAGTTATAGAAAAGTCTCTACCATAAAGTCTGCTTTTTTAACCCCTTTAAATATATTTAGAAAGATATTTAAAAAGAGGCTAAAAAGACCAGCTAAAAAAATATTATAAGGCTTTATAAGCGGCCGACTAAGCTAAAAATAACGATTTGGTGCGGACCCGGGAATGCCGTCTAAGGGAATGAAGTTGGATTTGGCGGGCCCGGTGGGAGCGCTCAGTAGAGTATACCACTCGGCATTGTCCGAACAGCTAAGAGTATCTTTAATTATTCTAATTAGCTAGGTTGTAGGCTCCTGGGCTAGAAATTGCGCCTACTCGTTCTTCAACTCTTATGAAATCAGCATGTATTCTGTTCCGTAAACTGCAGTTTGGATGCCGCATTTTCACTCACTAGGGTCTACAGTTAAGGGATAGATGAATTGGAAATATAAGGTGCAAGGTTTATGTATTAGGTGAGATATTAAGACTTCTATGAGAAGAATCACACTGCAAAAGATCTCAAACAAACGAACAACGATTTCAGAAACAAAGTATACCACAAAGCTCCTGTGACTTTTCCTCCGCGCAAAGATGACTGACTGCAAAGCGATGAGCTTAGAGGATGGAGCCAAGGGCAACGCAAGGAAGAGCGGCGCCGACGAGGTTGCCGCTGGCGGTGGAGGGAGAGTTGGCGCAGCAGGCGATGTTCTGCTTGCACTGCTGGTTGAGGATATCCTGGATGGGGATACCGATGACGATAGGGACTGGAGCGAGGTTAGTGAGGAAGCGTTGAAAGGTGATGGGTGCATAAACTTACTCTGAGCGCCGAGCTTGGAGCACTGGTCGAAGAGACCAAGGCCAGAGGCACCAGAGCCGGCACCAATCAGGTTGGAGAGAGTACCACCAAGGATACCGGAGTTGATGTCGGTGGTGTCACCGGCATAAGTGGCCTTGTTGCAGCAAGAGAGCTGAGCCTGGTCACCACACTTGGCCTGAGCCTGCTCGATAGTCAGGCTGTCGGGAACAGGGAAGCGAGGAGTGCCGTTCTGGTGCTGGAGGCCATTGTTCATGGACTCAGCGGGCAGGGCAGCGGAAAAGCCAGCGAGGGCGAGGACAACGGCGGAGAGAGTGAACTGCATCTTGAAGGTATGGTATTGAAAGATTAAAATCTTTTAAAATGTAAAAAAGTGTTTGGAAGGTTGGAAAGGTAGAGAGAGATAGAGAAGTAGAGAGCTTATGGATAAAAGAAAAGAGGACGACCTAGTGCTCGCCTTTTATCTTCCCAGTCACAGTGCTTGGGCACGAGGTGATCTACCAATGTTCGTAGTGAAGGCCAAAAACAACCCTCCCATTTTTCCTGGTGGAATGTCCCACGCAAGGGCTTAATCCCGAGCTTGTCCCGATGATCTCTACCTCCTAGCAATATCATTGGCCCTTCCTTGATTCCGGAATTTAACAGTCAATTAGATTCCCCCTTGGCTCCTGAGATGCATGGGCCCTGCATTCCGCCCTGTCAACGGCATCTGTCAAGGCTACCCTGCGCCTTGATTTTGTTCTGAGAGGTCCAAATTTTGGCTTACATACTTTCTAACCCTGCGAGCCTCACATGGATCCCTAATCAAAAGAGGATCGACCATCCACATACGTTGTAAATCAGATATCCGAATTCAGGGTCCTTCTAGAAGTGCTCAAGGTGTGAGAACCCCCTACAGCCACCCCCGACAAATTCCCTGCAGTTTCAAATACGGCCCCTGCGCAGATATGTGACCATTTGATGTCGGTGGCGCTGATTATCATAGCTTGAAGGCGTTTTGAGGCGTTTAGAGGCGCCGTGATGGCGGGAATTATCCGATACCATGCATCTTTTCTTCATTCCAGTTATGATTAGGGCAACGTGTCTGTGCGGCTCTCTTTACCTTCTTGTCTCTTTGTGCTCGTACGTAAATTATAGTTAGAGACTCTTTTAAATTACTGTCCCTTATCCATACTTGGATCCACTGTCCACTTATCTCCCAATCCCAGGGAATTCAGGATCGCCGGACCCATGTCGATCCTGATCACTTCAGATTTCCCACCCTGCTCTATGGCATAACACGCGATGTTACGATGGGCAACCGCTGATCTACACTCTCCTCTCTTGATGCAAAATCAAAGCTTCACAGGAAGTGGATGTTAGTGTTTGTTGAAACTGCAATACATGGGCCTTCAGGATGTTCTCTTGGTCGGGTTTGGTCTGGATCGAACGCTTTCGGGTCCGATAATTAGCTATGAGATTCCAGGTAAGATCCTAACGAAATTTATTTGATATTTGGAGGAAGCCGAAGTGCATACTGTAATAGAGTCGGTAGTAGTAAGTAGCTCGAACTGTACTTTTTTCTTGGCTGAACTACGGCCTGATGTCTGTCTACAATCTATGTATGTTGTATGAAAATCTTTGAATTGTTGCAATTACAGTTACGTAGAAAGTAGACCAGAGTAATATACTTTGTGATTTTTTAAGGTCTAGGGCTTGGTATTTAGTTGTTCGAGCTAGATCTCGTAGTCGGGGACGTATATCGCTTGGTTTTTAAGAATTGATAAATATTATTTTTTGTAGATATCAATTCAAAGACTACAATCTGAGAAGATATTCAATTACTATAGAACCAATAGAAAAATGGTTGAAATGATTCCAATATTGTGACTCTAATGTTGATGCAGATATATATCTCCAGCAAAATGTCGAAACCACAGACATTATTCCACCAACATGCAACCCTTCAAATAGCATATGTTTACTTCAAGGATTAAAATTGCAGAGCTTATTTCTATTCATACGTCTCGAGCAATCTTGATCATTGATCTTTGACGATTGGGGCTGAATGGAGTGGTAGTTCGCCCGCATCGGGGGGATATTCGTCCGCCACTAAACCACTTCCAGACTAGCGCACGTTAGTTGCGCCGGCTCAGACTACACGGCCACACTCTACCTTCAGCAGGTATACTACAACCTCACTTTGCTGTTAGCCTGAATCGGAGACGGAAAGATATGCAAGGGTCAATATGAGTCCGCTGAAAACATGGTATATACCGATCATTAGTATAAAGGATCCTTGAATTGTTAGAATTTTATCATCACCATCACAATCCATTTCGAGCTCTGCAATACAACTTCAAACTCCAATCTTCAATCTACAATCCAAGATTTACAATTTGAATAATCAATTCTACAAACTACTCAATCCTCGACATGACAACCATCGCCTTTTTCGGAGCAACCGGCGGCTGCGCTAACGTCTGCCTGACCTACACCCTTCTCAACGGCTACAACGCCAGAGCCCTAGCCCGCACACCATCAAAACTCACCACGCTGCTCCTCTCACAGCCTGGCATCACACAGGAGATTCTCTCTCAGCAACTTGAGATAATCGAAGGCGATGCAACAGATGTGGAAAGCATTATGAAAACCCTCATCATCGACTCCAACCCCAAGAACGCACCCAATGGAGCTTGTACTCTCGTACCAAGCATAATTTCCGGCCTAGGTGGCTCGCCGACAATGGCCATCACTAAGGAATCAAAATGCGCAAAGACTCAGATGCGCATGCCCGCGCTGCCGCACATTCAGCTCTCGAACCCGCATATCACAGAACAGACGACAAGTGCATTGCTGGCGGCGCTGGCGAAGATTGCTTCTGACCGGTTTGCCTCGTTCGAGGAATATCGCGCTGTTGCACCCAGGGTCACTGTGATCTCGACGACGGGACATTTGCCTGGTAATAAAGATGTGCCGTTTTGGTTCAGGCCTATGTACTCTGTGCTCTTGCCGATCCCCCATGCGGACAAGCTGCAGATGGAGAAATTGCTTGATAAGGAGGTTGAGCTGGGGGATGCTGGGGTGCTTGCTGCTGGAGTTGTTGTTGTGAGACCTAGCTTTTTGACGGGGGATCATCTGGTTCCTGTTTGTGAGGCGGGGGAAGGGGGTGAAGGGGCGGGACTGGATAAAGTGAGGGTTGGGACAGCGAAGGCTCCTGCTATTGGGTATACGATTTCACGGGCTTTGGTTGGTGAGTGGATGTTCAAGGAGATTGTTAAGGGTGGTGGAGAGAAATGGGTTGGAGAGAAGGTTACGATCACTACCTGAGATTCTGGCCTTCTCGTAATTTTTGAGTTTGGAACACTTGCCATTTTTAGAGACTGGGGTTCATATCGTTATTATTTACGTTGAATACATGACTAGGGATTTTCACATTGTATGAAATACCCAGATAATCAATCGTATTCCAAAATCAACATTAGATACCCAAAATCACAAACCACCGCATTGTATCAGCTGAAAGCAAAACGCCACCGTAGACTAAAGAGCAAAATCAAAGAAAGCAGATCTCATCGCTATATAAAAAATTCCGATGAAACTCCGTAGCTGACATATATAAAACGGCCAAAAACAGCATTATTAGATCTGTACAGGTGAGGCAAAATAAAGAAACGCTTTGAGACAGCTAGATCAACGTTCCCAATGCCTATGTCATGACATTCGTAAGTAAGAACATGAAAATTGCTGTGATCAGGTGCCACCATAAGGCACGGGACGGTCAATCTGAGCACTCGACCGCTCAATTTGGGCACTAGAACGCTCAATCTGAGCACTCCGGCGCTCGTCCTTGACCTTCTTCTTCTCCATCTTCTTCATGGCTTCTTCGGTCAGCTGTTGGCGGAAGAGCCGTTCGACAACATCCTTCTTTCGGGTTCGCCGATCACCAATCATGATCATCACACCACCCGAGATGTTACAGGTGATAGAGCAGCAGAGAATAACCGTCGTCAGAGCGAATGGGCGCTTTTCGGGGTTCTCCATACTCCAGGTACAGGCACCAAGAGCCATTTGGAGGATAGAATGACAGTCGAGGATGACGACAATAGCAATGAGCAAGCGTAGAGGGAAGGCGTGGTGAGTCATGGTTTCGTGCGGCTTGTAGAAAGTATGCGACTTTGCAAACTTATTTTGGTGATGCATTAATCGTAGCTGTTGGCGAGCATCGAGGACAGAGAATTCGTGTTCGTCTTCCTTAGCCATGGCGCCAAATTCAACGTCGACGTCCTTCTCCGGCTTCGACGGAAGGTCATTCTTGTCCTTGAGGCCTGGCAGGGCCCGCTTCCGACGAAGCTTCCACGACAAAAATGTATAATGGGCAATGAATCCCATGTGATATGTATCCACAGCGCGGAAAGGAGCCAGTCCATCACCCATGATGGCGAACAGGGCAACCAAAACGTTATCTATGACATTGACAACATAGCTTTGTTTCCCACCGACATTGATCCAACCTGAAGTGAGTGTCAGCATACTAGCCAAAAGGTATTAGGCCAAGAGATCTCACCAATCAAGAAAAGAACCCAGGCCAGACCGAACAGGGTGATCAAAGTAGCGTAGAGAGTTACAAGAAAGCCGAGGGCTAGACGAGATTAGTATGAAGAAAAGATGGCTTGGCGGGGAGCATCACTCACGCTTCCGTATGTACTGCCTAAATCCTTTCATGGACCGTTTGAACTTGGACCGCCGAGAGTGAAGCATGTGTCGAACATGATCATTGAGTTCGGCATAGTCTTCTCTGGTCCATCCATCAAGTCCGTGTCCTTCTGGGAGAACAGCATACTTAGGACCTCGCAACGCCGAGGACATGCTCGTGAATGACTGGAGTTGTTGTAAAGTCGGCCGCTGTTTGCTTTTGTCGTCCTTGGGCGGTTCGCCCTCGTCCGTTGAAGTTCCCTGATCTTCATCTGAAGAATATTGTGGCCGTGTAATCGTATAGGTGGGCATGCGATTGATGAACCCACCCAGGTTCGGCACGAAGAGAGAGTTCTGGACATTGGTGAGAGTGGAAAGCGCAGAGACCTCGGGGTCTAGATTCAGGTAAGTTAAATCATGGTTTCTGTATCACACTTGGCACCAGAGCTTACCGATCACATCCAGCACGTCGACCACGTGAGATCCATACTCATTCTGGCGTTGCTCCTCCTGTGTACTTAGAGTCGGTGCAGCTCCTGTCACTGTGGTTGCACGGTTTCGAGTAAAGCGATTCAACGCAGCTTGACTAGTTCGCCGAAGCCGACCCGCCGGTCGCGCTAGTGGAGGGGCCTCGCCTTGCTCCAGATCAAGTGGTTCAGAGTCGGACCGAGTCTCCCGACTAGGGATTATTGCCACTGGAGAGGGGGTTGTTGGACTTTGGTGTGAGGATTCCTCGGTCACTGGCATCATTCGCATAGGAGTCGCCACTCCTGAGAGAACATCGGGAGGGGGAGATGACCATCGTCCTCGATTTGGCTCCGAGTTACTGCGCCGTCGGCCTGCCACCCATGCTTCATCCTCTTCATTGGGGGGAGGGGACCGGATGGGCTGCGGCTCGAAGGACGGTTGACCTTGACCCTCTGATTGAGAGGCTGGTTGATTAACGGTGGTGTCTAGTGAAGGGATAGATGGGAAGCGAGACAGGCGAATACTCGGTCGTCGCGCTCGTGAGTCGCCTCGAGATCGCAACGGGGTAGGACCTGCTGGCCGGACGGGGCCAGACTCTGTGGGTTGCCCTGTGGGTTCGGTCTCCTGGGGGTTCCCATTAGGGTCCTCGACCGGGTCGATGCGATCCATATTGCTGGAGCGACGAGTTCCGAAACGTTGGGGACAAGATCACACAATACAAGAAGCCCCCGAGACCAAAAGGACAATATGAAAGTAAACTAAGGATGTAGGACTCCCCTTTTTGGTCCACATGGAAGACAGTCTGTAGACGTTCTGGATCTCTGGGGTGTTTAAATCTAAGGCTGACTCAGCTCTCCCCGAATCTTGTTTTTTCTTCTTTTCCACAGTGACGAGCCAGTGGAGTGCACAGTCCATCAATATCACGCTAAACCGGCGATCTTGAGTTTGCATTCCAATATTTCTATTAAGGGGTTTCTTTTCAACGCTCTTAAGTCAGTTGTTCAATTTGTTCAAGTTCAATTGTTCAATTGTATATGTATTCCGTAAGTGGCAAGTTCTGACTCTTGTGGCCAACAAACTACCCAATTAGACTACAGCTGTATCAAGCTTTTATGTACACCTGAGAATCAAGGTGTCGAGATGCCTTATGCGGTGATGGCAATATCCGACGATAATGGGACGTCACCAGGAGAAAACACATGTCGATCTACATTGTGTGTGACCAGATATCATACAAAATTGCTATGTATATACCTCTGAATGGCAATTAACAGGTTTTTTTCGTCTATAGAAATTTAGGTTAATTCACTCCATGGTCATTCTAGGATCACTGAATTATTTAATATATCATTGTGACACTGGTGGTTCCCACTACATCGCACTACATCGTACAGGGGATGTAGGGGGCCTATGTCATCATGAAGCCCCCTGTCAAAGTATATATTCCTCAATGCCAAATTCAGTATGCATATACAAACCTTGGAAGGCAAAGATCTTTTAGTTGACTCTGTAAATACGGAGTACAGAAAAGTGAATCTTTGTGCCATCAAACTATAATATAGACCGAAGCTGCTCGTGAAGCATGTTGACCTTGAACTGGGGATGTTTTCAAAAGTAGTACCATAGTGTCGTAACACCGGTAGATGAGGAAATAACTGACAGAGATGTGAGGGCAATCAATTTGTTTCTAAAGATGAGCTCACGTTGAGCAGAGATTTCCTGTTAGACAACTGTGATGGTTATTGTGCCAGGATATAGTCATTGTGTGTCACCTGTGTAGCCTGGACCAAGATTTTGTATCCACTGAATAATTCTGGTTGAATATCAAAGTAGGATGAAGTAGATAATTGTATATCTATGCCTGCCATCTGCTAAAAGTTAAGATGCATATATTTTATATGGCGTGGAGAATATGAAGTGGAGATGGATGAGGTGGAAGATTGGCCAAGGTTTGATTATTTATAGGATATGTCACACGGGTACGGAGTAGTCCGTACTGTCATGCACATGTACAGTTTGTATGGTATGCAGATGTGAGTAGTTGAGCAGAATGCTGAGAAGAATACAAAATAACAAAATAACAAAACATTCTCAGAGCAGAACTATGTAGAAAAGAAGAAATCGGGAGGAAGTTGGGAACAGATCACAATTGGTTCGAAAGGTCTCCAGAATGACATCAGGCCAGCTGTTCTGAGTCAGGCTTTCAAGTAAGGCGGGGCTGGGGAAAGGAACCTCGGAAGGATTCGGGGGTTAAGGTGCCTAAAGGTTAGGGGTCAATTGGGGGTTAAAGTACTTAAAGGTTAGAGGTTGAGGGGGTGAAGGGAGCCTAATCGCATGATCAAGGGAAGGTACCCCAATCGCACCTGTCCCGTCACTTGAAGCTCTCACTGGGCTAGTGCTACACCGCCTCTCCTTTCCCTTTCCATCTCCTTCTCCCATCCTCCTCCTCCTCTCTCTTCAAGATCCAGTGCATCCAAAACTTCAATCCCATCTTCTTTTTCAATTGGTATCTAGGGCACGAAGCTACCCTGCTCCTTCCCTCGCTCCACCTCCTGTCAAGTCTCTTTCAGCTTTAGGCAAATAAACAACCCGACACTTTTCATCCTCCAACATCTCAACCTTCAAGATGTCTGCCGTCGACGCACTTGCTGACTCCGTGGCTGCGACCACTCTGACCGATAAGCCCGAGACCAACGGTGCTACCCCTTCTACCCAGGCTGCCGATGCCGCGGCTGCCAGTGCAGATGAGGGTCGTCGTCTTTACATCGGGAACCTCGCATACGCGACCACTGAGGAGGAGCTCAAGGAGTTCTTCAAGACCTACACCATGTGAGTAATTTCTGGGTCGGTGGATTAATATCCAAACCACCCCACCTTCGACAAACATTGAAGCACGTGAATCCATCATTTATTCGACCCTTTCTGACTCATTTCATCTCTTAGCGAGACCACCTCGATCCCGGTGAACCCCCGCACCAACCGCCCGGTTGGCTATGCATTTGTGGACATTGCTACTGCCGCTGAAGCTTCTGCCGCTATCGAGGCCCTCTCCGGCAAGGAGATTCTTCAGCGCAAGGTGTCCGTGCAGCTTGCCCGCAAGCCCGAGCCCGCTGAGGTCAAGGAAGGTGCTGCCAGTGGTGGCGAGGGTGCCAGCGGTGCCGAGGGTCGCAAGCGTGCTGGTGGTCGCGGCCGTGGCCGTGGCCGCGCCCGCGGTCGTGGTGGCCGTACCGGCCGTAGCCGTGCTGTATGTGCCCAAACTCTTTCTCTCCTTGAATCCACCCACATCGACACCTTACAATGGATGCTGACTCTCCCAAAGGCCCAGGATGGCCAGGAAGCCACCGAGGCCCCTGTCAGCGAGACCCCCCTTGCTGACACCACAAACGAGAAGGACACTGCCTCCAAGGCCGGTGAGGCCCGTGCCGCACGCCCCCAGAAGCAGCGCGGTCCTCCCGAGGATGGCATTCCTTCTAAGACTAAGGTTATGGTTGCCAACCTGCCGTACGACTTGACTGAGGATAAGGTGGGTTACATCTGTTTTCTTCCGTCTTTTCTCCGCCTGAGGTTACATTGACTGACATGCTTTTCTCCCTTTAGCTCAAGGAGATCTTCGCCGCATACGAACCTGTCTCTGCCAAGGTTGCCCTGCGTCCCATCCCCCGCTTCATGATCAAGAAGTTGCAGGCTCGCAACGAGCGCCGCAAGACCCGCGGATTTGGCTTCGTCAACCTGGCCTCTGAGGAGCTCCAGGCCAAGGCCGTCAGCGAGATGAACGGCAAGGATATTGATGGTCGCGTCATCGCTGTGAAGGTTGCCATTGACAGCCCCGGTAAGGAGGACGATGATATCAACGCTGTGGCTGAAACCGAGGAGACTGTTGTTCCTGCTACTGCTGCTGCTACCGCTCCTGCTCCTACCGAGGAGAATGCTGCTCCTGCCGTCACCACTAAGGCTTAAATGCCCAACTTATTCCACTCGCCGGAATAACGTACTCGTTGGCTTGAGAGTTGAGAAACAGAAGGGGAGGACTCAGCGGAGAATCGTATCGATATGATCATAGTGCCCTGTGGTTTGCAAACCACAGGTCACTGTGAATATATCTTAGCTACTCAACGATTGTGGGGGGAATTGGGGAGAACCCTGGAGGGGTTGGATTCATGACTTTTATCGGACAACATGGATCAGTTGACCATGCAGGAGAGCCATCTTAGCTGATGTGCTCTCCGTCCTTAACGACTTTCTTTTTTTTTCCCTTCGCCTTCTGTATTGTACCTTAGCACACATTTACTAAATGATGACGATCTGCCACCTGGCATATTGTATTTAAGAGTAGTCCCTTCACACCTATACAATGGACGCAGTCTATACAAGTGGGTGTGCCCGATTTGGTTGGGGATGACGCGAAGTCCGACCCTTGCCGATCAGAGGCAAAACATAGAACTTGTGTTGTTTCACCTCTCTACAATTGATTTATCATTCTATCATCAAGCCAATTGCATTAACTTTGCGTCTCTAGTACCTTCTAGTCTCCGCGCAACTCTATCGAAGCGAAAAAAGGGGTAAATCACTCAACGTCGGTGCCGAGTCGGTCAACCCTACAACATACTAGCGCAGTCCGTTATTTGGATTGTGTTTCAAAGTCTCCTCTTGTCGCCTTTGTATATCCACTCACTATCAATATGTCTCGCATGTGGGAGGTCGACCCAGAAACGAGGACAAAGGTGTGCTGCTAGGTCAAATCCCGCAACGCGCCATGGTCACTGACACGGACATGTGCAACAGCTCCTCCAAATCTCCAAGACGAATGGAAATGACAAGTGTTGCGATTGCGGTGCTCCATCGCCTCAATGGGTATGCGCTACCTCTCCCTCTCGCCCATCGCTCTGATATTGTCTTCTCAAGAAGCATTATCATCCGAAACAACCCACATCCACACCCCGCAAACCATCCACTTTGCTAACTCTTTGCCTGCCATGGGCATATTAACCAGGCCTCTCCGAAGTTCGGAACGTTTATCTGCCTCAACTGCGCCGGCACACATCGCGGGCTAGGCGTGCACATCTCCTTCGTCCGTTCGATCACCATGGACGCCTTCAAACACTCCGAGATCCAACGCATGGAGTTGGGAGGCAACGATCCCTGGAAGTCCTTCTACGACGAACACCCAGTGACCGTCTCTGAAGGCCGCACATTCGAAGACTCGACTATCAAGGAACGATATGAAAGCGACTCGGGCGAGGAATGGAAGGAGCGGTTATCGTGTAAAGTCGACGGCCGCGAGTACGTCCAGGGTCAGGAGAAGAAGAATAATCCCTCGCGGTCGAGCACGCCCTTGAGCTTGGCTGGCGCTGGTGCGGGTGCTGCATCTGGCGCCCGAGCTGGGTCGCCTGCGGCGTCGTCAATTCGCTCTGGTGATAGCCAGCGGGTTGGTGTGTCCAGCAAGAAGGAGCAGAACGAGGCTTACTTTGCGAAGCTCGGCAATGATAATGCTACTCGTGTCGATAACCTGCCGCCCTCGCAGGGTGGAAAGTTTACTGGTTTCGGTGGTGGTCTGCCTGCGTCCCCTGCAAACGAGCGGCGCTCCTCGCCATTCGGAGGATTTGGAGGTTGGGGTGGTGGCGGCGGTGGTCAGCCGTTTGAGGATCTTCAGAAAGACCCAATGGGCACTA